GGCGTGCCAAAAGCGCACCAAGAGCCAACCCCTGGCTCGCGTATTTGGGACCCTTTTTCGCTCGGCTTCCCAATAAACCAACCAGAAAAGGGTACCCAACAGCAAGAGAATCACTCCCCTTCTTTTCCCGCTCGTTTGCAACCTTGGAACCCTGGCGCCTTTTGTGGCAGTGGTTGATCCATCGTCGCCGCCCTGCGCGTCAATGTGAACAATCGTCGTCCTAGAGCTGCGTGGGAAGGAGGCAACACGTTTGGGCTCGCCAGCTTGCTTGCACACAACCACGGGCCGGTTTTTGAGAGGTTTTGCTCAAATTTACGGCCAAGGCTGAGACGAGGACAAAGTGCTGGAAGCAGGGCAGTTCCATGGTTGTGTTTGCGCTCGAGGTTGTCGGCTGCGTACCATTGACGAAGGCCCGCACATGACGCAGGACGACCACGGCAACGCACTCGCTTAACGAGAGCTCTGCTGCTCAACGAGATGCTTTTCGGGCTCCCCACTCCGCTCTCCATGAGGTGGTTGCTGGCAAGGTGCGCGATGTGCCGAGCTCAGCCGCGGGTTGCCGAGCTCAGCTCCAGAGCCCGGGCGCATCGTCGCCGAGCAGCCGCTTGCAGGAAGCGGCGTCCCAGCGGAAGGCATGCGGCTGCTGTCCGATTGGATGCCACTGCTGTCGCGGACGCCCTGTGCGCGGGAAAGTGACGCACATTTCCCGGAGGCCTTGGCCCTTCAGCAGCTGGCTGACCATTCAGCGGTGCCTTGGCCCTGGCGCTCACCAACTCACGAAACCAGAGTGGCGTTCGCGGCTTTTGGACTTCCTGCTGGCGGGAGCTGCTCCTCCAAAGTGCCGCTCGCTGCATCCTTGCCCCTGAGGGTGATGCCAAACCGCAGGTGTCGCCCCCAGAGGCCGCCTCTTTTCTCCGCCTCCTTGCGCGTGCCAAAGCCCGGGACGCCCCCCCGAGGCCTTTCGCGCCGCCCTTCCAAGTGCTTATGTCCACCGACTTGGTTGTGTACCGCAGCTTCCTGGGTTCCTCGCCCTGAAGTCTTGCCCAAGACGCGGATGCTTGCGCGTCCCCTCGGCGCTGCGCCTAATGCCTCACAGAAATGCCGGGGGCCCGGCACGTCGAGCTGGGAGGTAACGCAAATGTCGCGCAAAAACGCGTGCAGGGTTTGGGCCGCCGCACGCGCCTTTTGTTTTTCTCGCCCGCTTTTTCCGCAGCAGCTCCGACGACTTTACGGGGGGGGCCGCGGGCACCAGGGCACCAGGGCTTTGCAAGCTGTTGTTGCGGAGGCCCCATGTGCACGCTGCCTTTACGGGGCGCAGCGTCGCTTGCGCACGGCGGCTACCGGGCAGGCAGCCGCGAAGCCTCGGGGGAAGAGCGACGCAACGAAGAGGTCGCTCACGTCCGGGCAAAGGCCCATCAAGGTTGGTGAAGCTAAGGAGGTAAGGCTGTCGGCAAAGGCCAGCAAGGTGTCATTGTGCAGGACCTCCTTCATTGTCGCCTCTGTTTCCAGTGCCCGCCCAAGTTCCTCCGCAAACCTTTCCGATTTGAGGGCCTCGGCACTGTGGTTCCCCCTCCCTTGGTTGTTGCTTAACCCCCCTTGGTTGCCACCAGCTCACGAAACAGGAGCACCTTGTTTATTGGAGCATCCCTGCCACTGAGGGATGCTCACCGCTAGACGTGCGGGGATGCGGGGCAGCATGTTGAGGACCACGCGCTCCGTGGCCAACGGTCGCGTCGCTGGACGGGCGCAGCGCGTGCAACTGTATACGCGCCGGCGTTGTTTGCGTTGGGGTGCGGTACACCGGCTTTCTTGGGCGGCGCTGGAGGCCGCTCTCCCTGCGAGCGCTGTCTGCGCAAGCCGGCCTTCCTGCAGTTGTTGAGGGAGGCCACGCGCTTTCCAGTAACAGCGCCGGCATGGGTCGCGCGGGGGCGCTCTGTCGTGGGGGGCGGGACGGCGCCCACAGAAGCATAGGTGCGAGGGGGGGGCATGTTTTGGTTCGGCGGGCATGCGCGCGGAGCTTTTGCAAGCGCAGCTTGCGCGCCAGGGCATTTCGTAAACCTTTATTTTTTCTCGCGCGCCTTTTCTCCATCGCCTTGGTTCGTCCCCCCGAAAACCCTGCTTTTTTTTCCAGCGATGGCAGTGCGCGGATCTTCTGCATACGCGCGGCCGATGTCGTTTCTCGCGGGCGGGCTTTGGACACGTGGACTCCGACCATGTACGCCGGGCAGGCATGTTTGGGGGCCTCGCGGGTGACAGCGTGCTTGCCCCGCACCGCTGGGATCGCAGCAGCCTCGCGCAGGGCGGCCCCGTCAACGCGGCCAGCGTGTCTGCGGGGCTCGCCGGAAGAGGGGAGAGGCGAGACCAACGTGGTATCGACCGCTACCTGAGCTCCATTCGACAGGGGGGGCCCGTTGGCAACAACCTCAAGGCGCCGGTCATCGAGGCGGTCGACCGGGAGGTTGATGTCCGCAAGGCGTGAGTTGACTGTGACTCGAGCGCCCGCCTCGCGGCAGACCCGAGCGGCCGCTCGCTCGAGAGGGCAACCGCGGCTCCGCAACAACCCAGCCCGGGCGCACGCTGCGCGGTGGTCGCCAAAGGGGTCGAGGCGGCGACGGCACTGGCAAGCGCGATCGGAGATGGGAAGGGGGAGTCGGAGCCGTCGAAGGGCGAGCGTACGGAACAAGTGCGAGGGGGCCGACAACTGAGGCCGGAAGGTGAGCTGAACAGCCGACCAGCAAACGGGCCCTGCTGCGGCAACTGGAAAAGCGGCCAATCTGGATGTGCAGCTGTGCGGACAAGCTGTCCTCAACAACAGCGGTGGCCTGACGCTGCCACCCACGGGCGGGACCTCCAAGCAAGGCGAGGCCATCGGAGTCCTCAAGCAAAGGAGCAGGCTCGGCCCCGGCCAAAACGAATGATGAAAAACTACTCAATGAGATTATTTCGAAACGAAATGCGTCCCGCTGTCTGGAGTGGAGGCGGTACTCGAGTACCAGCTGCTTGCTGACGTCGAGCAATTGTTCTTGCATTTGCGTCCTGTACGGACTGTCGAAATGATGGGGGCTGTGCCGTGAAAACAGGCATCAAGTCCACCCATGCTGCCTTCAATCTCATGAGAAGGATTTCGAATTTTGAAGTAAAAATGAAGAACTCTTGGTTTTGCCTTCTATGATTGAAGAAACTGAGGAGCCTGTACAGATACACGTTGGTCGCACCCTTCAAAAAGTACTTCTTCAGCATGTTCTTGACATAGCTGACTCCTTCATCAGGATCTTGCAAAAGGTCATTTTGGAGGACTGCCTTGTACATATAGGCATCCTTGGAGTCTGCTTTTGAGCAGTGGTCCTCTCTTGGGTGCTTTTACCCGGCGGTCAACCGTGCCATGTCCGCGCCTGCGGCATCAGGGCCCGAGTTTGTGCCCTCCTCGCCGGAATTGCGTTCTGACACCCCGCGCGTTGGCACGCACGAAGCGGTCACCGTGGCTACGCCTCCTTTCCCGAATGGGGAAGTCACCCCGGGCTTCGAGCCATGCCCGCCGCAAAATGTAGATGTTTGCCCTGCTTGCCTTGACCCGGTTCTGCCGGAGGGGGCCGGCAGCAGCTCTTTTCCGAGCCCGCCGTAAATTGCCAAGCACTGTGGAAGCTGTGAGCACGACAGGGGACTCAGGTTGGGCAGGCGGAAGGCGCGCCGCCAACTGCGTCCGGACGAGTGTCTGTTGGCCTACCTCGAGGAAATTTATGTCATCACGTCGCCGGAACGTGCCCGGGTTGTTTTTGACTTGCTGTCTCTGCGCCTGCACCGGCACGCGCATATACAGCTCCACCGCGGTAAGACGCGAGTTTGGAACGCGCCCGGACTGGAGCCACCTGGCGTCCGAGAACTGGGATCGGTCACAGATCCAGTGTGGGTCGGAGACCGGGGCCTGCCTTCGGACCAGCAGGGTTTGGTGGCTCTCGGCGTCCCATGCGGCCATCCTGCCTTTGTTGCGGCACAGCTCCAGCGCTCACGAGGGCCAAGCAAGATCAGCTCTTCCAAGGCATCCGCACGCTGCCTGACTTACAGTCCGCTTGGTTGTTGCTTTTGTTCTGTGCCTTGCTGTGGCCTCGCTGGCTTTTGCCGAGTCCCACGATGCGGCTATCGCCGCATGTGTTGTGGATCTGTTAGGGACTGGCCCCCTTCCAGACTCTGCCCTCCAGATCGCCCAGCTCAACCTGCGGTCTGGCGTTGCGCTCGCCCTGGCTGCGTATCAGACACGCTGCCCGTGCTGCGTCGCCAGCTCCCAACTTTGGCCGGGGAGATCCTAGCGAGGCTTCGTGCCCAGGAGCCTGCTGGACCTGCACTCTCGGGCGTTCTCCAGGCCCAGGACGCGCTGAGCACGGCAGGGTTTCGCCCGCCTTCTTGGGAGGAGCTGCTTGACAATCCAGCCCCGTCGTCATTTTTGGACTTGTCCGGGCACCTGCCCGAGCCCAGCGCCCGGGGCTGCAAGCGCCCGCTGCCACTGCCATTGCTGAGCAACTCCAAGCTGCCCTACTGCCACAGCTTGACGCTGCGTCCCAAAGGCTTTTGTTTTCCCAAACTGGGCCTTTCAGCAGCCGCCCTTTCTGCAGTGTGCCGTCCTGCCCCGAGCTCACCTTCCCTTCTGACCACCCTTGTCCGCGCGCAGTTGCCGGTGCCGTCGCCCTCTCGACCCTCTTGGCGACCATCGAGCAGCCTGCGCTAGGTCTGGTGCTTTGCGGAGTCGGGGATGCCCGCTCGAGCGAGCGGCAGCTCGTGTTTGCAGGGAGGCGGGGGCCCGTGTCACTTGTAACACACTGGTGCGCGATCTGAAGTGGCGGTCGCTCGTTTTGACGACCGCCGCATCGAAGTCATTGCCAACGGCTTGCCCTTGTGGAATGGAGCGCAGCTTGCGGTCGACACGACCATTGTGTCCAGGCGATGGAAAAAGGCGCGGGGGGGGGGGGGAGAAAAACAAAAAAACACAACAAAATATTTAGGCTCAGGTTCCACGCAGGCCGCTACCCGTGACATTTCGAGATCAGATTGCGCGTTGCCTGAACAATCCTTCTCCTATTCGTGCAAAATGGCGCCTCTGCGGTCCGTCTTCCTGCTCACCAGCCTTGCCGCATCTGCGTCTTGGCATGTGATTTGACATGTTTTCAATAGCTGTTAGTGGCGGTGTTCCAAGGAAAGATGCGCGTTTTGATTTGCCGCTTCCATTTTGGTAAGGTATTGCTTAGCTGGATCCAAAAGGTTGCAAAATACAATTATGATGGTTCCTGCGCGAGCACCCTCCGAGTACCCTGCCTGCGAGTGTGCGAGAGTTGCGTGCGAGTGTTCGAGTGGACTGTGCGAGTGTGCGAGTGGAGCGGGCGAGGTAGTGGACGAGTAGACGAGTGACTCGAACACTCGCGCGCCCTACTCGCACTTTCACTCGCACAGAAATAAAGTCATTTTTTTGACCTTAGTTTTTGGTCACGAATACTTCTTCCAGTTGCAAGTCAAAAATCAGGTCTAAAAAAATTATATTTCTGCGCGAGTGAAAAGAGTGCGAGTATGTCGCGCGAGTCACTCGTCCACTCGTCCGCCCGCTCGCCCGTTCCACTCGCACGCTCGCACGCCCTACTCGTACAACACTCCACCCGCGCACTCGTCAATGTCACTCGTACACTTTTTGGCAAAAGTGCTTTGAAAAACCTGTTTACAACCTCTTGGCACCAGCTAAGGTATTGCTTTTCGTCCGCTTGACATGACAACATTTGTTTTTTTTTTTTTTTTTTTTTTGTTGTTGTTGTTGTTGGGATGGGCCTTCTAACACCGAAAGCCAGCCAGGACGCCTGTTGACCCCAACCTAGTTTCATTCGTGTTGTTTGCACGTTCCAGGGCGACACCATTTTTTCTTCTTGCTGGTTAATCCCCCAAGTTTTCCCCCGCAACATTCTACTTTCGGCGACTGACTCTTAGCGTGTGACTGGGTAGAACCGAACATTTTTTTTTTTTGCTAGATTGATGGGCTGGTGCCAGGGGGCGTGCGGTTTGGGGTGCTGGTGTAGGTGCTGATGCTGATTGGGGTCCAAAAATTGCGACAGAAGTGATCCGCAAATGCTCAAACTACGACCAAAGTGAGTGGATTTCAGCTGCGACCAAAGTGATCCAAAAACTGCGACCAAAGTGATCCCCCCGCCCTGCCGGCGCGCGCACATTTTTGCATCTTGACGGTAGGAAGCAGGGGTGCTGCTGCTGATGGTGCCGTGGGATGCAGTTTGTGGGGGGCTGTCTGGGGTGCTGGTGACAGTGCGGGCGCATTTCTGCGATATTGACGCCCGGTTGCTATCGGGCATGCAGGTGACGGTTCAGGCGCATCTTTGCATCTTGATGCTAGGGTGTAAGGGAGCATGCAGCTTAGGTGGTGGTTTAGGTTTCTGTTTGGGGTGCTGGTTGATTTTCGCAAGATTGACGGCTGGGTGTCGTGGGGAGTGTTGCTGGGGTGCTCTTCAGGGTGATGGTGCGGGCGCATTTTTGCTCTGCGTTCTTCGGGGGGGGGTGCTTTTGCAAGCGCTGCTATCTGGGGTCCATGCTCGTGTAAGTGTTGTTTCTCTCGTTTTTTTTTTGGCGCTGCTGATGTGAAGTTTCGCCCGGACACCCCGAAGCGACCCCTTTGCAGGTTTCCGCGCTGCGGGAGGAAATGCGGGAACCCGTTGAGGACGTCGCTTGCTGCGCGATGTTCAGCGAAGGGGAGGACACCAACGTGGCGCGTTTGGGCTCAAAGGTAACGAAGCCTTCGGGGGCTTCAGGAAAGGGCCCCGAGAGTTGAGACGTGGGTGAGGGCGGTGAGGGCCTTTGTTTCGCGGGTCAAGTTGAGCCCCTTCCGTTCCTACGGGCCCAGAAGCTCCCTCGCTCAAGCAAAAACCAAGGCCTGGTCGCCGGAGGGAGGCGGAGAAGGTGGTTGCTTCACCTGTCCAAGGAGCCATGACAACCATTTTTCGCGGATTTTTTTTTATGGGTTGCTGAAAGCTGAATGTTTCTTGGTCCCAGCCATTCTCTTCATCCAGCCCTTTTTCCCCGGCAACCTGGGTTTGTTTGTGGCGTTGCAAATGTGTTCAAGTTCTGAATGATTGGGTGAGACCTTTTCCAATTTATTCGTCTTTGTGGTGCCCTATTGGGAGCTGTTCTACGCTGTCACTGCCAGTTGCCGCAAGGGGGTTGTTCTTGAACAAATCCGTTTTGGGAGGTCCCTTCAAAGCGAACAAAAAAACGCAGGGGGGGCCGGGTCAAACGCGACCCTTGGCTTTCGAAGGTATGGTATGTGTCTCAAAATGGGGCATAGGCCCCCCCCCCTTCGCAAAGACAAACGGGCCGGCGCCCCCCTCCCCAAAAAAAAAGGGATCGGAGTATCGGCCTACCGGAACTGACCGGTGAGTTGGGACTTGCTGCGGCTCAAGCCGTCGCGAAGCCAGAGGACCGTTTTGGAAAATATGTTTCGGCAGGCAGCGGGGCTTCTTCCCGTTTTTGCCATTGCTGAGCTTCAGACTCGTGGCATGCACTCCGTTAGGAATGCCGCCGCGCCCCGTTGACTCATGGGTTTCGGTAGAAGGGGCACCCCTTGAATGACAGGTTTTGCTCTCGGTTTCTCAGTTATTTTTCTATTTACACCACTCAAAGTGAAACACGCCGTCCTGGTGCGAGTTTATAGTTTTCTGCCCCAATTAACGACCCCTTCTTTCAGGCATTTACCTCGCATGACGAGAATGAATTCCAACTGAAAGGGGGAACATGTCGATGTGGCACCCACCTTTTTCACCCAATTCATTGCCTCTCTCTCGTCCTCCCTTAAGATTCCTCAAAGGGAAAGCCCAGAGAGGGGGCTTTTCACGTCACTCCTCCTCAGCACACCCCTTCAGCCTCAAGCCGAAAAGGCCGACTCCAGTGAACCCCCCTCCCAAAGAAGAGAAAAGAACAGCAACGACCAAAAGAGAGAGGAACAGAACCGCAACGAGAAGAAGAGAAAATCCCCCCTCCCCCCCCCAAAAAAAAACCAAAAACAAAAACAACTCAAACACACACACACACACAAAACAAGAGGGAAAATAACAACCACGAGAAAGACGTGAAAGCACCCCCGCTTCCAAAAAAAGAAGGGGCGTTGATCGAGGTGTGTTGCGCTGGAGAAGCAGAAGCCGTGCCCAAGCTATGACAAGCTGCCGCTGGAATTCTCCGCCACCGCCTGGGAGAAGTGCAATGCGTGGCCCGAGGTGTCGTGGCTCTCCGATTGGCAAAGATCTTCCAATTTGGTTAAGAATATGCTCTATTTTCCCCTGGCGGCTTTGAAGGGAATCTATCACTACTGGACATATTATCGTTTTTTTTTTTTTTTTTCCAGGGGACTTCAGCAAATGCGGGAAGGGAATCTCTGAACACATTTTTTTAAAACCAGCCGTGGAACAACCAGGAGATGTTTTCCGCACAATTTTAGACATGTCTCATCTGTTTTTTCTCTTTTCGTGTTGTTTCCCTTCTTTTTTTCTCTTTTTCGCCGCGATGTTTTTCCAGGTGAAGCAAATGGAGGTGCTTGAAACCATTTGGCAAGGGCTTTGGCTGTGTAGACCCAACTCACCGGTCAGTTCCGGTAGGCCGATACTCCGATCCCATTTTTTTTGGGAGGGGGCGCCGGCCCGTTTATCTTTGCGAAGGGGGGGGGGCCTATGCCACATACCATACGTTTTGTGCTGGACCTTTCGGGGGGGGGGGGGGGTTGGGAGGGTCGGCGTCCATTTCGGGTTGATTCTCACAAACAAAAAGAAACCGGGGTTTGGGAGTGAATCGGTGAATCGGTGGGAATGAAATAACCTAGTTATGATTTGCATGAATTAATGTACATACTGTGGCTGCACTTTGAAACTGTAGGAAGCCTTTGTTGGTTGGTTTTTACGAGGCAATCATGATTCCCGAGTTTCTCAGGTGTCATCCACAGTATGATTTATATACGAGTGAATCCCACGGAAATATGTTTTTAGGAAGGCAGTGGGATGGCTTACCGGTCCCAACAGCCCTCGATCCCCAAGAAGTTTGGTGATGGGTTCCACGGGTTTAGAGGGGTTCGATGCCATCCATCTAGGGAAACCCCCACGGCGCAGCAACTCGAATTCGGCGTGGCCTTTTTGAGGATACCCCTTTTGGGCTAATTTTCCAGGGGCTCTAAACGGAACACCTTTTTGTTTTGGGGGGGGGGGGTCCCCAAAAAACCCAGGTGCTCCTGCCAAACCAGGGATTGGGGCCCTAAAAAGCTTGATTCGCAAGGCCAAATCCTTACCCCCCGCCCCGGCTTTGCTAGTCCGAATGTCCTAGCAACTCCTGAGTCGTACATGTCGTTGAGCTGGCTAGGCTAGCTTTCGTTCACCCGCCTCTCAAGTGTTTGTTTCTCCCTTGTTCGATATAAAGGGGATCGATTTCACTACTGGACATTATGTTCTTTTTTCCGGAAGCTTAAGTAAATGGAAGAACTTTTCTCAGGCAACAGAATGTCTAGCCTCGCGCAAAGCCTGCTCTCCACGCAATGGACACTTGGAGTGCATTTTGGCCTCAAAAGCGAGCTACCCTCAAAGAAGCAGGTTGCAACATATACCAAGTGCAGGCCAAGCACCCAAAGTGCATAACTGTTTGCAAAGCGCTAAGTGGATGTGTCCTTGTTTTAGAGGAACGTCGTTTTCCTTTTAGTTCCCTTCAAAATCGCAAACAAAAGGGCACTATCAAAAAAGACACCCAAGTGTTTGCAAACCACTAAGTGCATACAAGTTCACCATGCCCACCTCCCTTCCCCCAGTTCCTTGGCTTGCCAAGGGCGGCATCAAGACTTGCAAGGAGCTTTCGGAGTGACGGAGACACATCGCCGTGTGGCAAATGTTTCAATCTTCGCAGTCAAGAATGGGCGTGTCTTTTTGGAGGGACACGCCCAACATGGTCGTTTCATGTTACCCGTCATATGGTTATTCTGGGGACGCCCACATTTCCACAAACCAGGGGGGGGGGGGCAACAACAAACATGTCCTCTTGCGGTAGCAGGACATTAGGTCCGGGGCTCAAACAATCTTTCTAGGTGGGACAATTCGCGCGGCCAGCAAAAGAAAGGACAGGCTTCCTTTTTCATGCCCCCAAAGGTTGAATGTGCTCCGGAGGAGCCTTGCACCCTTGCTAATGTTGAACCCCATGATGAATAATTAAGCCCCTGGCTGATTTTGAGAGATGGGGTTCCCCCTTTCAGAGGGAATTGTGACCACTTTTGGTGGAACCACCAAGTCTGGGGTGGGTTTGTTAAGCCGAACTCAACAAATTCGGGTCACAAACCAACCCGGATTAATCTGAAATTCGTTTTCTCGCCGATCTGCACCGGGATGAATCGACCTGTGCCTTGTGTTGTTCTGCGTGACCTTGCCTGCTTGCGACCATACAGTGCAAACAACATGCTGTGTTCTGGCTCGGCACAGCTGCCTTCCTGCTTCCAGCCTGCAGTTGGTAAGAACTTGCGCAGAGCTGCATCTTTTCTTTAGGATCAATCTGATTCCTTCCCAGTCTTGTCTAGGCACCTTGAGAAAGAGGCCTGGCCGCGCTTCCAGCACTTGTGTTTTTGTGTTTGCCTTACTTCTAGAAAACGATTTGGATGCGCCTTTCGTGGAATTCACCAGTTCTTCCCCCTGTTGGTCCTTTTCAGTAAACTTTCTCAGGGGCGGATCCACAACAGCAATATCCAAACCGTTCTCTAGATTATTGTCGCGTATGTGTGATTGTGCTCCATGTTCGCAAGCTTGCCCGTCAATGTGTTCGTGGCTCAAGCTGCAAAGGTTAGGGGGCCCAGGCGTCAGCACAAAGGGGGCAGCTCAGGCAGCATTTGCAGAGGTGGACTCCATTCACAACTCTCCACTTGGCGCCTTTGACCTCTTGGCGCGTTTTCCTGGCCGGCTACGCGCCACGCGCCGTTCGCGAACGGGGGAGTTGCCATGGCCCTTGCACGCTTGTGCCATGGGAATGCTTGTGTCAAAATGCTCCGGCCTGCTTGCGCCGGCCGTGGGCTTAGTTCTTTATCATTTTTTGTTTTGTTTTTGGGTTTGCGGCGGTTGAGGAAAACGCGGAGTGTGATATTTTGGACAGGAACGTTACCTTTTGTTGGACAGGAACCTTACCTTTTTTAGGGGGCAGGGGTCCTTGCCAACGTGCCATTTTGGGCAGACCACCGAACCGTGCAAGGGCCCGCACAAGTTTTTAGAGGGGGCGCAGCAGCGGTGCGTCGACGCAAGCTGCGAAGCGGAAGGTGGGGGGAAAAAGAAGAAAAAAAGCCAAAAACGCCTGGATTAATCTGGATGTGGCATGAAACGGCTCAGATTCGGGTAGTTCACTGCCGGCTGACCGTAAAAAACAAATCTGCCACACAATCAAAAGGGCATTCTTGTTTATTTTCCCCAGTTGGCTTTGATTTCACTACTGGACCTATTTTCTCATATTATTTCCCCAAAAAGGCAAACGGAAGTTCTTGTTCAGCTGTGCGCGCATGTTTTCCGGGTGCAAACCTTGACTGCTATTGGGTTGGATCTTTAGACTTTCACTTTTTGGTTGACATCAAGTTGGGTTTTCCACTAAACCCCTAAAAGTTTTCAACTGTTTGCAGGGGGGTCGTTGCAGCAACCAAGAAAACAAAGAACATGGGACGTGTTGCGTGTTCGGCTTGCGCTGCCCGAGCTCGAGGTTTGAAAGTGCACGGCCACGGGTCATCTACGATGGCAGATTGCACGCCGCCACGGCCGGACAATTGAGCCTCGGCATCACGGCATTTCCTCTTGCGCCAGGAGTTCCTAATATAGACATATACATGTATATATACATATACATGTTTGTATATATATATATACATATCAATATATCCATACATATATATATATATATATCTTGTTGCATGCTTTGAACACCACATTTTAAGGTCATTTTACTTGAGTTCCCGCTTAGCTTGATGTTGAACAGACCTCCAAACTGGCGGTTGTCAATTTCACGGGCCTTTGAACCAGCCCTAAAAAAGTACAAAGACACACCCACCTGCCTTGAGCTGCACGTGTTTCGTTGGATTCTGCTAATGCCAACCAAGGGCAGCTCAGGGCGCACGCCATCAATTCGGCCGCTGGCTCAGATTTTTCGGCCCTGGCTTACGTCTTGTAGCCACACAAGTCTGTTCAGTGATTTTGTGTTTCAGGTTTATAGTAAGGCCTGTAAGAAACCAACCATTGCAGCCATGCTTGTAGAGCCAATCGGCAAACACCAAAATAAGATGTAGTTTTCTGAAGAGGGTTGTGGTTGAGCTGAGTTCTTGTGCAAGTTTTCAACGCCAAGAATCTTCCACCGAACACGGAAAACAGACTGGTTGACCAGTGGACTCCTACGAGATGCGTTTTTTCGCCCGGCTATTGCCGCCCGTGGAAATGCGACTCCTTGAACATTTGCGTGGCGGCGTGATTTTTTGTGGTTCTGAACCAAAACACAAACAAAAAGAAAGGAGAAGGACACAAGTCGCCAATGATCCTGGGGGTTGATTCTTTTCAACCATCGTTCATTGTTTTTAAAACCAGCTGCTTTTCTTTTGGGGTTCTGATGGTTTTCTGGAAAGAAGGATCCCTGGAAACAATGGAAGTGTCGCCTAGAATGATTTGTATTAGTCATGCGTCAGCTGGTCCGAATGTTCACTGTGCACTTCAAAACCATAGCTCAAGCAATGGCAAGGGCCCATTGCCCGTGTACCTGTAAGGAAGCAAGCTCTTGTCCAACTCATGTTGTTGTGTTTTTACAAGGAAACGAAAAGGACATTCATATTCTTTTGGGGGGAGGGGCCCCCTGAAGAACGACACACCCATATTGGTTGAGAGCCAGACCAAGGGGAGTCACGGAAGGGTTGTGGCCCCTGATGGCCCCTAATAGTCGCTATGCAATGGATTGCCTTGCTATGGCTTTCAAGCAGTACATGACCTTCACCGGGGTCTCCCCCATTCAAAAAAACAACTATGTTACATTTTTTGTATGCGCCATGGGCCACATTCGTCGGAGTTGCGGTTTCCAAACCTATTTTGTGCTTTTGGGGTTGAATAGGGTGAGCATCCTATGTATTCCAAAGCTATTGTTTAACATGTACACTAAAAGTACATCAAATACTTTGAACTCAGTTTTTTTCTGCGTAGCCTACGGACCAAGTGCAGCAAAAACAGACGGACGGCGCATTGCGATAGGCAGTCCCGATGGTGGCGTTTGGCTTCATGGACAACACCGCCTGGGCTCTCGGTGGATGGCTTCCGCTTGCTTGAGACCATTTGTTACTAGGTCCCCCAGTACTGCACTTCTCTCCCCTTTTTTGGGGTGAGGGTTCCCTACTAAAATAGACTACAGATTTATTTCCCCCTTCCGGTTTCAAAGGCAGTCTAGCACTACTCAGGTAACCCTCAATGACTCAATTGGTTGGATTGGTGGTTTGGGGTTTGCCCCCCAGATCCTTTTGAGGCCAACCGGGGAAGGTACCCCCGAAGGACCAGACCAGCAACTAGGGGTAAGGTGAGCTGCTGGACATGTTTCTTCAACTTTTTGCGGGAGACTTAAGCAAAGGTTCAACGAAATGTCCGGACATCACCCTTGTCAGCATCAAATGAGTGTGGCTTTCCGCGAAGTCATCCCGCAGGAGCTAAACCTCTGGGGATGGCTTTTTCCTGTTAACACACGCCAATCCGGTTTTCTCCGAGAGAATTTCTTCGTTGGAGTGGCTGGTTCTTGGGTTGGGGATGCCCGGGCCTTTTAGAGGATGTTTGGAAAGAGTCCGAGCCCCAAAAAACCTTACGGTTCCCTTAGGATTCTTTACAGTTCCTTAGGGAACCCCCCCCCCCCCCCTTTTGGACCCTTTTTTGGAAAAAAACTCATCACCCCCCTTCCTCCCCCCTCTTCTCCCCACCCCCACCCCCACCCCCCACCCCACCCCACCTCCTATCCCACCTATCCCAGGTGATGCTCCACGCGGGCAACGCCATCGACGCCACGCTGGGGGTCACCTTCGGCCTCTCCACCCTGGCGGCCGCCGCCTGCGGCCAGCGCCTGGGCTGTCCGTCGCGAGTCGAGCCGCAAGTCGGCGGCCGAAGGGAGTCGAAGCGACGGCTGGGGGTGCTTGGTCACCCCTTGTTTTTTTTTTTTTTTTTTTTTTTTTTTAAATAACTTTTAATAATAATAAATAAGTCCCTCCTGGTTTGAAAGGCAAGAGGAAAGTAAGAGGCGGACGAAAACAGACCGCACCCGTGTTTGGGTGTTTGGTTCTGTTGATTCTTGGTCACCCCATCGGAGTACTGGTTGACATGGGCCAAATAAGAAGAAGGGCATTCCTTGGCATGTTGTGGGTGTCTCTTTTGAGGGTGCCTCTTCTTTTCTCGGTTTGAAAGCCATTCTTGGGGTCCCCTAAAAACAGGAGCACCCGTGTTTGGTTGTTTGGTTCTGTTACTACTATTCATTGTATTTTTGGGCAGCCGCTGCTGAAGAAATTCGTGAGGAATCAAAGTCCCGGCTAGGAAAGGCATGAAAGGATTGGAAAGGCACCGCCCTTGTAGTAGCGGTCGGACCTCATGGTCGGTATGTACCCCCACTTAATCCCGGGCCAAACCCTGGCAACCAGACGTACTTGCCGCTTAATTTCCTTCCCCACCGGCCTTTGCGTGATTTAATGAGTCCCCAACTGGTCCCTGGCAAGTCGACCACGCCGAGACATACCCACTAGCCCAACGCGAGCTGCAAACCACCAAGCAGAAGCTGATGAGGTCAAAATGCTTCTCTGGCGCTTATGCAGGGATAGCCCTTTAATCGCCCCCCTTGGATGCCCATTCTTTAGGAGAGCCTCATCTAGTTGCCCCAAAGGGGCATCTAGGGGCCAATGCACTTTCGTACCGGCTCTTTCGCGCTATACGGGATGGAGGGGGGCGCTCGGACACTTCTGCCTATGCCGCAGAGACCACCCAATTTGGACAATAAGTGAGTTGCTTGCAACCTTCGGGGTGATTGAATCGGGTGATGATTCGTGGTTTCCCCTTGGTGGATGCGGTTTCGCCGGTGGCTCCAAGGCTTTTTTGTGGGGGTTGATCAATCTTCCGTTCGGCCACAGTTTTGAGCATGGGTCATGTTGTCTATGTGGTTGAAATATCATCTTTTTTGGGCGTCCCAAGAAAAACGACCTTTTGATCATCCGTGATGTGTGTCTTTTCTTCTAAGTACGTACCATTTTTTTTGGGGGTCCACTGCCTTGAGACATGCACTATTGCTGCAAGGTAAACCTTGGCGAAACATGGTTGAACAAGGCGATGTCATCGGGAAGGCTTCACTTTGCACAATGCATATCGGCATTCACCTGATATCTCAACAATGGCGCAAAGCCGCGAGCACTCTCGTTGTGCGTGACAACGGTCTTCATTGGATGCATGCACTTGTGAAATGGACTCTTTTTGTTCGTCCTTGAACTTGTTTGTGTGAGAATACTTTTCTTGCTACAAGCCAGCAACCCACCTTCCCATTACTGACTACGGACTAGGACCTTAGGGACCGACCCCCTCTTTTCAATAACAACAAACCCCAAACGGGGAATCCTCAGGCCAGCTAAGTTACACCCAACACCCTCTTTTTTCAGAGAGCATGATGTCGACCAAGAAAGAGGGCATTTGGAGTAAGGTGTAGGGGCAATGGCTGCAAGAAGCAAAATTTGAGTCATGCACGTCGAGGGATCTTTCTCGCACACCCGAGGGTTTGCTCTGACATGGCGGGCGTTGCTGGGCAGCATGTGGCGTCGCTTGGTTGTGCCACTTCGGTTTGCGCAGAATTAGTTCCCCTTTTTTGATTTTTTGCTTCTTTGGGGTCCCCTTTCTTTTCCACTAACCAGGCAAAAACATATATGTATATATATATATATATATTTTTTTGCTGGGGTCCTAGTTCCAGCCAAGTTGGTTGCCGCTTTGTGCCGAAAAGGAGGGGGGGGCGCTCGAAAAAAATTGTCGGCTGAATGGATCCTCAGAAGGGTGCCCTCAAACGAGCTCGCGCGCACAAGCACGACCGGAAACAGACACGGAAACAGGAGCACAAGCACAAGCACAAACGCAAATCCAACCGCAAAGGCAAATGCAAACACGCACACACACACACACAGACAGAAGCACAAGCACAAACACACGAGCACAAACCCAAACACGCAGACAGACAGACACACAGACACGACACAGACGCAGGCACAGATGCAGACACAGACACAAACCCAACCACGCAGCACCACGCGCACACACACACACACACAACGCGCACACACGTATGGCCAATGCCATTGATGCTGCAAGCAGGGGGCAGATTCCCAGCAATTTCCCGCTTTTTCAGCCGTAGTTGTAGCCGGGGTTGTGTGGTTGGATGTGGTTGGCACGCTCGCAAGGTCGGCACACTCGCAACGTTTGCAAGACGTAAGCAGTCTTTTTGTTTTTTCCCCCTTTTGGTTTGATGTCCAAAGTTCAGGAAATCCTTAGTTGGTGGTTTGGATTGGTGGTTGCGGGATTTGACCCCCTGGTTCTTGTAGAGGGGAATTGATTAAATGGGAAACCACCCCCCAAACCATCAAGCCAAACCACCAATTCGGGGAGGCTGAGACGTTTCACCAACAAGTGTGCATGTCGCAGGTCCAAGCCTGGCCCCGTGAAATGTGTTTTTGCCAGGTCAGTTGCTCACAGCAACCCTGGTCATAACTCTCAGAACCCTGGCAACTGGGTGGGCAACAGCGCCTCCTTTGCTTGACGCAACCCTTTCAGCAGTGTACAACTTCACAAAAGGTTTGTCTTGTTTTGAGGGACTGCTTTTTGCGGTGGTTTGAACGGGTAGGCAAAAAGAGCACCATTTTTGGAGGGGGGGGCAACACAAGCTACCTTGTCCACCAGGGCAAAAGCAAACCTCGCCATTTTGTGGGGGTCCGCTCAGGTGGACAAAGACATTTACCGGGATTCACAGGCAGAGTTGAATCCAAAAGGTGCCCCTGGTGCTACCGTAGATGATTCTGAAATCTATGCCACGCGCACCACGACATGAAGCCCTGGTTGAAACCACAACATTTGTTGGGCATTTGCAGGGGGAAACGAGTCATGCCTTTGGGTTTTTGAACCGTGTGAAACTGATTTCGCACTACCTAAGAAACCCTGGTTTCTGCTGACTCCTCTGTAAATATTCAACAAACAGTGGCTTCGAGCGGCTGGTTTTGCAAAGCTGGGGTCTCCTCAGAATCTTGGGGTAGGCCAAATACCGAAACCACAAGGAAAACAGCATTTTTTTTGGAGGGGGGGGGGAGATCCCCAAAAAAGGCATTATTAAAAATATATTAAAAAAAAATAACAAATGTGGGCCTCACTTGATCCAACCGCCCCTATTTTGACACACGGGCCATTTGTCGAAATAGAAAAACCCCGCCCATTTCGGTGGTTGTTGTGTCTTTTTCGCGGGCCCTTTTCGCAAAATTTTGGGCGCGAAGCAACACACACACATCTGCCCTTCACTGTCGTTGGATCCATGTCTTTCGGCTTGTTGGTTTTCTCATTTTTCTTACCTCTTAAAAACCCAACTTTTCTCAACTTTTTGGGTAACATGGGCTATATGTCTGTAAAATATTAACTTCCCAAGTTTTAGTGGGCTGCAAAAGGCTCGCCGCCTTTTTTTCCCGGACAAATCCATACCGCCTGGGTTGGAAAGAGGCAATATGCTCGTTTTTTTTCTTCGTTGGCTTCCATTTGCCTAAGAACATTCAGATTTTCCCTTCTTGGCTTGGGCTGAAGCAACGCAAATGGACGGGACGTTTCCCCTTGGCGAAAAAGCAAAAGCACCCCGAGCCCTCCCGAGCCGAGCCCAAGAAACCGAGAAACCGAGCAACCTGTGAAGGCTTTGGGGTCTCAGCCCAGATGGTCCGGGGCGGTTCTGAGGTAAGGTTCCACCAGGGTTCCACCAGGGTTCCACGAGGGTTCCACGAGGGCTGCGGGGTGGTGCGAGCACTAACAAAGCACCGCATGCTGTTGGGGATGGCCCCCCCGAGCCCCCCCAAGCCCCCCAGAGAAACCGAGACACCGGGAAACCGACAAGGGCCCTGGCGCCCCGTGCGCTCGAACCTTGGCGCGTGAGGTGACCTTCGGGGGCGTCATCGAGGCGCTGGCCCTCAAGGTGGGCCTCCCCTCCGCCCACCTCTCTGAGGCGCCGAGTGCCCGGTCGAAGGTGGCGGGCCGGTGGGGCTGAAAAAGCCGGGGGTGGGGGGAGTGGTTGGTTTGGACCCCGTTTTGCAGGGCCCGTGGCGGCCCCGGTCTCGGCGCCCCATGCCCCCGTTTTTTTCTCGCGCTGCCCGAGTTTTTTCAAACTTTGGTCACTTTTTTGTTGGGTTTGGTTGCCATTTTAGTTGCTTAGGCACAAAGCTTGGCTACTTTTTTCGTTTTCGGCCCACCCACTCAGGAAGTGAGTTTAATTCGGGAAGCTCAGGTTGCCTGAAAAGTTTGTTGAGGGCAAGCGTTTGCAATAGGGTGGAAGTAGATGCCACAGTTCCAATCCATTTTGGTTTAGTCATCCCTTCTGCTTTCACCCTGGTGTGCACACCTGTGCCGGTTACCCCCCCCGCCCCAGATCAACATGGAACCCCACAAACCGTCATTTGATCAAGAATCTTTTTTTGGGGGACCTTCATTTTGGGATCCATGCAATTTTGTTTGCAGGGGAGTACTCTTTGTAGGTGCTGGCTTGGTCCCAAGAGGAAAATCACCACTTGTTGGGTCTCCCTATTTAGCCCGCTCGAAAGCAGGATCAGCTGTCGACCGGCATGGTCAAGCGGGCTGGGGCCCCAGCATCAGTGCTACCCAAAGCCGATACCTCCAGTAACATTACCGCACCACGTCGACAAATGAAGGACCCAATGCAAGAACGCGGGAGTTCATACCACCATTCACCTTCGGATTGTCATCATTTAGATGGGTTGGGATCCAAAATCCCGGGCACCCAACAAAAAAAGGCGCATAACCAACCCTGGGTCAACCATTCCTTTGGGATGCAACAAAATGCGACTTACCAACCGATCAAAAACGAAGGCGACCAACCCGAAGAAAGACGAGCCCCGCGATAAATCCCATGCAGCTTTGGGATGTTCTGTGGGGCTGGTCTGCCGAGGTTGGGCTTCTGGGCAGCTTAGCGGGTGTGTCGGGGGCCCAGCAAGGTGTCAAGCGCGGGCGGGCGCGTTTTCCTCACAGAGCTTGGGTCAGGCTTTTTTGTTGAAGTGGGTTCTTGGGTTCTGGGGTCCTGTTCCAAATTTGTCCTTGGGTTCTGTTCACTTTTCGTTTTTTTTTTTTTTGGGGGGGGGCTGCAAACAGTACAGATTCTTTTTTCCCTGCCATGCCAAGGGTTTGTGAAGTTTGGGTGTGTGCCAAAAACGATTTCGCCGAAATACCCTCCTTCCAAGAACCACGGAAGTGGAGAGAGGGGCTCCAAAAAAGGAGACAAGAACCTCTCAACTTCCATGATTGTTGACGGGAGGGTATTTCAGTGTTTTCCCTTTGGATTCCCTTCTTTTTTTTCTTTTCTTTTGGGGGGGGGGGTTGTGCAAGTGAGCGGCTCACGCTCAGCCAGTGTTTTCACGGAGAAAAGGCACCAAGACAGCCAATCCGAAGCAAATAGTTTCACCTTCGAAGGCTTTTAAGTTCAGCCGCTTTCGGGGCAAAGGGTTGACGAGCTGATGCTTGGAAGGGAGCCGCTACGGGGCTGGGTTCCAGAATGTGGCTCAGAACCGTTTTGGGATCCCATTTAGGTGAATTCACCCCCCATTTTAGGTTGCCTATTTTAGTGGTTGGATTGAAGCGGAGGTTCACGGACCGATTTGGACGAACAGCCCATGGCCAAATTTGCCTTCGAGGGGGCCATTCGGAGCCCGCCGTGGAAGGAGGTAGATGCGCGAGGAAAAAAATCCAAATGGGGATTCCAAGTAAAGCTCGGGCTTTCCATGTTCTGAAAACATCATGCTGGACCGCTATTGGGCAACGGATCTTTAGACTTTAACTTTTTGGTTGAAATCAAGGCGTCTTCTAAGGCCCCCAACAAGTTGAACTTTTTGCAGGGGTCAACAGCAACCAAGTTATCATCAGTCTTCTCCCTCTGGCATTGAAATGTTCATGACAAATATTGTCTTGAATGGGGCGTCGAGCAAATGGACACACCTTGCCGATGAAGCCTTGCGTTGGGGTGAGGTTTTGACGGGAACTGTCAGGAACCCTGCCAGAAGCCACCTGGTCTTAATGTGCGTCTCCCAAATGGCTCGGACTGCCAATGGACATGGGGGCAAAAAGACCCGTTCCTGTGGACTCAGAAAGGATGGGTAAATACTCATCGAACACCTGATTTTTCCTTGGTCCCCCACCATCCCCTAAGCCTTTTGGTGTTTGGTGTCCATTTCACCAGCAAGTTCGTCACTTGTAGGGGATCAGCCCAGTCACCATGTTGAGACGGTGCGTCGCAGGACGGTGAGTTGCTCAGCATTTTCGGGTCGGCGAGGTGGTAGTTGGAAGGGAGCCGTCAGGGAGCTTTGGTATCCAAATTGGCGTTTAAAGAGGGAGCCTTTGGGAGCAGTCCTGTAAAGACGTGGTATTTAGTTGCTTCCGCGCTGAAAAACCGAAAGTGGGATTTCCCGATATTTGTGGATGACTTTGGCGGATTATTTTTTGTCGGCTGCGGAACTGGTGGTTTCTCTTCTGGTGTCCCTTTAGAATCACCAAGGCAGAGTTACTGCCAAAAAAGGCAGACCCATATGCATACGCTCATTTTCTCTGTTGTTCTTCTACGTGTGTGCAGATAAGCTTGAAGACATTTATTGGTCCAAATAGGGGAAGCCCAAAACACGAAACCACATGGGTTTCTGTGCTTTGGGGTACCCCTTTAGGTTAGTTATCAGGCCTCTCCTCCGAAATCATTTTGAATTTTTGATGCTACGGGGTTCTACAGAACCTGATCTGCGCATCCCAGGCCAAGTAAATGGCCAGGCTGCGCAATCCGCTCAAGAGTTTTGGAGCGACTTTTCAGGGTCCAACCTTAAAGAAAAGCGAGACCCGCCTATCATACCTTGTATGGTTGCGAAATCCGCTTCTGGCACCTAAGAAACTGAAAGGAGCGATTTTCGTTTCCCCCCTGTACATACAAACCACCGTTATGTTTTCAACCGTGGAAACCCCAAGCGGTGCCGGGAATGGATTTGGTCCACCCACAGTATCCGCAGATCTGTGGACGAAGCCTTGAGGTTTACGGGCTGCTCGCTGGGGCTGCTGAATCTCTTCATCATCGCCGGGGCGCCCAGGAGGAAAACAACACCTGGCCGTGGGTCAAAAAATAAATACCCCAAAATGGGTTGCCCTGGCAAATGGAACCCATGACTAAAACAGGGTCCAATTCCTGGTGGTTTAATTTTGACCCACACCCACCTCTGGGCTACCCCCTATGAATCAACCCCTGTTTATTACTATGGGGGTGCTCCCCTCCAAAAGTGACTCCTCGCAAAAACCACAACCGCCCCCATATTCACAAGCACCTAGGTAGCCAAGTTGCGATCTCTTGTTTTCAGTCACTCTTGCTGGCTTTTGGGGTAAATGGATGGAAAAAGGCAGAAACTGGCGATTCAGGCGTCCATCAAAGGAGCTCACAGAAACCGGGGGTCAAAGGGAGGAGCGAGCCGGACGAGGGGAGCTGAGGAAATCCCGGTATCCCAAGTTTTTTGCCTTTGATGGTTAGCGACATGGTAGTTATTTCCAGGTTTTGGAACAATTTGCAGAGCCGCATTGGCCTGAGGCTTCTTTGTCTTTAGTTTACCATCGCAACCACCGTTCAGTGGTACTGGAATCCATTTCGCACCACGGAATGAAACCAGGCTTGAATCCATTGACTGTTCTTATTTACTGGGGAATCGAATCCTTCGAGGGTTTCTTAACGGTGGTGCTGTAGGTTAAAGGGGAACAACCAACAAATTTCTGACTCTAACCCCGAACAGTCAAAGTAATGATCCCAGTTTCTTGTTAGCCAGTTTCTTGCCGGCTTGCCCGGGAATCCTGGAACTCTTTACATGATCTTGGGTTCGCAACTTTTTTCATTCTGGTGCCCGGGTATTGTTTTTTTGACTCCAAAGGTCTGTGTGTCTTGGTGGTTTGCGGTGCCACTTGGCTGTGGCTCAAATAAACGGAGCCCAAAATGGCAGCTTGGTAAGTGGAGCCAAAGACTACCACCTGCGGTTTGCCCTAGTTCTTTCATTTTGCGCCACAGCCCATTTGGGCCTGTCTTTTGTGGAGTTGGTTCCATTTTTTTCGTTTGAAAAAGAAGCCGCAAGGAGAACACCCTTTGGTACTGGAGTGGGTACCTTTTTTGTGGTCTATTTTGGGGTCAGCCACCCGGGTCTCCGGGGCAAAAAGAAACACATTTCTCCTCTCAGGACACCGACCGGACCCGCGAGCTGAAGCTGGCGGCGGAGACGGAAGCCAGCGGGCCGGGGAGCTCAGAGAGTTCGGTTCGGCGTGGCCGCTCCCAAGGAACTCCAAGGGAACCACTCGGGGCTGGGGGGGAGGGAGGAGGGGGGGGAGGGAGCCCTTATTTAGCCCTTAAGCCCTGAATAAGGCCTCATTTAGGGCTTATTTGAACCACTCAGGGTGGGATCACTCGGGTTTTTTCCAACCACTTCGGTGATACAAGTTGGACTCTCCCCCTTGGGGGTTAGTCTTTGGGAAGCCCTTTCTGTTGTATCACAGAAGTGGTCATTCCCCACAACCCTGGAACCACTCATTTGCCATTTTTGGAGGGAACTATTGGGTTTTCAGCAGAACCTCTGGTTGATTTCGAGAGGTGGGGATGCCTCCTTGTAGTGGCGAACGCCTCTGTGGTGGTTGCGAAATCCATTTTCGCACCATGGTTGAAACCACGAGGGAATCAACTCAGTCCAGGGTTTGGTAGGTGGTGCGAAGTGTGCGAAGTGGATTTTGTCCGTCCACTGGCCGAACTGCAGCTGAGCTTTGGTTGGTGATCTGGCAAACCGGTGGTTTGGACAGAGGGACCCGAAGGATGCTAAAACCCCATTTGGCTTCCAAAGGACCTGGGGTTCAAATCCAAGCCACCAAAACTTAACTTCAAAGAGCCAGTCCTCTGCACGACGAGAAAACAACCCAAAAAAAAACAACGAACACAATCGCCAAAGCGGCTGCAAAGTGGCCTGCGGACGGGGTAACCTCTGCAGAGGCACCGCGCTGAAACCCATCGGCGAATCGGGTTCAGTACGCTCTTGCTGAATCTCAGGGGGTTCAAGGGTGGTTTGGGGCAGGAGCCACATCCACGTTTTCTTCAGCGCGAAAATGATGGGAGTTTATACATTTGTTACTTCTGAAACGCGCAAAAAAGCACGTGCGTCCGAAACCTGCCGGGATACAGACCTTACGATTGTGTAGATTATGTCCGCATATGGGTCTGTCTTTTTTTCTTCTTTAAATTAAGGGGACCCCAAATACAATGGCTTCAGCCTTTGGTTTGTCTTTAAAACTGCCAAGAAAGGGGGGTACCCTAAAAAAGGCACACCCATATGTCTTGCAATTGGTCCTGTTACCTTCTGATTGTGGCTCCCGTGCCGCTAAAATCCCCCGAGGAGCCAGTTTTGAACAGAAGGTCAAAACCCAGAATAAGATTATCCAAACACTCCCCCTACAAACCACCGGAAGGAACCCAAAGACTTCCGATCCCCGAAAGGAGTTTCCGCTCTAAAGAGCTGGTTTTTTTGGGGTTCCGAAACGGTCAATCTGTACGGGAGTATCCAAGTGTTTTTTAGGGATCCGGCCAAAAGGAGGGTCCTGACGATTGGCCCTAAAGCTTCAACCCATTGAACCCGCAAAGACACACGTCCATTCATTTTTCACGCCGAAGAAAGGTGAACTCATCCCAAAATGGGTTTACTCTCCCTCTCTCTCTCTCTCTCTCTCTCTCTCTCTCTCTCTCTCTCTCTCTCTCTCTGGGACGGGTGATTTTCAATGGGAAGGGGGCTTGAACCGGATGCGTGTTCGATGCGAGCTTTCGCATGAGAAGTCATGCGCCAATTTGGGGGAGTGGTTGATCCAGAAAGACATCACGTGGATGGTTGGGGGTGGTGTGCCTTATATTAACCTGAAAAACATCACCCCAGGAAACTCAGAGATCGAGTTGGCACAAAGTGATGAAATCGAATTGGCAAAAGGTGATGTTTGAAACCTTGGGAAGGCCCTCACATCCCATCTCCGGGATGGATCCCGATTCAAGAGAGCGAGAGAGCGAGCGGCCCTTTTGCTTTTTGGGGGCGCTGGGGGCGCTCGACTTTTGGGCGCCCGACCGCCGCTCGACCGCTCGACCGCCCAGCGCGCGCGCCGATCCGGGGCCTCGAGGTTCAGCATCTCCATGAGCAACACCCAGCGCCCGGGCACCACCGCCATCACGGTGGAGGGCCCCACCGATGTCCCAGGCGCGAGCCAAACGCAGCGACAGCGAGCGTGCCTTTCCCCCCCCAACCCGATGCTCGGGCGATGCTCGGGCGGCTCGTGCCTCGCTTTCTCGTTTTTGTTTCTTCTTCTTTTTGTGTGTTTTTTGTTCTTTTGTTCCTTTTATTTTTTCTTTTTCTTTTTCTTTTTTTGGTTGGGGTGGTTTGTGGACACAACCCAAGAAGAGGGTGCGGCAAGGGGCGTTCTTATTCCGGTTGGCTATTGTTTTTGAAACCACACAAGAAAGGCGGGTTACCGAGGCTCAAAAGAAGAAAGTGTGTTTGTTTGTTTGTTTGTTTGTTTGTTTGCTTGCTTGCTTGCTTGCTTGCTTGCTTGTTTGTTTGTTTGTTTGTTTGTGTGTTTGTTTGTTTGTATGCTTGTTTGTTTGTCTCTTTTGTTCCCTCTTTAAACATGTGCATGCATGTACTTATTCATGCATATTCCAAATGCCAGATTCTTGTAGGGTATACGGACATGTTGGAAACACATGTTTTCCATGGTGCATTTCTCCTTTCTTGAGGGGGCTGGGAGGGGGTAGGAGGCATTAGCAGATGTAGGCTCCATATTAGATAGTTCGGGGAGGATCAAATCTGAAGCAGACTCTGAATATGTTGTGGATGGATGAAATCCTGCACCACTTTAAACCATGGTTGAAACCATTGTTTGTTGCGAATGAAACAGGGGAATCGACTCATTCCAGGGTTTATTAGGTGGTGCGCAACTTGTCGGACCCCTTTAGCACAGAGAAAGAACACAAACTGGGAGCTCCTTTCAATATATGTTGCAGAAGGTTCGCTAAAATTGTGGGTGGACGAAATCCTGCACCACCTAAGACGTCCTAGAATGATGATCCCCTGTCAATGCCAACAAACAAATTGTTTCCCATGGCTTCACAGTGGTGCAGGATTTCGTCCATCCACAGTATGAACCAGAATCAAACATATGTGTCTCCGGGGCAGAAGCTAAGGTGAAAAAGACATGGGGAGAAGGGAAATAGAGAGAGAGAGAGAGAGAGAGAGAGAGAGAGAGAGAGCGAGAGAGAGATTCAGAGAGAGAGAGAGAGAGAAAAACAAAAACGGTTTTTGCTTGGCATGAAGGTACGAGGTTATCTCCGGGGATGCAGAGCTCCTCTTTGTTCTTGTTAGGGGGGGGGGTTGCCTTTTGATTTCCCTGAGCAAACCTCAAGCGTATTCTTCTCGGTCTCCGGGCTCGCGACCGGCTCGAGTGGTGTTTTCCTTTGAGGAGGGTACCCGTCTTTGGTTTAAAGGGAGGCCAAAAGGAAACCCGAAGCCCATGTTGGGGCATCCCCCATTTGGCACACAAGCCGGATTTAGTGGCGCAAACCTGTTCAAGGGGCCAAATCACTCAAAGAACTGAGGCGCAAAGAAGTGGTCCCTTTATCCTTCATGGCTGTGCGCTTTTTCGAGGATACCTTTTCTTGGGATCGGTTGAAAGGGAGTCCCACTATTTAAACACAACACCAGGACAATCAGATAGCGCGCTCTTCTTTTTGATCACATCTTCGAACGAGATACATCACTTCTTTTTGATCCAACGAGATACATCTCCCGAAGGCTTGGTGAACATGTTAACCGCTTCATGACTCTCTCAACCTCTTTGCCTCCCAGCCAATTTTATGGAAAAAGGCGCAACCCATGGAGGACATCCACCGATTCCTCCACATCAACGCCACCTTGAGAGTCTTTCCAGACCCTTCTTTCCGCAAAACCATTTGGACAAGGGAAGCAGCAGCTGGAGTCTGAAAAGGGTGTGTAAAACTTGCCCTGCAAATGCCAACAAACGTTCTGGCTTCAACCATGGTTCCACAGTATGTCTGCTTGGGCGCAAGTGCAAGTTTTCTTTTTCTACACCGTGGTTTGATCCTTCCTTTATTTTCAAATCTGACGGGTGCCATGTTGGACAACACACTGTTTCTTTTGGAAGCCACCAAACACCAAAAGGGGATGTTGTCCCTGAAGGCTTTGGTTTCCCTTTTAAGAAATCTGGAAAGGGCATCCTCAAAAAGCAAACGGCACACGCCCCCATGTTTCTCAGTGGCCGCGTCCTCGATGTTTGAACCAAGTTGGTACAACCCTGCTGCTGCAGGCGTGGTCGCTTCGGTCACCAATGCCATGGCTTCGGCGGGGATCATTATAAGGCCGCCGTAGCGGGGGGATTCTCAAGAGGCCGTTCTCCGCCAAATGAGTCGAACCAAATTCTGAGAACCCCGTCCGTGAATGAGAGCCGACCGGGTGGGGTTTGGGAACCTCCAAAAGTGGCAGTTTTAGTGGAATCCACCAGTCAATTGATCGACTTAAGGGGAAATCCAGTGAGCCCGGCCTTCCCACCCATATTCTAATAACACCTGAGAATAAGCGCCTTCCTCTTTTGTTGCGGGTCCGGCTTGCACCCCGCAATGAAAACCCATGGAGTTGACACCATTTACTTGCCGAAAGCCGACATTTTGACCTTTGAGTTTTCCGGGTTTGGTCTTTTATTTTCAGGTGCTTGGGGCAAGTGAGTGTACGTTGGGGAATCCGCTCAACTTTTAGGCTTCTGAACGGTGCGAGTTCCCGGCCTCGGAAGGCAGCACGTTGAGCGGTTTTTGCTGACATGGGACCCGGAGGGGAGCTTGTGTGACTCTGAGCAGCGAGCAAGATGACAAGAACAGTTGGTTGGTTGGTTGGTTGGTTGGTTGGTTGGTTGGTTGGTTGGTTGGTTGGTTGGTTGGTTGGTTGGTTGGTTGGTTGGTTGGTTGGTTGGTTGGTTGGTTGGTTGGTTGGTTGGTTGGTTGGTGGTTGGTTTTTGGTTGGTCTGGTTGGTTTGGTTGGTTTGGTTGGTTGGTTTTGTTGGTTGGTCGGTTGGGTGGGTGGGTGGTTGGGTGGGTGGGCCACGGATGAGCTTCAGTTTTTCGAGCTGCCAGCCCTTTCGGGCCCTTTGGGATGCATCGGGTGATCGATGGCTGACTCAATGCGCTAACCGGGGCTTCCGAGCTGGCGGTTGGAAGGGGGCCCTTTTATCGGACCTGGGGCGTTAGGTATCCTTAGCTCCGCGTTCAAAGAGGGAGCCGTTACGGGAGCTACTTCAAGGGCATGGTCGTTTCGGAGATTCTGAGCTGGACTTCCATGTTTGGCGCGAATATGGGCGGTCCTCAAACGGGTTTTGCCAAGCGCCGGACATTTCCAGGGGCCCGGAAAGGTAACGAACCGATTGGACGGGATATCCAGAATAGAACCAACCTAGAGACCTCAAAGGGGATCAAGATTTGCCACTTTCTGGAGCCCAAGGGTCGGCCAACCTGAGGCTGGATTAAGAAGCGCCCATTTGGCCGGAGCTTTTGAACGGGGTCACCTGTTGCCGAATGTGGGAAAAAACCTCTCCTCATGGCGGTTCGCTGGCCTGGCGCTGAGAACGACCTCCCGATTCTCGAGAACTCAGAGATGTCGACAGCCCGACGCATCGTTCCCGATGGAAATAACCTTAACCTCGTTCCGGATGGAAAAGGAATCTGCTTTTGGGTAAGGACCCCCTTTTCAGACACTAAGGCAGTATATCTAGTTGGGGGTGTTTTTTTGGTGTGGGCATCACTTAGGTTGGGATTTATGTGCAATGTGCAACCTTTCTGGGATCCCTGTTGTGTTCAAGGATAATTCTTTTCGGAACAAGCTTGGGAGTCCGACATTTCCGAAGGAGCAATGGTGGAACTGGGCAAATTAGGATGGCGTCCGACGTCACCCATAGTTGTCGTCGCCCAGCAATATTTCTGGGTGCCTATGATTTGCCCAGAATGGGGACTCAACATCTAGAACCGTAGAACGTAGAACCATAAGAGACCTTCTGGAGAAATGGCTTCTCCAGTTCCGTTTAAAGGAACCCGTTTAAAGGAACATGGTCTTCCAGGACCTTGTGAGGTTCCATGTTTGTAGGGGGTCCAATCTACAGAATCGCTGCTCCTCTGGGGAGGGGTCGGAGCCGACCCACACGTCTGGGGCGCGCCAGGGATATGTCTGGACATCGGGATGCAGACTCCGTCACTGAAGGCGCGGGTGCTTCTCGGGTTGATGCTTTTAACCGGGGTCCCTAGATATGTCCCTTGTTGGTGATTTTAAGCATCACCTTTTTGTAACCCATGAAATGTGAGTTTGCGTTTCCCTCAAACCCCATAAAGCTTGTCTCAGAACAACTGGGTGAGCTGACCAGCTGGTGTTTTTGGATTGGTGGGCTGGTTGCCGGTTTAATCACCCCTGGGAGGGGTTCAAACCCCCAAATCGCGAAGGCTTTTGGATGGCTTCAAAGGGAAGCCAAAAGCAAACCGCAGCCCATTTTGTGGGTTCCCCTTGAAACAACCCCGCTGTACATAAACAGTTCTTTGAGTGGGTTGATGGGGCACCGTATGGGCCATCGCATGGTTTGAGAAGGTTCGACTCTAATATGGGTTTGGCTGAACAACAATGGGGGGGGGGGTCTGTTTGGTTTCCCTTTTGCAACAATCCAATAGGTATGGGTGTAATTAATTAGCTTACATCAAGCAGCCCTTCATGATCGGTAGACTCCATCCTCATCTTTTTTTTGGGGCTTCGGTCGACCAAAAGTGATCCAGCAAAAAAAAGTGGCAGGCCTTTGTAAATGGAACCGAGTCTTAAGGGGTTCTGGGGGCTTCCATGGAATCACTTGGGGCAGGGTACTTGGATGCTCGGTAAGTGCCAATTGGGGGAAAAACCACCTAATAGCAAGGTTAACTCCACTGAACGGGGGACTTATGAGTGGGTTACAAAGTATTGGACCCCTTTAATGGAGAACGACAAGAGGTGTGTGTGTGTGTGTGTGTCTTCTCGGTACAACAGGAAACCCGCGTGCCCCAGAAAAAAAAGACATCCCCATGCAGAGTGCGGCGCGGGGGGAGGGGGGGGAAGGGGGGGAATGGGATGGGAGCTTTCTGGGGGACGGGGGGTAACCCAGGGAGCTCAATCCCTGAGTTGTTTGCTGTGAAGCCCGGATTAGTGCGGTCTCGTTTGAGGATTTGGACCGCCAAATTGAGCTTTGGCCAACACCCCTTGTTGATTAATTTGAGGTGTCCAATTCCTTTTAGTGGGGAACACCCTAATAATGGGCCGGGTTTACTATTCCGGGATCAACATTACTCTTTAAGTTTTGGGAAACACATTGTAGTTCAGCCTCCCTTACTGTTTTGGTGGCTTGGAAAGGTGATTTGGATGTGAATTCACACCCTAGCCCCTACCCACTAAGCCACCAATCCAAACCACTAGATAAATAGAAGGAAGCGGAACAGTGGCACACAGCTCAGGAAGTGAGACATAGATAAAAGGGGCGAGCTACCCCGTTGGATTGGACCAACCACTTGCTTTAGCTTCTGCTTTTTACTGGTTGAAGGCGAGGGCAACTGATCGTTGTCTTACCGATTCCGCAGACTTTTTCACAAGAGCCCAAAGCGAATCGATGGGATCTGATCTTTATTACTTATTTTCGTTTTATTTTTACCCACCTTTACCTAATTTATTCAGTTATTATCTAGTGGTTATCTTAATAAATAGAAAGGTCGATATTTAATAAAAGTACGGGGTTTGGTCTATTTGTGGACTTCGCCGGTCCCCAGGCTTTTCCGTAGGTTTTTCCAGGTGTTTGGGGTTGAGTGCTTGCCATCTCGCACCAAAAGTGAAGCACTTGGAGCAGATTTGAGCACAGTTAGGTTGAGTCGACTGGGTCCCCCAGTAGTGCTCTTTTACCCTGTTTTGGTTGGAGGGTTCCCCTACTAAACAAGACAAACTTATTCTAACCTCTCAAATCTGGAGGACCTAGCTAAGGTCCACCCTTCCTCCCATGCCATGGCTAGGGGTTCGCAAGGGGTGCGTTCGTTTTGTGAGAAGGGTGATCTCACCTACGCCCAGCGGCATAGGTGTCCTTTTTGGTTGTTTTGGCGGCAAAACAGATGGCGATTCCTGGTTTACCTGGTGGGATTTTTTTCATCTACCAGGGAAACCTATCTTTTTGCCTTAAAAGGCCACCTCCCCCCAGCGCCCGGGCGTTGTTTGTTTTTTTCCCCAACAGCTGAAAGCTTTGGGGTCTCAGCCCAGATAGGCTCCGGGGTGGTCCGGGGCGGCCCTGAGGTAAGGTTCCACGAGGGTTCCACCAGGGTTCCACACAAGGGTTGCACAAGGTGGCTGTGGGGTGGTGCGAGCACTAAAGAGAGCACCGCATGCTGTTGGGGATATCACCTGAGCATATTTTTCTCCTCCCCCCCCCCCCCCCAACAGCTCAAAGCTTTCGGGTCTCAGCCCAGATAGGCTCCGGGGTGGTCCGGGGCGGCCCTAAGGTAAGGTTCCACCAGGGTTCCACCAGGGTTCCACCAGGGTTCCACCAGGGTTCCACCAGGGTTCCACCAGGGTTCCACCAGGGTTCCACGAGGTTTTGCGAGGGCTGCGGGGTGGTGCGAGCACTACAAAGAGCACGGCATGCTGTTGCGAATGTCACCTCATTTTTTTTGGCAACTGCGTGAGGTCATTTGTATCTGACCTTCTACGTCACCAAGGGCGGGGAGGAGGCTCGCGAATCGACACGGGGCCACAAGTGGCAGAGATTGTGTTGATTGTGGCATTCTGGATTGGGATTGGGCAACTTCCATTTGGTTAAGTTGTTTTTCCCCCCTGTTGGTTTTAAAGGGAATCGATTTCACTACTGGAATGTATTTGCTTCTTTTTTGCCAGGGAGCGGTTTTTCCAAATGGAAGCATGGGCACCCACAAGTTGCTTGGCATCAGGGGAATCAGCATATCGGTTTAGACCAGGGGATCGATGGCCAACCGAAAGGGGATCGATTTATGGCCAAATTTCTCTTTTCAGTCCATCTACTTTCACATCAATCTCTTGCATTTTGACTCAGGTGCTCATTTTTTTCAAAAGTCGTCGAAAAAAGGGGGGGGGATTGTGGAGCCCGTGGTGAGATTCGTCCCGGGATTCTTTGGCTTGCATTCTGCAGCGGGAATGCGGCTGAGACACCCGGTTGCTCATCTCGATTCGTGGGCTGCAACAGAGCGGAGTGGTCTCAAAGTGGTCCCCCCTTTGGATTGGCATTGAAAGGGAAGCCCAAGGGAACCCACCCAGTTCTTTTGCCCCGCCCCACCCCTCCCCCCCAAATTCCCAAAGCACATTTTTTCAAGGTGGAGGACGATGAGCTGGCGGAGCTGGGGAGGACCATCATGATCGCATGCAATGACCCCCAGTTCCACCAGAGCCTCGGCTTGGAAAGACGCGTTTTTCTCAGCTGGCTGAAAGGCGAGTGGCTGAGATAGTGCGAGCCGCTGCGAGTGTCAATTGGGGGGTTTGTCCCCTTGGTGCTAGAAGGTGGACGGGACACCGCTCCCTGACCTCCAAACCTCCAAGCCACAAATCAAGGGGGAAGCTGTGTGAGTGTGTGTGTGTGTGTGTGTGTGTGTGGGTGTGTGTTTTTTGAGTGTACCCTCTTTCAGGTAGGTTCAAAGGGAAACCAAAAGGACCAGTCGCAAAATTTTCCGTTTTGGGCCTCGGTTGTTTGGACACCGGCACATTTTGCTTGGTTCGCTCGCGCAGTATCACGAGCGATCCTACCCGTCCGTAAGAATTTGCCATGACGGCCCCTCTGGGAGGATTTTCGGGATTCCGAGTGAGTTTTTTTGTTTTGTTTGTCATAGCCGTGGATGACTGCGAAATCCATGTCGCACCAAAGAACCCCTGGTTTCTGAATTGGTTCCCCTTCTTCGACGTGACTTGAGCACTGCGTAGCGCAGCACCGCTCTTGGGTACTGACCGGCAAGATAACAACCAAGATGCACTGTGTTTCAACCATGGTTTCTTAGGTGAATGGATTTCGTCCATCCGTAGTAGCATTTTGCTGGATGCATCAGCTTTCAGCGTGAGGACAACCACTCCCTCAGGGAAGCGTGCCAACCCAATGTTGTTCGCAGAAAGATGCCAAGATTCCACTTTCAGGTTGTTCTTCGGTCCGTCTCAAACTGGAAATCTGAAAACCTTTGAACGAATCCCAGGAAAGGGAAATGTTGACCCCACATTATTCCCCCCTTTTTGTTACCAAGGGGGTGTCCGTCCTTGCGGAACCACCCCGCACCCCTATCAATAGCCAACATTAGCCTCAACAAAGCGAGCCACCCAGAGCGATCCAACATCCAATCTGTCAAGAGCAGTACCTGGGATACACGCTGCTCGCTTGCAGCGAATGGCCAAAACCCTTTCCTTTCATTTGCGTTTCAGAATGTTTGGTTGGCTTTCCAATTTTGGTGTTAACGGGAATCTTTCACTACTGGACATATTTCATTTTTTTCCAAGGGGCTTAAGCAAACCCTTCACTGGCCAATTCAATTCTATTTTGCCAGGTTTTGGGTGAAGGTAGATGGCAGGATGGTAGATGTGCACTGAACGAGCGTGAAGCCTGTTGCGAGGCCAAAAGGAGAGACCTAGACAACCTATTCTGAGGGGACCGAACCCTTTTTTTGGGGCAAGCGCAACTTGGTTTGTTTCAGACAGGGGTCCCTAGATATTTTTCCCTTTTTGGTGTGGTTTTTGAACATCACCTTTTCTGGCCCATGAAAGGCGAATGTCCCTTGGTGGGTTGATGTTTTCAGGGGAAACATACTGTGGGTGGACGAAATCCATTTCGCACCACTTAAGGAGCCCTGGAAGTATGAGTTCCTGGTAAATGATATGGTTTCAACCATGCTTCAAAGTCGTGCGAAGTGGATTTCGTCTATCCACAGGGAGCCCTGGTTGGGCGCCCCAACTTGCCCAGGAAGAAGGAGAAGAGGCTTCTCGCAGAGATGGAGGCGGGTGGGTTGGGTTGGCTCCTTGGTCTCGAGTTTGATGATAGACTGCTATTGGGCAACGGATCTTTAGACCTTAACTTTTTGCAATCAAGTTGGGTTTTCCACTCACCCAAACAAAGTTAAACTTTCTGCAGGGGTCAACAGCAACCAAGACTCCTCCCTCTTGCGGTGTGCCCTGACGCCTCAGTCATTTGGGTTGGGAGGACTTTGGGGCAGCCCCAAAGAAATCCCCACAAACACGGAGGGACTCACGAGTTTTTTTGTTCCCATGTCCAGTGCGCAAACCGCGGATTTTGCCCGTGCCTGGTGTCCATTTTAGAGGTACACAAACCGTGCGGGTACTTTTCGCTCTTGGCCAATTGCTGTTCCTCAGTTGCCCAACGCGAATCGGCCTGAAATTACCATTTGGCTTCTCTTTTTGGTCCATGTTTGATCCGGGGTCTCAAAGTTTAACCTTTGATTTCCAGGTCCTTTGGGTAAGTGAGTTTCTGAACTCTGGAAGCAAGAACCTCTGATGAACCAGCTTCCAAAGGACCAACAAGCACGTCGTACCCACCGTTTCCCCCCCCCCCCTGCGCACCCCGCGGGGCTTCTCTTTTTCCCTTTTACTTGGAGGGACATTTTAAGTCAACTCCCACAGAAGCTGGACATGTTAGGTGTGGGCTCGGATTTTTTTGGGATAGCAGACGCCAGACTCTCTCCCACGGCCTTGAACGTGGCGATTCTGAGAAAGCCTCGTGCCTCTCTATGCGATTCGGGGGTTCTCAAACGAGCGAAGCTTATGATGCAGGCCTCTGGTCGACTTAGTTGGAGCTTCGGGGAGGGTTCCGGAGATTCGGGTCCTTTGGCGGTTTCCATTTGGGCGGTTGGGGCAGCCCAAAACTTGCGAGGGAACCACCCCTACAAAGAACCCCCGATTTCTGAAAAGGGAAGCCCCCGGCGGGGAAAGTTTACTTGTCTCCCTCACCAAACAACCTTCCTCTTTCCGCCAGTGTGATTCATTAACTTTGGATCGAGAGTTTGTGCGGCACTTGCTTTAGGGTCAGGAGTCCTAAACCCTTCCCAAACTGATTTCTCAGGCACATTTCTCAGGCACGTATAGGATTTTCCAGGCACTTGTTTTAGGCTCAGGGGTCAGATTTCTCACTCCTTCCCAACTGAGGGGTGAGACTGCCGCCAGGATCTCCGGCAGCAGCTGGGCAAGACCAAGACCTCCCTCAAAGAGGCGCTCAAGGAGCGAGCTGGCCGGCCTCCATCCGTGGCGAGCGAGCGGGCGGCGCTTTTTTTTGTTGGGGGGTTTTGCGAGCCGTGGATGGGTTTTGGAGGTGCCATCAGCAGAGCACTCCGTGGCGAGCGGGCGGGTGGCGAGCTTTTTTCTTCTTTTTTTTTTTTTTATTTTTTTTTATTTTTCTCCCGAGAGCTGTGGATGGGTTTTGGAGGTTTACCGAAAGGATGAATGAAAGGAAACCAAACCAAAGGGGGCTTCGGGTTTCCTTGTGGTTTCCCTTTGAAGCCGACTCAAAACAGCAGGTGCCACGTCCGGTTGCACAGCCCAGTCAGTGGTTTGGATTTGGTCGTGCCACAAAAAAGACACCCAGATGATGCGAGGGGAATCCCCTTCGACGTATTAGAGTACTCATGGAAATGGCTTTTGGTATCACCGATTTCGGGTGACAACCATGGGCTCAAGACAGGCAATCGGCTTCTCTCTTCTTGTTACATGATAAGCTTCGCTAAATCAGGTAACCCTTAGTTGGCGGTTTGGAGCGGTGGTTTGGGATTTGAATCTCTGGCAAGTGGGAGCCCGCCCTAACCTCCAAACCTTCGAGCTGACTAAATATGGGCGTGGCTCAAATTTTAAGAGCCAGAACAACGGCAGGTTTGAGTCTACTTGTCCAATTGCTGAAGAATATATTTTATTTTCCCCTGTTGGTTTTAAAGGGAATCTATGACTATTGGACATATTTGCTCATTTTTCTAGGGGGCGAAAACGCAAATGGAAGGAGTTGTCTCGATTGGCCGGGTTCCCTTTTGAGCCACACTCATTGGGATCATTGGGCAGAGGCTCTTAGGAGGCGGGTGCCCAAGATGGGCTGCCGGCGGCCGGGTGTCCTCTTTTTTTCTTTGGCCCTTAGCCGAAAATACGGGGAGCCTCCCAAACAACCCTCGGAGTTTCTCAGCGCTGTAGGGGAAAGGTGCGAAAAGGAATGTTGAAAGTCTTCGCATGCCTGGGGGACTTATTCTGGCGCAGAATCACGCTTGTTCTGGATTCCGGCGAAGAAACCTGCTTCGGACACGAGCGTCTTTTGCGACAGACTATGTCCGCCCATCCGCCAAGAGCAGCCCCCACCAGTGTTTGCCTTCTTCAACCCTTGTGTCTTCAAGAGGTTTCTTGACTTTCAGGCTCATTTTATTTCCAGGTAGTTCCAATACCAGACTTAGGTTACCTTTTTGCCTTCTTGCCTTTTTGGGCTTGATTCATTTGGCTCCATCTTTTTTGAGCCTCGCACCGGTTTTCACATGGAACCTGACGTTAGGGGGGTCCTAGTATATGGAGAAAGTTCCGTTGAACGGGACCGTGTCCCTGTCAGGTTCCATGTTAATTGGTGCACTGGTGGGAGGCGGGTCCTCCTTGAGGCCAAGACGGGCCTGGCCACTGGAGCTCGCTTGAGCAAACCCGATGGGATGTTTTTTTTTTCTCCCTCGGTGCCCCGATCGGAAGGGGTTTTTCAAAAAGAGAAAGCATGAGGGGAAAGCATGCCTGGCTGAGCAGGCTTGAACTGACCCACCTCCCACCCCCTGGGGCTTTGCAATTGTGCGTGGCAATGGGTCCCTTCCCACCACCCCCTCCCCCCCCCCCCGGTTTTTTTTTTTTTTGTGTGCGCGTGTGTGTGTGGGCTTTGCCTTTGTTTCCTTTCTTCGCTGTCCAGTCTTCTTCTGGTCGTTTCCGTTCGCTTTTGGCCGAAGAAATCCTTTTGCGAACAAAAGTCAAACCCTTCAGTCGAGCAAAAGGGAGCCACTGCTGCAACATCTCAGTCCGCTCCAAGGAAAAGTCACCCGGGATGTGAGTCAGAACTCAGAGATCTGGTCGAAAAGTCCCAAGGAGCCCACGGCTCAACTTTTTGCCAGCTAATGGGTTTTCCTTATTAAACCACTGAAAGTTAGTCACTTTTAGCAGGGCTTAGCAGAAAGCAACCGAGTAATGCTAACCATGCTAAGCCGAAGCCTGCTACCCTGCTTCGAGGGGGGAGCAAACCATAGAGACTTGGCCTTGATTCGCTCTGGATAGGACAAGGAGCGGGCCGAGACTATCATGGAGGTCGGGGCTGGGTCGACTGAGGCAACGTTTTGGGGGAAGCGACAGCTCAGGGAACACCAGACGCAAGCAGATCATTCAGCAACCTTGGTTGCTCCCAGCCATCTGGTTCCTTAGCTTTTTAGCCTTTTAGTGTTTGGTGGGGGATTCCATTCAACCCACTAAAAGTTAGTCACTTTTAGCGGGGGATCTGAGCCCAGCAAAGAAAACCATGAGGTGTTGGTGCAGCCAGGCAGTTAGTTTGGTTGCAGGTCTACGGCTTCTAATCGCACCACCCGGTTGGGAAGGACTGAAAGTTGCCAATTTTATCAGGGCTCCTTAAAAGATACATTTTGCCCTTTTGAAACATGTTTTTTCCACCAAGATAAAGGGACACCACCATTTACAAGGCAATGTTCAGGTGTATAATGTAAGGATCCCTGTTTATTTGCGGGTGCCCTTCTGACTAAGAAGCAAGGGGTGCAATTGTCCCTTTACATGGCTGTGGAAAATTTCGAGTTTTCGGTTGCCATCTCTGTGACACTTGTCAGGGGCCCGCCCCCGGTTTGATGAGACCACCATCTTGGCTCCATTTAAAGCGATAGGCGCTAGAGTGAAATGAGTGCAAAGCTGAGCGACAGTGTGGCTGCTGACTGCCCAGGGTTGAAGGGCTGCGCAAGATCGAGGCAGAAGGTTTGGCAGACGCCCGGCGCATCGTTGCAAACAACGATTTTCTGCGAGATCAACAAGCTGCGCGCACGGCGTTTTGCGTGGGAACGTGGGGCACAACTGCAGAGAGTGATGGCCCCACGTTTGTCGACCACAGCGTTGGCCAGCGATCCAAACCTGGCGCAGAGGAAGGTAGAACTTCTACGCTGGACAGACCGGGGGGCGGATTGCCCGGCTTTGTGCCGCTTGTCCAGGGCATGCCGATGATCTTGGCGGACCGCGTGGGCAGGTCTCTGAACGCGGCCCATGTCGCGGAAAGCTTTGCCTTAAGCCTTTAAAGGGGGCCGTGAACGTACGAAGGATTGCTTGGGGCTTCTGGCGCGGCCGGCGTTAAGGTTTCCCCCAAACCCGGCCAACCCTGAAGTTCTGGATGATAATTCTTGGCATGCCGTGGATCGGCGAAGTCCATTTCGCGCCACGTCGAAACCATGGGAAACCATTGTTTCTTGGATTTGCAGGGGGAATCATTATTCCAGGTTGTTTGTGGTGATGCAGGATTTCGTCCATCCACAGTACTGCTTGCAAGCAGGGTAGGTTACCGTGGTTGTGTGGGATATGGTTGGTTTACTTTTTTTTTCTTTTTTTTTTTTTGGGGGGGGGGGGGGGTTACACACATCCTCCTTTGTCCTTTAGGTAGCTGGTTGGAGCGGAGCCGTTCCGGCGGCTGGGACCTGGTATCCAAATGTTTGCCTTGCAAGAGGCAGGCTTTCGGAGCTCTCGCAAGATCGGAGTCCTGCGGTTCGCCACTTAGAACTTCACGGTTCTTGGCATGTTTTTTAGTTTTTTAGTTTTGTGGTTCTGTTCATTTTACTGGGGGTCTGCAAAAAACAGTTTGCTGTTACCATACCAAGAGTGGAGATGAGATTCTAGCCCGCAAACGGTCTGTTTCCCACTGAGCAGCAGGGATTGTTTTTAGTGGGTCCTAGCCTAGAACGACCATCTTGGCCCTTCCGAGCGAACTGTTTCTTTCCCTTCATTCCCTTGCACTGGCTTCGGACTATTTGTTACTTTGCCCCTGGTCATGCGTCATCGATTTCACTACTGGGCCACAGGTTGTGCATTTCTCCAACGGGGACGCGGGAAAGCAAATGGCGGGGTTTCTCTCCCCGCGGCCAGAAGCATTTCCTGCGGGTCGGCAAGAAGACCGAGCCGCCGCCGCTGCCGGAGGCCGCGTGAGGCGCGCTCTGCTCGCCTGGCGGGGGTTCGGTGCAGGTCAGGTCGGGTCCTGGGCCAAAAAGGCCCGGAAAGAGGAGGAGCCGGGGGGCCGGGGTCCCGATATCTTTTCGGGGTTTTAGGTGGTAAACATTTTTTTTCTTCCGTACATTCTGGCGAGTATTTTCTGGGTTAAGTTTGGGTCTAAAGACCTGTTGGGCACCATTTGTGGTGAGTCGTTTCATCTTAGGTGAGCGTCGTTGGCACGGTCATGGTGGTCTAGGGCGAGATGGAGTTGAGAAAAATGATGGACCCAGGGCTGCCCTTGCTCAGGCTCCTTGATCTCGCAGGTTTCACACATACGGAGCACGGGTGCTGACGCAGACACGTATGGCTTGTCTGCCAGCTTCCAAAATTTGCATCCGTGGATCCACGGTGGCCGTACGCCCTTCTTTCCGGCCTTCACCCATGGGGGTGAGACAAGGTCGGGCGTTTCCAGAGGGCGCTTTTGCAGTACAATGCACACATTGATTGAAGGAAGTGAGGTGAGTTCTGGCCGAGAAAAGAGAAAGCCGCTGCTCAGTCTTCTTGTTCACGGCTCTCCAACCTCCAGAAAATGACCTGCTAAAGGGATTTCAGCGCTCCAAGAAGCTGTTCCGGGGCAACCCGTTTTCAAAAGGCCCATAGCGACGGGTTTGGTTTCCTGGGTAGCTTCCTTGAATTATGATTTTATTTTGGGCAAGGGGGGCCTTGAGCTGGGAAATCATACTATGGATGGACAAACTCCTGCACCGATTTGAAACCATCGAAAACCCTTGTTTGTTGGTGTGTACACGGTAAGCAGCATTCCATAATATCTTTAGTGGTGCAAGATTTTGGCCATGCACAGCAGCAACCCCACCACCAATGAAAGTAGTTTTTCCTTATTTCAGGACCCCCGCCCCCGTCCCTGTGGGTGAGGTTTTATGCTCGGGTTTTTTTTCGCATTGAACTCCGTCCATTGGACGGCTTGACGGCTGCGACTACCTGGACGCATGTTTTTTTTTGTACATTGTGGTGTGCGTGTGTGTGTCTTTTTCCGAGGGTCAGGATGCTAGCTCAGACCTTATTTGGATTTATGTGGGGATTCACAATGTGGCAAGCAACGCCTTATTTGGCCTTGCTTGGTTGGCGTTACCTGCAGTCTCCTCCAAAACTGTTTCCATTTCGGGATGGCTTAAATATGAATGGGAATCCTTTGTACCCCAGATGTGCGTCAAAGGAGCACTTGGATCGTTTTGGCCATCTATCTCTGGCTGGGGGACTTATTTGTTTGGGGGGAGGGGGAGGGGGAGTTCCTGCAACCAATAGGTTGGGTGGAAAAGTTGGTTTGAGGGCCAGTGAGAACCCCATATCACACGGCCTGTTTTTCAACAGCCCAACATCTGAATTGGTGGGTTGGATTGGTGGTTTGGTTACGGGCAGCCTCCCTTCTAGAAACAAGGGCTCCAATCCCCAACCCCCCACCAATCCAACCCACCAACTAAGGGATAGCTGATATAAAATAAGCCAAGCAAACCCAGGTGATATCCCCAACGCCCCGGAACCTCCTTCCAAACCACCCCAGCCTACGCAGAGCTTCCATAGCTCCAGCTGTTTTGGAAAAAGCTCGGTGTTTTTCTTTGGTTTCTCAAAAAAAACAGAACACTCCCACTTTGCATTTTTAGGTCGAGAGGGGCGTGAGTCGGAGAGGGCTTGAGCTTGAATAGGGCAGCCGTGTGGCTCGATGGCGGGGGAGGGCATCTTGCGGCTGCGGGAGCTGGTGGATGTGGCGGAGGAACAGGGCCAGCTGCTGTGGTCCCTGTGCCTGGGACGTCACATGGTCAGGTACCCCTTGGTTGTTTGGAGCCCGGGAAACCTAGGAAAAAAGGAATCCTACTGTGGATGGCCGAAATCCATTTCGCACCATATTGAAACCATAGGAAGCCATTGTTGGTTGGTATTTACAAGGAAATCATGATTCCCAGGTTTCTCAGGTGGTGCAGGATTTCGTCCATCCACTGTATTGCCTGAAACTAGGGCGCCTGCGCAGGGACCCAGTCGGTTGCTTCTTGATTCAAGCTTTGGGTGAAGGCCTCTTCTCGCGCTTTGGATGTTGCACAAATCACGTAGAACCCCTGAAGAGGCCCGGTCGGTGCTTGCAGTTCCTTCCAGCTCCTTTGGGCGGAGCAGCTTCCTTTTTGAGGCGGAAGCTGGTCTGACGGGCCTGTGGGAAATCGCTATCAAAGAACATATTTCCGGGTGCCTGAGGGGCAAACGAAAGGGATCCAGGATTGTGGGTTTGTCGCTTTTTTGCGGAACCGTCTTTCGGTTGGTTTTAAAGGGAAACCAAAAGGACGCCAACCACTTTTTGGGATCTTTTTGGGGTGCAGAAAGACCCATATGGGGGTGTCTTCAGCTTGTGAATGCCCTTTGTCAACAGCAAGCGTCGCTGAATACATGTCCTCGGAATTCCCTGGTCCATTTCATGAATCGGTCGGTTTTGGGGGCATGTGGCTTATCCCCTAGTTCATGGCACCTTGGCCCCGTCAGGCCCAGTTTGCCTGTCATAGCAAGAGGGTGGTATTCGAACATTGGACCCGGCCCGGGTGTATGAAGGTCAGAATGCTAGCCAATACGCAGGTGTGGACGGATGAAATCCTGCGCCAGGCAAGAAACCATGAGAAGCCATTGTTGCTTGGTATTTACAGGGGAATCATCATTCCAGGGTTTCTTGGGGGAGGCAAGATTTCGTCCAGCCACAGTAGGCGTCGATACTTATACCTTTTGAGATCAGGTCAGTGATAGACAACGTGCTTGGGCCATTTCCAGGCCAGTGAGGTTAGGGGCAAGTACTTGACAGGTTTCGATACACATGATGTGTTTTTTTCTGTTTGTAGCCTCGCAAAATACGTGGAACCCTCTCAAACCCGGGTTCCACCTGAACAAATGCAGGCAGAGAGAGTCACGTGTGAAGCTTGGGGTATATCTCGGCTCTAAACTCGGCCTTGAGCTTTTTGCTTGTGTCTTTTTGGAGGAACCCCGTTTGGATTGGATTTAAACGAACACCAAACGGAAGTCCGCCATACATTTTGGAGTCCCCCCCCCAACAAAAAGACACACCCCATATGGCCATACGGGAAAAGGCGTCTTTTTTGGGTGTGCACAATTCTTGGTTGGGTTGAAAGGACGCCCCCCCGGTTTTAGTTTTAGGGGGGGGTCGATTCATCTTCCCTGGTGCTTGGGACGGCCTTGGTTCTGATCTTTCTCCGCACGCCCTCGGCTGGCGCAAGGGGCTCGGCTTGAGCCAACTGCTGTCCCTCTGATCAAAGAATGGAAGTGGAGGAGCCATTTCAAGAGGTCCGACACCCTTCGATCGTCCACTTTCCATTATTGTTAGAAAGCTTGGTGGCTCCCAGCCTTCCGGTTCCTGAGCTTTTGAGGGTTTTTTCGTTGGTTTGGTGGTAGTTTCCTCATTTACCTCATGAGAAGGAAGTCGCTCTTAGCAGATCAGAGGGACTCGGACAGCCCCGAAAGGTGAGGGTGATCATGTTACTTCCGGGCGAATGTCAGATTTCGAGGGTCCAGCTTCGGTCTTTGTGTTGGAAGGCGTCCTTGAAAGCGGACTATTTGCTAGGTCCCCCAGTCGTGCCTCTTCTCTCCCCTTTTTTGGGGGTTTTGGGGTTCCCCTACTTAAATAGAGAAAGCCGAAAAAAAAGGGTCGGGTACCAACTTCCAACCTCTCAAGTCTGGAGGACCAGGCGCCGATCATCCCAAGCCCCAGGGTCCTCGGAACCCGACGGCCCTCGACGGCCCGAGGAACGCCGCGGCGGTGCTGAACGGCTCGGCAAAGAGACGCTCGCCCCGATGCGCGAGTGTCGACGTACGGCCTTTTTGTTTTGGATGGAGGGTTTCGGTTGGGATGTGTCTTAAGGAGGTGGTTTTCTTCCGGGAAAGCCCAAAGGGGAAACCGTTGCGCTGTGTTCCGTTTCCCTCTTTGGGCCCAGCCTCAAGTCGGTTTTTCCACCTCGCCTCGTGTCAAAACCGTCTCCGTCTCCGTCGGAGTCGTCGGGGTCGTCGGAGTCGTCGGAGTCGTCGGAGTCGGAGGCCTGGTGCTCAGCGGCGCGGAGTGTCTGCGGAAGAGCTGTGAGGCGCAGCTCAAGGCCCATGGCCCTGGCAGCTGGGTGGAGGCCGGGGGGGAAGGGTTGGATTGGGGCGGGGAAGAGGGGTGGAGGGGGTGGAGGGGGTGGAGGGGGTGGAGGGGGTGGAGGGGGTGGAGGGGGTGAGGGGCGTTTGGGGGGGAGGGAGGGTTGGAGGGTTGGAGGGTTGGAGGGTTGGAGGGTTGGAGGGTTGGAGGCAGTTGCTGATAAAATGTTGGTACGCGGCCACAATATACGCGTGTCCAGTTGTTCTTCGGCATCCCTAGGCCGAACGGCCATCCGGTCTGGGGGTTGTAAGCCTGTTGACGGTGGCGGCTTCGATTGGGCGATTTGACAATTTCGAAGCCCAGAAACGCTTTAGACAAACTTGGCCAGTGGATTCCACCCTCCGACTACTCTTTTTTTTTGGGGGCTGCTTGCCAAACAAATGGCACCCAGCCCCAACGAAGAAATGCGTTCACTTTTTTTTTTGCATTTCATTGTAAGATGAACCGATTGGAATGCGCAAGCTGGAATCCTTTCTAACTTGAAACATCACCGGCGAAACACCTTGGACAAATCACTTCACTGTTGCTGGAAAGTTGTTTGGTTTGTTGGTTTCTTGGTTCTGTTTATGTTGAGGCGGGAGCCTGCAGGGCTAAAATTGAAACAACTGGGAAGGTCCTCCAAGCCAAGTCGCCCAGGGTTGACAAGCGGGTCAAAACTGACTTGGCCACCTGGTGGTAAGGATCCTCAATATATAAGCATTATACTGATCTTTCAGTTGCTTAAGAATTTGTCCCATTTTCCCGGTTGGTTTTTGGAGGGAATCGATTTCACTACTGGACATATGGGAGGCTTTCGCAAATGGAACCTGGTTCCTGTTCCTCATTTTTGTTCGCAGGGAAACCAGGAAGACTACCGCGATTTGAGTAGGCCCCCCTGAAAAGCAAAGAAGGGGTTTCACGCTCTCACATGTGCGTGGCTCCAAACAAAAAGCAACAAAACGCTGGGCGCTGCACCCCTGGCGCGGCTGACAAAGGGTTCCCCTCACTTCCTGGGTTCCCGGGCCCTAGACAATCTGGGGAAGATCAGAGCTTGTGTTCCTGCCTGATTTTCCGGGCCAACTGGGGAAATAGAAAAAAGTACAAAGTTCGGGTTCCTTTTTTTTTGTTTCATTTTTTCTTCCGTTTTTTTTCTCCCCCGAAGCAAGGGGCCAGCTTCGAGGGTCTCCAGTCTCGGCTTTTCGCTCGCTCGGGGCTCGGGGCGGTCCGGCGGTCCGGGGCGGGGGGCTCGGGGGGCGGTCTCCGCAGGCGCTGGCCTTCGAGGCCTCGCGGACGGAGCGCCTGGCGTGGCTCTTCGGCGCCCTGGGCCTGGACTGCCACCTGCGGCACCACCGCCGGGGCTTGGAAAGCGCGGAGAAGGCGGGAGGAAGGGGGGGGGTGAGGCGGACAGGGGGTGTGGCGGGGTGGGTGGGTGGGGGGTGTGGGTGGGGGGGGGTGAGGCGGGGGGGTGGGGGCTGGGTTGGGGGGGGTGGGTGGGTGGGGGGGGTGTGGGGGGGTGAGGCGGTGTGGGGGGGTGTGGGGTGGGTGGGGGTGGGGGAAGAGCGAGGCGAGCGGGTCACCTCTTTCCGGAACCGGGAAGTGGAAGTGGGGGGTGCGAAGGGTGGCGCCTTTTTTTTTGGGGGGGGGCCGGATTTGAGAGGGGGTTGTTTTATTATAGGGGCCCCCTGCTCCTTCCCGCTCAGATAAGGGGATATGTTTCCTCAACAATGAGGGTGTTTCCTCAGACGAGTCATTTTGTCATCATCCCCTTCAGTGGATATTCAATGGTTGGCCTGTTTGAAGAGGTAGTTCAACGAGAAACCGGGTCGACCACCCTGGATTTCCATTTGGGCGTGTATTTTCTTAGCGCCCCCCCCCCCCCCCGAAAAAGAAGCGCGGTTTTTCCTTTCGGTTTCCCGTGAAAGCAACCAAAAAAAGGAGGTCTCCAAGAGACATACTGATTCACGGTTCCATTTCTCTATTTGCAGGCAAGCCTCGGGGCCCCGCATGTCCGTCCCCTCCGACCCGAAGGCCCGAACACGGGTGGACATCCGGAAACCCCCTTTCCGTGAGGCGGAGATCGTGCGGGCCGTGGTCGGCGAGCTGGAGCGCGAGGACGGGGCCCTCTTCTTCTTCTCCCTTACATACTTGCCAAAGCGAAATCGACCGGATCTGAAACAACGGTTGGCCTTCCCAGGCTTTTGGTCGTGGTTCTAGGCCAGGTTCCAACCAGCTGAGCCTTTGTGGGGGCTAGTAGCGCCAGCGGCGCCGCGCTACTCTTTTCAGAGATCCCTTCCTTCGAGCGCCAACCCGGTCGCGAGATGGCCTTTTTTGGGGAGGAGCCCATTGGATAGGAAGCAGCGCTCGTGAACCCTGGAATTCGCCCCCATGGAAGTAGATGACACCACTCGTTTTTTTGGGAGGGTGCCCCTTGGTGGTTTTCCAAGAGGAACGCAACCACTTTTGGGGGGACACCCAGGTGAGTAAAGGGGATGCCGAGTTGCCAAAATGTACCTTCACCAAACTGTGCCCAGCCAATGGGGGGGTGCTAGTGAGCAAAAGCCACGCCCAAAACCGAGCCCCGTTCTTCAGGGGTCCCTGAAGCGGGTTCGGTTCCTACCTGGTCAGTACAGATACCTTTAACCATCTTAGAAGGACCAAAAGTAGGTTTTGACCGCAGCTAATTTGCGCAGTCGTTGGCCGCACAAACCTACGGCGTTCCAAAGCGCTTTCTCAGCCAACACCACATGAGAAGTCAGGGAAACCGCCACCCACATGCCCTGCAAATAAGGTGGTGGTTTCCTGTTAAAATTCTAAAACGGCGTACCAGATGATTTTGCAAATGGTTGTTTCAGGTTGCTGGAACCTCAAACCAAGCTTCAAACCAACCTAATCGAAACCAACCTCTACAGCAGGGTTCCCCCCCAGAAAAAGAGACCCCCCCCCAAACCCAATGGTGTCCAGGTTTTCGCCGGTGGTTTCCCTTTAGAAGGCCAGACCTACTGTGGATGGACAAAATCCTGCACCGCTTTGAAACCATGGGAAACCATTTGTTTTTTGGCAATTACAGGGGAATCGAATCATTCCAAAGCTCCTTAAGTGGTGCGAAATGGATGTTGTCCATCCACAGTATGGCACCCCAAGCGGTTTGTTGTAGGGCCCATCGGCGGCCAGTGCGCCGTGAGGCCAGCCAAGGGCGGCCCTGGTGCGAGGCCCTGGTGCGGGAGATGGCCGGCGCGGTGCTGGAGCAGGTGCTCGCGCCTCGAAGCAAAAAACGCCTATTTTTTAGGGTAAGTTTACGGTGGGGTGGGGTGGGGTGGGGTGGGGTGCTCGCGCCTTTGGTCGGAAGGTCCATCCGGGTCCGTTTACAAACGGTGGGTCCTCGTTTGCTTGGGTTAGGGGTTTTCGGGGGGGGGGGGGGTTGCTTTTTTGCCTGGGGGAACATGACTCAGTTGTTCAGCGGCCCCCTTTTTCCTTTTTTTTTTTTGGGGGGTGGCTGCCCCACTAATATGGTCTTCCCAAAAAGGGTTCCCTTTTTTCCAGGGTCACTGAACAACTGAGATGATGAAGAACCCCACTCCCGTTTCCAGAAGCCTCTCGTCAGCTTCCGTGGACTCGCCTTCCGCTCCAAGGAGCAGAACCTGGAGGGCGTTTGCCCGCACTGCGGCGGGCAGACGCTGGAGGGCCGTTGCCGGCAGTGTGGCGAGGCCGGCGGACGAAGCGTGACCTCTTGGTGTTTCCGGGTTTGGGCCATGTTTCATGAACAAAAGGCACATATACACGCACACACACACACACACACACACACACATATATATATATGTATATATATATATAAATACCTATTTGTTTATACACATGTACATATATATATATATGTATATATATATGTGTGTATATACACATATATATATATATATATGTGTGTGTGTACAGATGCATACACATGCGCGTGTTGTGTGTTTTGTGTTTTGTGTGTGTGTGTGTGCCTGCGGGCGTGCACGCGTTCTCCTGCTCTGGGTGCTTTCGGCAGTCAGCATTCGGCCGTGGCTCTCCATGTAGGGCCCCATCCAGGACTGGAGTTTCGGTTTTCTGCCAACTTGGCTGTTCATGAGTGCCACATGTAATCGAAGTTTGATTATAAAGGCGCAGACATATGTGAACCCATGGCCATGTTGGACTCATTCCGGGCCAACTTCCCACAATTAAGCCACAACTAACGCTGGATTAAGCTATAAACTGGAGGCTTCATACCAGGGGTTCAGACCTGGACGCATACATTTTCAGCCTTCGATGCAGATATGTTGTTTCGGTAGAACAAATCGATTGCCCTGGTTTACCTGGTGTTTTCTTTTCTCACCTACCAGGGAGATTGGAAGCTGCTTAGGTCTTACGCATGTCTGCTGCTCACCCCTCGCAAATCGAATCGACGCGCCAGGTCTTCCCGGCGATGGCTCCCGGGGCGAAGAAGGGCGCGCCGGAGCCCAGCACAGACGCCAAGCTGGGGGCGCTGCTGCGGAGCGGGTCCTGGCGGGAGATCTTGGAGCGCCTGGTGTGGCTGCACCAGCAGCAGGCAAGCCCAATGAGGTTTTTCCACGGTCCGTTTTTTTTCTCTTTTCAGGGCGTGTTTTTCTTTCCTCCTTTTCTTCCTTTTTTTCTACTTTTTTTTTTGGGGGCTTAACGGGACACCAACAGGCGATTCTTTTTTTCTTCTTTTTTTTTTAAGTTGGTACCTTGCTTGTTTTGGTGGTTTTAAAGGGACGCCGATTGTGTGTTTTTTTAGTTGGTACCTGGTTTTGTTTGGCGGGTTTACCAAAAGGAACACTACAATTTTGGGGGGTCTGGAGTCTGCCAAAAGTTGGTGTGTGTTTTTCGTGTGTGTCATCTAGCTCTGAGCCGTTCCTAAAAGAGTATCTCCCAGACGTTGTTTGAACAGCAACTCCGAGCATGCAGTGTGGGAGGGGCCATGGCGCAATGGCAGCGTGTCCGTGCATCTAGCAGGGAAGGTTGGAGGCTCAAGTCCTTCTGGCCCTAGGGAGTTTTCATGTCTTAAGCCAAGCGTTCCCTCAAATCACTTGTTATGTTTTTACCCCCCTCTCCAATACGACATCCTTGTGTCCATGAAGTAACGACTGGATGTTTGTGGCGTGCAAAGACTGGGTCACAAGACAACATGCTGGTCAGACAAGAGTCAGAGGCTTGGGAATGAACCCAAGCATGGTTCATAGGCGTCAATCCCTCATTCCTTACTGAGAACCAGCAATGTTGGATCCATCTAAAGATTCCACCAATATCTTGCACTCCTTTGGCTGGGGAACCTCCCTGTTAGGGCTTGCACTTGGGCATAAGTAGATGGCACGCTTGCAATACTAAATTTAGTATTGTTAATACTTAACCTGTAGCTTCCCACTACACAACTCAGTATTGCCATACTAAGTTTAGTATTGTCAATACTTATTCTTAGGTTCCCACTACCCAGCTTTCTATTGCCAATGCTATATTTAGTATTGTCAATGCTAAGCTTAGTATTACCAATCTTCCCACTACTAAACTCCGTATTGCCTATGCTAAGTTTGGTACTGTCAATACTAAAGCTTCCAAAACCAACCATGGAAGGGGTTACATTTCGTTGCAGTTAGAATATGGATTTCACATTCCGTTGCAGTTTGACTATGGGTCTCACATTCCGTTGCAGTTATACTTTAGGCGTTGCTAGTCTTTTTTTGTTGCAGTTAGAAGATCCCCCGGCTTTCTTTCCATATTATAACTGCAAGTTTCAGACACATAAAATCAGCGTGCCATCCAAACCGGGGTTCAGCCAGACAGGTGTGCCGGCAGGGATCCCTTCATTTTCTTCGATTTGAATGGACACATTTGCCAGCCCAAGCTGGGCGACCAAATCTCCCTGACGCTGGCTGCCCTGCTGCCGCGGCTCAACACCATGAGGCACGGAAGGGGGGGGGGCTGTCCCGGCACCTCAGTTGTTCAGTGGCATCCTTTTCCCTTTTTTCTTGGGGGGGGGGGGCGGCTGCCCCACTGAAAATGGTCTTCCCCAAAAAGGGTTCCCTTCTTTCTCCAGACTCACTGAACAACTGACGCACGGTTTTTGCAGTTGGTTGCGTTTTGGACTGTCTTGTCTTGGAGAGTTTGGTGGTAAGATCTGTCTCAACGAGTGGGTCTGTTTGTTGGCACCGCCTCAAGCGGCGCCCCCCCCCTTTTCTCATTCTGGCTGGGAGATACCGATCCGAATGGCAAGCGGCAAGAGTTGTTTTTGATGTTCCGTTGAACTTGGAGAGTGTGGTAGTATTCAAGGTGGAAGTCTCGAGGTTCCCATAAAAGACGGAGCCTGGATCCTTTCAACGGGAGCCCCAATCAGCCTCCCGGACGACAGCCGCCGTGTTGCCCACGTCCTCCGGCTCCCGGCGAGCGTCAGGATGCAGGTCTTCACCCGCGCCATCTGCGCCTTGTGGGCCCCAGAAGCCTCGCCCAGCCGCAGGCGCACTGGCGAGCTTCGCGAGCTTCGAGCTTCGGCGCGTTGGTTTAGTTCGGCTCGGAAAGGCGCCGCTCCGCGACCGTTCTCTTTCTTTATTTTTGGGGTGGACCCCGCAGAATTGCGGGTTTCCGGTTCACAATGTTCACATTTTTTTTGGGGGTTGCGGGGGCTCTGCCCGAAAGCGCCGAAACGGGTTTGACCAGTCTGACGGGCACCAAATCAATCATAGTTTGCCTCTACAGCTATGACTAAACGTGGGTTGAAAGTACATGGCCTCATTCTATATTTTTCAACGCCCCCTGATTAATTTACCTTTCCTATTAATAGGGGGGTGTTCCTCCCAGAAAACTGATGATTCCCACGAAACCCAGGGACACCCCCCTTTCATTGATGTGGTTGATAACAGGGGCGAACATTGCTCCCAGGTTCCCCTGGCTCGAAAGTAAATGGGAAACCGAGCCACAAAACCACCGACCCAGAAAACCATTGGTGTGGATGCGGATTTGAACGGGTTTCCGGGTAGATGGGAAACCTCTCCTTCAGCATCAAACAGGCTCCAAACCATGAATCGGAAGGAAGCTGAAGAATGGCTGGACCCAATTAAGATGACAACCCTTAAGTAAACAATGGTGACACATGAGCCCAACCATTGTTTTAATGGTAACTGAATCCCAGTTCGAAAATTGTTCTGCCCCAATTGGAGGGAAGCTGAATTGTGGCTCACTCCCTGAGTTTCGTTCCTGGACTTCAGAGTCACTTTTTGGGTTTGGAGGCCTTTTCGGTGGCTCAGACCAGTCCAGTTCCTTTTTGTTGGCCCATCTCAGAACTCGAACTCAGGAAGTCAGAGGTGCATTTTGCTCTTTAGCTTTGTGCCAATGATTTTGTTTCGTATTAAACCACCAAAAGTTAACTTTTAGCAGGGGAGCAGAAAGCAACCGAGGAAAGACACGTGTAACCATTTAGCCCTTCCAATCAGCTTCGGTAACCCGCATTTTAGCCCCTATATGCGTGTGTCTTTGTGTCGGATGCGGATCCCCAAAATGGGCTTCGGTTTGAAACCTTTTGAAAGCAACCGAGAAGTGAGATGGGTATGCACCAAAATTAAACCAAGGGACCGCAGGTTTTGGTCCATTGACCCACACTCTCAGATGGTTTCTGGCGGGCGGGTTCCTCCGAAGCTTCAGGCAGCTGCCTCTGGAGCTCCGCGCCTCCTTGAGCAGCTTTCTCGCGCGGGTGGTGCTCGCCGCGGAGGACGGGGCTGATGCTGGGGCTGGGGGGCTGGATGAGTTTGTTTGTTCCTTTTTAAATCAAATATAAAAACAACATTTTGATGAAACTATGTTTTTGAAGGTTTTTTTGGGCGTTGGTTTCGAAGGAACCGAAAGGGGCCACTGAGTTTGGGGGGCGCCTCAAAAGACAGGCCCACAAGGGGAGGACCACGAAGGAAGGTAGCCCCTTCTTGGAGCCCCGTAGTGGGTGGTTTCGATTGGTGGGATTTCCTTCCTGAGCGATGCCCATGATTGTCCAGACAATCCTTTGCTGGATCAAGCGACAATGGATAGTTGAGAACAAATATTGCTAAACCATTATCGCTAGTATTGGGCTTTTTGTGTCGGGGTTCCAAATCCTATTTTGACATGCCCACTGTTCGGACAATCCACTCAGGAAGTGAGGCTTGGGATGTGCTCAGTGTGTGAAACTGCCGTGGACTAGCAAGCCCCACTTAAGTGGAGTTGAATGGATGAAAGCTCACTTCCTGAGTTCATGAACTTTAAACCTTTTTGGAAGACCATTTTAGTGGTGAATATAAAGTTTGGACTTTCTTGGGGCCATCCACTCAGCAATTGGGAAAGTCAGCAAAACTGGGAGAGCTCTCAGTTGAAACAACAGGCGTTGGCTGAACCCCTGCAGGTCCGGGCCTTGCCCTTCGAGGAGGACCAGGCGGTTGGGGGGGGGGGGGAGGGGGGGAGGGGCACTTGAGGGGATCAAGTGATAAGGCCGTTGTGGGAAAACACGCAAATGCGGTTTCGAGTCAAACAACTGGAGGGGGTTTCTATTTTGGACTGGTTTGGGTTGGCTTTGAACCGGTAGTAGAGGTCGCCAAAACACAAAAAGCAGAAAAAAACAAAAACCACACCCCCAAGCCCAGCCTTAGGATCGGACTCTCTCTCATTTTTGGGGATCCCTTTCTTAGGTGCGGGGGCTGGATATCTATCCAGCCCCCGCACTTCGGTGCCTGCGACCTCAAAAAAACCCCGTGCTCCCAGGCGGAAAGCGAGCTGCATATCCTTTTGCACAGCGGCTAGTTGTTGGCTGTATCTCCCATGAATCCCTGGTGTGGCGGTAATGGTTAAAAGTAAAGGTCTGAATACCCAGCCAAAGAGCCAAGTCCTTCATGGCTCTTTGGTCTCGGATCTTTGGTACTTGTTAGATGCTGGAGCTGCTGGACTTGAAGCGATTGCAGTGGCAAACGCACAGCTTGAACTTGTTTGGGCCATCAACTCAGGAAGTGAGGGTTATATGAACCCCCATTGCTTCAACAGTGGCTTCCCTTTGCTTAAGAATATTTTTATTGTCCCCCTGTTGGTTTGAAAGGGGTCTACCACTACTGGACATATTTTTTCCCCACAAAGCGAACACGCAAATGGCAGGTGGTAGCTGAACCAGGGACCTTCTTAGACAGGGTTCCCTTTTCCCTTTTTGGTGGTTTTGAACATCACCTTGTTGGTTCATGAAAGGTGAGTATCCCTGGGGGTGATGTTTCACGGGGAAATATAGGGAGCCTTGTTAGATGCCGGAGCTGCCGGCTTCTGAGGTTCTGGACCTTCAGCTCTCGCCCTTCCTGTCGGAGCCAGAGCGCCACGCTCTCCTGGAGCTCGCTGTGCCCTTCAGCCGGGAGCGCGAGCGCGGTGGTCGCGAGCGAGAAGCCTCGCGCCCCATGGCTTTGTGTGAGATAGAGGTACTAGGTCCCCCAGTAGTGCCCTTTTACCCTTTTTTTCGGGGGAGGGTTCCCCTACTAAAATAGAATACAGAAAAAAGGGTTCTAACCTCTCTACTGGAGGACCTAGGGTAAGATATTTGCATGCTTTATGGCGAGCGCACCGGTCCGGGGGTAGAAGGAGTTCAAGCCATGTTAAAGACTCTCTACTTAGGGATCCCAGATTTTAGGTTTTGGAATTCTTGCACGCATTTCTTATCTTAGCATCTCATGTTGGCTTCTTCCTTCATTTCTAAATCTCTTTCCTTTTTCTTCTGTCCTTTTCCCAACCACGAATCACATGAAGGTAGGATAAAGAGAGTGTAGGTGGGGCTCATGTCAGAGATTTGAAGACCATTCTAGTAAAGGAAGCAGTCAGGTTACCTGTTGAGGCCATCCACTCGACCGGGAAGTGAGTTGAACTTCTTGTGCAAAGGGGCTGGGTGTGTCTTGTTCAAGGGACCCCCAAAAAATGGTGGCTTTCCTTTTGGTTTCTTTAAAGCCACAGAACGGGATACTGTTGACCCCATATCAACCAGCTTCTTTTGCTAGAATAGGGGGTGTGTTCCCCTCCAAAAGTAATGATTCCCCCATATGAATCAACTGGGGCAGACAAAAATGGGTCAACATCACCCTTAACCCCCCCCCCAAAAAAAAAAGAGAGAGGAGAAAACACACACAAACAGAAATGTTTATTGACCCCATATTAATCAAGCAGTTTCTTGAATAGGGGTGTGTTCCCCTCCAAAGTAATGATTCGAAATTGGGGTCAACATTAGCCTTAACCCCCTCCCCCCCCCAAAAAAAAACACACACACACACACACACACTCACACACACTCACACACACACACAAAAAACACACACACACACACACACAAAAATGAAGAAAGAAGAAATGTGGCTTTCCTTTTGGGTTCCCTTTAAAGTCACGGAACGGGAAACCCTTAAAAACAACACAGACCCAAAATAGCCGTCGCCAAGGCCCGCCCTCGCCGCGGCCCCGCTCGCCCCCGCGGCCCCGGTCCCCGCCCTCCCCCACCCGGGCGGGCAGCGCGGGGCCCGGGCAATCGGCGCGGAGCCGAGGGCCCGCGCTGGAGGCACAGGCGGCGTGCCCCAACTGCGGCGGGCTTAGATCGAACTGCGGAAGCTCCGCCCTCAAAGCGAAGTTGGGGTTTTCCTTAATTCAGCGCCGCCCCCATGGGCTGGTGCTCCAAACGAGTCCCGCTATGGACGCTGATTTGGGAGCCCGCGGGGCTTGGGTCCAAGAAGCTTCGCTTAGGTTTCGTGCTAGCGCTTGCAGTTGGGGGTGGGTGTGTTGGGGGGGGAGTTGGGTCCGGTGATCAGTTGTTGCAGCTCCGGCACAGCGGCTTGGGGACCAAAGATGGCTTTGGTGCATTTTGCCAAGGGATGTTAGGACTTCAACTTTTTGCCAACTAATGAGATTTCCATAAAACCACTAAACATTAAACTTCTAGCAGGGGAGCAGAAAGCAACCGAGATGGGGCCAATTGCAAGTGATATGTGACATTGGGCACAGGGAACCGACACTGGGACTCGGGAAGCTGCTGGAACAGAAGTTGCTTTGTTTGACTTGTGCAAAGCCGAACGCTGACACTTTTCTTTTCTCGTTTTTGTCCAGTGGTGGCGAGCTCCACAACAAGACTTTGAGCTTGTCAAGCCTTAGAACATGGAGGTACCACCCGCTTGCCCACAGGGCCACATTTGGTTCTGGGGTGGATTCCCTTAAAGTAAAGCCATTTAGCTTGGGCTGGTTCAACAAAAACAAGGCTCAACCACCAGGGTCCCCGAAAGGATCCCAACCTTAAACTCACTTGCCCAACTCCAATCGACCTTTCAGCCTTTCAATCCCCCGAATATGGTCTATGTCAATCTAGGAAGTGAAGGTTCCAAAAGCCGAACCTTATGTATTTTCAGGTCCGGGCAAGTGAGTGAGACCATGATCCAAATTCCGCAAGCTCTGTTGGCCAAAAGGGTGATGTGGGAAATGCGACTGGACTTGGCCAACACCAGGCGGCAACGGCTACATGAGCGACGCCAACTTTTGCCGGCTTTGCGGGCAGAAGCGGGACTTGGCGTTGACGCTCGCCAGAACCTCCCTGCTGGCGTGGTGAAACCAAGCTCAGTGGCATTGTCAGGTTTGGGTCTTGAAGGTATGGAGGCTTAGGTGCCACCAAAATAAGCGTGTAATGCAGTATGTGCCCGATCTTGTATAGGTGGTATAGAACCTGCATGCCTCCAAAACCGACAAATGAGCATCGCTTGAAAGGCATCCTGCTCCAACTGGGCTTGTCTCTAGTTGAGGCTCGGTATCCATTTCGCACATCCCTTGGATGAGGGTGCTGCAGCTTCCTTTATCTTTCTCTAGCTTTATTCATATTCTTTTAGCTTCCTTTAGCTTCCCTTAGCTTCGCTTCGTTTCCTTTTGTTTCCTTTGGCCCCCGTTACCTTCCCCAGGCATTGCAGAAACTTCCCTTGCCCCCCCCCCAAAAAAAAAAAAAAAACAGAGCGAGGCAACGAACAGGGAAAAGCAACCCATTGTGAGGGCCCCTACTTTGTGAACATGTTAGCCAAGTTGGTCCCGACTCGGCTGATTCTTAAGAATTGGTCCGATTCCTACGTGTTTCCGATCCCAGAGAGGTGTGGCGCATCTCGAAAGGTAGGCCTTCAGTTCCATTTGCGTTTGAGAAAGCTTGTTTTGTTCTCCCATGGCCTTTCAGGGAACGGCCTGGACATATTTGTATTTTTCTAGGGGACTAACGCAAATTGGCTATATTTTTCAACTTTTCGAGACCCCAAACGAGGCATCCGATTCTGCTTCGCTTGTTCTCTTTCTCCCTTCCTGTCTTAAATCCCCAAGTGGCCCCCTCTACCCACTTCCCCTGGGCCCAGGCTGCCCCGCGCCGCCCTCGGCCCCATGGGCGGCGCCCCCGCCATGAGCGGCGCCGCCGCCGTGGGCGGCGCCCCGGGCTACGCGGGGCGCGGCGCGCGCAGCTGCGGGCGCTGCGGCGCCCGGCGGCGCCCATGGCGGAGCCCCGGGCGCAACCCAGGCCCCGGAGGCCCAAGGCGCGAAGTGCGGCGAGCGCGGAAGCCTTCCATTTGGTGAAGACTATTTTTCTATTTCCCCGATTTTTCCCTTGTTTGTTTTTTTAAAGGGAATCTATCACCACTGGAATATTTTGATTTTCCCCAAAGGAGAGGTGCTCTGAGGCCTGAGCGCCTCGCAAGCAGAGAGCGGGCAGGGGTGGGAGGCTTGTTAAGAAGAGGTTTTATTTTCCTTTTTTTTAATTTAATTTAAGGGAATCGATCACTACTGCAATATTCTTGTTTTTTCCAGGGGACTTAAGCAAATGGATGAAGCGAGCGGAGGGCGCTGAAAGAGAGACGCCGGATGCCGGTTGTTGGCGTATTGAAAGTAGTCCTTTGTAGGGGAACCCCCCCAAAAGAAAGAAGAAGACAGAAAACAACAATTCAAAAGCGGTTCTCTTTTTGGTTTCCCTTGATGAACAACAGGGGTACCGTCAACAAAAGACAGACTTAAACCACCGAGAAATCATTGTTGAATTTACACGGACACCTTTGTTCCCTGCTCTTTACCATTGTAATGCTTCCTATGAAGGGAACAATAGGCCATAGGAGTTTTTACCATAGCTCATATGGGTGCCTTCTTTTTGGGGATCTTCCTTTTCCGGATTTGAAGGGAACCGCCTTGGTGGAGGTGTGAGTCTTTTGTGTGTTTCCCTCTGCTTTAAAGGGAAGCCAAAAGGAAAACCAATTTTGTTGGGCGTTCTCCTATTTTTACGCACGCCCATATATGTCCCCTAGGCGCTGAAAGGGGCAGGGCATCTCAATCAATTAACGCCATATTGTTGTAAGTCCGCTAAGCGGGTTACAACCAGGGTTACTCATGAAAGGGGTTGGCAACCATAGCATGAAACCGGGGTCTCCTAATTTTTCAAGTTCTCAGGTTGTCTAATTATTCTGAACAATCTGGACATATTGTTTTGTTTGGTGGTACTCCACCGCTCGAACCCCCCAAAGACATTGTTCGAGATGTTGTTCGCATGGTCAAGCGTCCGATTGCCCAAGGAGGTTAAAGTCAAACTACGTGGGTTCCCTTTAAAAAAAGCCCACCACCCCCCGAACGGGGGTGGTAGAATCATGGGGCCAGCTTTGGGATGGGTGAGTTGGTTTATTCCTTCTTTTCAGTAAACAGTTGGGTGAAAATACCCTGTGGACAAACATGGAAGCTGACACTTGCCAGAGTTCTGGAAGACTATATGTTCGTTTAGGGATCCTTTGGGTTCCATGCAACGTGGACTGCAGATGAGCCAAGTTGAGGGTCGCCCCCTACCCAGCAAGAGGCCGTAGACGGAGCGTCTCTTGCGGAGGTCAACGACACCTACGGCTTCGGGTACTTGCCCGGGCATCTTGAGGAGACGTCGCTTGCGGCAACTTTACCAAGCGCTCGGCCCAACTCCAAAATCCAAAGCGTGGAGGGCAAGATAGGCTTAAACCCAGAAGCGTCCCTTTTGGGGACATCAACCAGCCCTTGGTTTAAAGTCCCCTTTGGTTTGGTTTGACATGGACATTTGGTGCGGTAGATGTTGGAAAAGCATGTTTTTCTTCCTCCACGGTGATTTCACGTCTCCTTTTTTGCAGTTCGGGGAAGAGGCTCCATACTAGGGTAGCGTCTGGCAACTAGGTTGCAAACCCATTCCCAATGCATGTTTCTTCATTTTGGCTCAAAACGAAAATCCGATATCAATCTGAAATTAAAGGTGTGCAACCCGTCAACCGAGCCACAATCAAACCCGGGTAGATGAAGGTTAGTAAGGAACAATCCCAACCGCAAACAGCTGCGGAATTCCGCCTTCTTAATTCTTCTGCGGAATTCCGCTTTCTTAATTCTTCAAGCATAGTTCTGGATCGACCATTTTAAAACCGGGTTTTGATTGTGACTCAACTGAGGGTCTCCTCAGTTGTTCAGTGGCACCCTTTGGCTGCCCCACTAAAAAATGGTCTTCCCCAAAAAGAGGGTTCCCTTTTTTTCCCAGGGTCACCGAACAACTGAGTATAGGTATATACCCTCCATGGCTCCAAAACCAATCGCCGTGAACTGTCAACTGAGGGTCAGCTGAGAGAGAGAGAGAGAGAGAGAGAGAGAGAGAGAGAGAGAGAGAGAGAGAGAGAGGGAGAGAGCCGGTCAACTGCGGGCCTTCCGGCTGCCAGGGAGAGGGTCTCTCTCGAGCCAATCCAGGACTTCGAGGACCGGGAGGGCCTCTTGCTGCGGAACTGGCGCCCCTCCCCGCTGTCCTCCCAGAACTCCCCGGGGTCATCGAGGCCTGAGCGCCTCGCAAGCAGAGAGCGGGCGGCGGGAGGCTTGTTAAGAAGAGGTCTTATTTTCCCCTGTTGGTTTCAAAGGGAATCTATCACTACTGGAAATATATTTTTTCCAGTTTGTGTTTTTTTTGAAGGGAATCTATCACTACTGCAATATTCTTATTTTTGTCCAGGGGACTTGAGCAAATGGAGGCTTCCCCCAACCGTGCTACATCCATCGACCAGGGATGGGACTTTTCCTGGGCACGGGAATCTGCTTTTTGGCTCGTGGCCTTCTCTTCCGCTCCGATGCTCCAACTCGAAGATGCATCCGCGCCCTTGGGATTCACGGTCCTGTGAGTCCGTTTGGCACCAGAACGCGCCAAGGCGAGCAAAGAGATATCTCGTGTGGGCTGGCAAGCTGTTGACATGGAAACCAAGGGGAACTTGACACTTGTCATGAGTTCAGTTCCCCCGTGTAGTGCGAAGCCTTCAACTTTTGGCCCCAAAAGGTGATCGCCCTGTGGCCCTTCTCGTGGGGACTGCAAGAGCCTGGATCTTTGCTTCTCTCGAGATTTTCCATCTTCCCCCTGAAAGCCTTACCAGGTAGCAGCAGCCTTCTGCTTCTTTTCTTTTCCCGAAAGCATCGCGAAGGGTTCTTCCGTGCGGAGCCCTTGGACAAGTTACATAGAGCCAAGTTACATAGAGCCAAGTTACATAGAGCCAAGTTACATAGAGCCAAGTTACATAGAGCCAAGTTACATAGAGCCAAGTTACATAGAGCCAAGTTACACAGAGCCAAGTTACATAGAGCCAAGTTACATAGAGCCAAGTTACATAGAGCCAAGTTACATAGAGCCAAGTTACATAGAGCCAAGTTACATAGAGCCAAGTTACATAGAGCCAAGTTACATAGAGCCAAGTTACATAGAGCCAAGTTACATAGAGCCAAGTTACATAGAGCCAAGTTACATAGAGCCAAGTTACATAAGAGCCAAGTTACATAGAGCCAAGTTACATAGAGCCAAGTTACATAGAGCCAAGTTACATAGAGCCAAGTTACATAGAGCCAAGTTACATAGAGCCAAGTTACATAGAGCCAAGTTACATAGAGCCAAGTTAGAGCTTAGAGCTTCGGCGTTAGCAGCTATGTAAGTTAGTTTAGGTTTCTAAGGCGCCGGGGCGGGAGTTTGATCGTCGCTCGGGATTGCGACCCTCTGCGGAGATTCGCGTGGTCGAGGTTCAAAAACTGAGGACTTTTTACGATTTTTAGCATGCGCGCGCGACCCTCTGCGGAGATTCGCGTGGTCGAGGTTCAAAAACTGAGGACTTTTTACGATTTTTAGCATGCGCGCGCGACCCTCTGCGGAGATTCGCGTGGTCGAGGTTCAAAAACTGAGGACTTTTTACGATTTTTAGCATGCGCGCGCGACCCTCTGCGGAGATTCGCGTGGTCGAGGTTCAAAAACTGAGGACTTTTTACGATTTCTGCGGTGCGCGCGCGACCCTCTGCGGAGATTCGCGTGGTCGAGGTTCAAAAACTGAGGACTTTTTACGATTTCTGCGGTGCGCGCGCGACCCTCTGCGGAGATCGTGCGCGTCGAAGCGCTCTCGCTGTGGCGCCGTGCGAATTTGTCTTAGTCTCGGCGAACCCTCTGCGGAGATTGTGCGTGTCGAAGTGCTCTCGCTGTGGCGCCGTGCAATATTCTTGCTCGCGAAACGGCCTTTGGAAGTTGTCTCGTGGTTTGCGCGCCTGCTTTCGCAATCCCGCGGTCGCGGGTTCGATTCCCCCCTGGTCCGCGGCAGCTCCGGCTTGAAAATCGCAGCTTTTAAGTACAAACGTAGTACGCGGAGCGTGCTCCTGCAGCTCCGGCTGGAAAATCGTAACTTTTAAGTACAGACGTAGTGTGCGGAGCGTGCTCCCGCAGCTCAGGCTGGAAAATCGCAACTTTTAAGTGCAAACGTAGTACGCGGAGCACACCCCCGCAGCTCCGGCTTGAAAATCGCAACTTTTAAGTACAAACGTAGTACGCGGAGCGTGCTCCTGCAGCTCCGGTTGGAAAATCGCAACTTTTAAGTACAACGTAGTACGCGGAGCACATTCCCGCAGCTCCCGCCTGAAAATCGCAACTTTTAAGTGCAAACGTAGTACGCGGAGCGTGCTCCTGCAGCTCCGGTTGGAAAATCGCAATTTTTAAGTACAACGTAGTACGCGGAGCACATTCCCGCAGCTCCGGCTGGACAATCTCAACTTTTAAGTACAAAAATAGTACGCGAAGTACATTCCCACAGCTCCGGCAGCACTTGCGCAGAGCAACTTGCGCAGAGTCACTTGCGCAGAGCAACTTGCGCTCTGCGAATTGCACAGAGCACTTGCGCACAGCACTTGCGCAGAGCAACTTGCACAGACTAACTTGCACAGAGCACATGCGCAAAGCGCTCGCACGGAGCAACTGGCGCAGAGCACTTGCGCAGAGCAACTTGCTCAGAGTACTTGCGCAGAGCAACCTGCACAGAGCACTTGCGTGCAGCAGCGTGCAGAGAGCAACTTGCCCGAAAGCAGCCTGGAACAATGCAGCTTGCGCAGACCACTTTCGTGAGAAATCATGCAGCGCAACTTGAGCAAAGCACATTGCGCTGAGCAGACTCGCGCAGAGCCACGCTTTATAGAGCCACGTTGCGCAGAGCCACTCGCGTAAAGTAGCTTGCGCGCGCCAGGTAGCAGCGCGCCAAGTTGCGCAGAGCCATCTTGCGCAGAGCCAAGTTGCACAGAGCCAACTTGCACAGAGCCAAGTTACATAGAGCCAAGTGGCACAGAGCCAAGTTGCGCCGAGCCAAGTGGCACAGAGCCAAGTTGCACGGAGCCAAGTTGCACAGAGCCGAGTGGCACAGAGCCGAGTGCCACAGAGCCAAGTGGCACGGAGCCGAGTGGCACAGAGCCGAGTGGCGCAGAGCCAAGTGGCACAGAGACGAGTGGCACAGAGCCGAGTGGCACAGAGCCAAGTTGCACAGAGCCGAGTTGCACAGAGCCAACTTGCACAGAGCCAAGTTACACAGAGCCAAGTGACATAGAGCCAAGTTACCATAGAGCCAAGTTACCATAGAGCCAAGTTACCATAGAGCCAAGTTACCATAGAGCCGAGTTACATAGAGCCAAGTTACCATAGAGCCGAGTTACATAGAGCCAAGTTACATAGAGCCAAGTTGCATAGAGCCAAGTTGTACAGAGCCAAGTTGCACAAAGCCAAGTGGCACAAAGCCAAGTTACACAGGGCCAAGTTACCATAGAGCCGAGTTACATAGAGCCAAGTTACATAGAGCCAAGTTGCATAGAGCCAAGTTGTACAGAGCCAAGTTGCACAAAGCCAAGTGGCACAAAGCCAAGTTACACAGGGCCAAGTTGCACAGAGCCAAGTTGCATAGAGTCAAGTTACATAGGGCCAAGTTACACAAAGTCAAGTTGCACAGAGCCAAGTTGCATAGAGTCAAGTTACACAGAGCCAAATTACATAAAATCAAGTTACATAAGACCAAGTTGCACGAGCCTGCTTTGCAGAAGCTGTTGCATCGATGTAAAAGGGCGTCTCCACGGCTGGAAAAGCACATGATGGGAAGCGCTTGGGGAAAAATGCTTTCGGGCCAATCGTCCTCTAGTTTTGGGGCGGGACACCTTCGAAGCCCGAGGAAGCCCATCCACTGCTGGCACTGCGGGAGCCTTTTCCTGGCGGACTCCATGTTCTGCCGCCACTGCGGGCTGAAGCGCTCCGAGCTTTTCTGCCCCACCTGCGCCTCGGTTTCAGGGTTTCAGGGTTTCAGGGGCAGGTCGGTGCCCGGAAATCGCCGGGGTGGCCAAAAGAGGGTGGGGTGAGTGTGGTTTTCTCTTCCCGCAGGCCGTCTATTGCAGTGGATGCCCTAAATGTCGGAAGTAGGGAACAGAGGAAACCCTGTAGATTCCCATGTGGTTGGTTTATTGGCAGTATGGGGCATCCATCGTAGCACGCTTGTGAGTCGGTTATGCTTGGCCATCCAAGCCCCCGAAACCTGATTCACCATGCAATTCCCGGACGAGGGAACATCACATAAGGTCCAAATGGCTGGATCTGATGCCAGACGGTATGGGTTTTGTGTTGTGAATGGATTCGGCCGAGCCATATGTTCGCACCAAAGTCTTTCAACCCTTTGTTTCCGGATGGTTTGGGCACTTTGGAGGCTTCCTCCAAGGACATGTTGTATCATTATACGTGTTGGGTAGCCAACTAGGTCCCCCAGCAGCGCCCTTTTACCGTTTCTGTTTTTGAGGAGGGCCCCTGCTACAATGGACTACAGGAAAAAAGTCGGCGCCCTTATTCTAACCTCTCTATTGGAGGACCTAGCTAAAGTGTGGAACACAGTTAGACCAAACCTCTGCGAAATCTGATCCAGGTGGGGGCCCAGACGGGCCCAACTGCAAGCCCTGCCTGGAGCGGATGGAGCGGATGGAGCGCATGGAGCGCATGGAGCGCATGGAGCGCATGGAGCGGATGGAGCGGATGGAGCCTCCGGAGCGCATGGAGCGCGGCTTTTTGGCTAACAGGCGGTAGGTTTTCCTTGGGTGTTCTTTCCGTTACTAGGCATGAAGGAAAGGCTGCCATGGAAGTGTCACCCTGGTGGAAGAAGAGCACAAGAAGGAGTACCCCGTTTCAATCGTACCCTCTGTTTTGCCTGTGTGATCTCCAAGTCCAACTGTTTTTGTTGTGTTTGCTTAGCGGTGATTGCCCAAAACGTAGCTAGTATTCTGACCCAGGAACGGTATATCCCTGGTTTTGGAGGGAACGCCGGCGGCCTCTGTATCAATCCGGGGCCGTTGGAGTTGAACCACAACCTCCAGCTAGGGCTTGCAGGAACCCTATCCCAACCTACTCCCATTTGCTAAGAGTGGTATTTGTTTCTCCCCTCTGTTGGATGCAAAGGGAGCCATAGGGAGCCTATGACTAATTGCTGGAAACATGTTTTCGTTCCAAGGGACTTGAGCAAATGGACAGTCGCAAGCTGTTTTTGGCTGTCGACCTGTGCTTCCAAAGCCAGGGGAAAGAACGCGTGTCTGCAGGATGGGGTCTCCTCAGAAAACTTGTTTTTAGGGGGCAATGCTTTCTCCTTTCTTGGCTTAAGCTTCCATTTTCTGAAAGGAGTTTCTTTCCCCCGGGCTGGTTTTTAAGGGACTTGATTTCACTACCTGACAAATATGTGCTCATTTCCAGGGCGCGAACAAGCACATGGAAGTTTGGGTGAGGAAAACCATGCGGAGTCATTTTCCTATCAGAAAGCAGTGTCCCCAGCGCTGGGTTGTCGCACATTCCTGTTGTATCATGGAATTTTAGGGCTGAAACGGACACTTCGCAACTTCGCAGACCGCAAGCAGCCAACACAGATGCAGCGTGAACCCTGTCAGTTGAGCAGAGAACCTATACATGGTTGTTGTTGGGAAATATTTCACATTCTTGCTTATTGTGGTTTAGTGGTTGAAATATCCAACCACTTAACTGCTAAAATTTGAGAATTTTTGCTCCCCAAACCCAACGTCAAGCAAGAGTTGAGCAGAGAACCTATCGGGATTCTGGCCCAGCGGCGCGGAGCAAACCACCTGGTATCGGGCAACTTCCATGTCCATTCTGAACCTAGGGATCCGGATCTCTCTAGAAAACCGCCCAGAAGGTTGGGGGAAAAATGGCCATGGGTTCTTGAAAAGAAGGCTGGGTGAAAAGAATGGGAAAGGAGGGCTACTCGGCGAACTCACCATGATAGTCCAATTCTTACTTGGGGTTTTGGAGTCTTTGGAGCAACATGTCACGGTGAAGGTCCTTCGTTTGCGGATCCAATTCTTGTTTCAGGTGTTGGTCTGTGTCTGTGTGGGTTTTTGCGGCTCGGTGCCCTTCTTTTGGGGGCTTCAGGTCTGGTTGAATTGGTTTGCATGGGTTTGAGGATTTGAAGCCCAGCTCCACGATGAAGGCTTGATCATTCCATTCCTTAAGCTAGGCTCATACTGTGGTTGGGCGACATCCTGCATAAGAAACCATGGGGAAACCACTGTGCGTTGGTATTTGCAGGGGAATCGACTCATGCCAGGGCTTCTTATGTGCAGGATTCCGTGCATTTGGGCCCACAATGGGCGTCGGTTTCCTACTGGTTCTCTAAAGGGAACTAACCCTCAGTTTCCTTCTAGTTGGTCGCCTTCCCTGTTTGGTTGCAAAAGATGGCTTGCTCCCTTTCAGGCTTGGAATTATCTTACAGGAGGCAACCACAGCGAATCGACCGGAGACCTTTTCTGTTTGCCTTTGGGGTCCCAGTTGTCACCAGGGCTCCTGAAAAGATACATTTTGCCCATTTGAAACATGGCTTTTTCCAATGTTCAGGTGTATAATGTAAGGATCCCAGTTGTCTTTTGGTTCCAACAGGTGATCACCAGTGATTTCCTCAGTCCCAAGGAGTTCCTGAGTTCCTCTTGGACTTTAGTGAACTTTTTGGGGCTGGTTGCCAAATTCTTGCTGGTGCTCAGTAGGGAATGTGGGAATGAGCCCATGGATAGGCTAATTTAGAGGGGTCATTAGTCATTCCCTCATTCCTTGCTGCGCGCCAGCAAGTTTTCTGGCCTTTTCTCTCGATCGGAGGTGAGTTTCTGGATTTTCTGGGGGCAACTGAGACGTAAGCTTTGCAGATCCCCTGGCAAGCCTTTGGTGGTTTGGAGCCCGGTTGGGCAAAAAAACCAGCCCCCGGTTCTTGTAGAGGGTAAGCGGACTACCGTGAACTTCTCTCGGGGTAACTTCCCCATTCTTTCCCGGGATCCTTCTTTCTAGAAAACCACCAAAACCTTTTTTTTTAAGAACGATGGCTGAAAAGAATGGAAAAGGAATCAACCCCCCTGGATGAACCACCCAAACCGGGCTCTAAACCACCCGTCTCGAGCTTGAATCCCAAGGCGAGGGCCAGGGCTCGCGCCCGCTGAGCCCCTCGCTCTGGCGCGCTGCTGCGGCCTTCCAACACCTCGCCGAGGCGGCGGCCAGGGAGCGCGAGCCGCGGGGAGCGCGGCGGCCGGCGGTGCCAAGCTGGACGTAGCGGGCCACGCGCATAGGTGTCCTTTTTGGTGGTTTCGGTAGAAAAACAGATGGGTTTCCCTGGTTTACCACCGGCAGTTTAATGACCACTGGCAGGTGTCCATCTCTTGCACATAGGTGTCCTTTTTTCTTTTTGGTTGTTCTGGTCGAAAAATAGATGGCGATTCCCTGGTTTACCTGGTTGGTTTTTTCTCATCCACCAGGGAAACCCATCTATTTGCCCTACAAGGACACCTATGGCCATGCGCGAGCTTCGGGTGAGCAGCTGGAGAAAACCGCGTGACTCATTTTGTCTTTGTAGAATAGAAAAGGGGACCCTTTGGTGGACATCATTTAGGTGGGGATTTTTATGTCCACGAATCACTTTTCAGACGGTTCCACATGAACATTCATAGCCACTGATTAAGCCTCACGAACGGCGCGCTCACCAATTCGGGGGGAAAAAGGAGCTCACGCATGAAGGTCGCTTGCTTGCTCACGGGCTGCCAAAAAGTGAGTCCAGCTTCCTCTTGGATGGCGAATCAGCTTGCCCCAGGGCAAAATGACCCTCCCACCCCAATCTGGGGGTCTCACCCTGTAAAATAGCATCTGCTCAGCGTTTCGCGTATGAGCCCGGGTGGTGCGAGCGATGCAAGTCGCAAGGAAGGTGGAGGATGAAGGCGCGAATGGAGCGCCACAAGTGAGAGGAACCCCCCTGATTAGCATGGTCCTCCTGATTCATCCGACGCGGACATGATTTTGAGATCCTTCGGGGATTTATGTAGCAGACAAAGGGTCGATGTGTCGAAGGTCCATCGTTTCTTCGGCTCCCCCTTCTCTGCCGCACTGTCGCCGCACGGCCCGCTGGACAATGATCGCATACGATGAAAAGAGGGCCTTAGATGGCGTGTGGGGCGATAGCTGAATAGTTGTTGGAAGAGCAATGCTTCCATCAAGTGGTTGTGGTAAGTGATCACTTATCATGGTAGTAAGCCCACAAACTAGTTTATATCCATGGCTATTTGCTTACTCAAGTAGTAATCCTTGCAAGGGTCGGCCTGCTGATGCACAGGTGTTGGAACTGCCGCTTGAAGCGTACCCTTGCTTTGGCAGCTTCAAGGGAAAACTTAAGAAGACTCACCCATGTGGCAGGTATGGCTTTTGACTCCACAGCCTTTTTTCCCGCGTCTCATGGGTCCCATCCCCAAAAACTGGGTCCCCAAAGACACTGCGCCCGATCTTTACTTTCGGTTACACGAGGGGCCATTTTTGGCGGATAATGGATAGAGATTGTGGCATTCTGGGTTGGGATTGGGCAACTTCCATTTGCTTAAGAATATGTGTGTGTTTTTCCCCCCTGTTGGTTTTAAAGGGGATCTATCACTACTTTTTTTTTCCAGGGGTCTTAACCAAATGGAAGGGATCTTGCACAGTGCTGACCCCACGCCCCATGAGTTTCCCATGCTTCCGACACCACCCACGCGGAAAAGGACCGTGGCAACTTGTGCTCAGCGAGCGATGGCTTCAGGTTCTGGACGCCATTTGCCCGAAAAACTCGAGGTTTCCGAGCGTCCCTGTTTGGAACCTCCAAAGTGGCGATCGTTTCAAAAGCCGCCGGCGATTGAGTAAGGCTTGTTTCATGGCGGTTTCCGTTCACAACCCCGCAAGGTAGTGAGTAAAAACATGTTTGGTGGGTTCAAGCATCGCCTGAGCGGTTGCCTTTAGCAATCTCTAATCCTTTCCTTGGCGCACGGGTTCTCACAAGTTCTGGATATCGCCTCTTTGCGGAGAGTTAGGGGCATCTTATGGCATCTTCTTGTATGGGTGAGGCTCAGCCTGTAAGTATATGGCTGTGGGTCAAAACCAATTGTACCATTTTCGGGTAGGTGCACCACCCATTTTAGTCTAGGATCGGGATGTTCACTGGGGGTACGGGATTTTGACCCATGGCCATATAGCCTGAATCCCTCCAAAACCAATTCAAACAAACGCCGTGGACTCAGGGACTCATCGTTGGTATGCATCTCGCGGCGCATGGCTCAAGGATGGAAGGGGGCTGCAAGCGCAGGCCACGCGTCTGAAGGACGCGTTGCCCAGAAGCGGGGCCCACCTTACAGGTTGAAACGCGGGCTAGAAGTTTAGCTGGAAGGGTTATGGAGCTGGGACCCGGCAACTATTTGCCATTAAAAAGCCATCCTTTCGGAGCGATCGGAGTTCTGTAAGGGCTTGGTTGTTGAGCCCGAAGAGCCTGGGCTTGCCTCAGGCCCCGCCCAAATAGGCCGGAAAAGGACCTGTTTCGTTGCGAAGGGGCCTTGTTCAAGGCCCCCCCCCCCAACAGGCCCGAAAGGACCCTAAAGCGCCGGTTTCGCCGCTTGCGCAGCGGCGGCGGCGGCAGAAGCGTGCGGCGAGCTGCGAGAGCTGACGTGCGCGGAGCAGAGCTCCTCATGCGTTGGGCCGATGCGCCTTGGCAATTGGTTTCAACTCCCAAGGCCTGAGGGTTGAATCGTTTTTGTTTTTGGGCAGGTCAGTATGGGTGCCCCTTCGATTTCTCCGTTCAAACGGCTGGATAGGCTGACTTGACGCTTTGCCCGCGAAGGAGATGGTTTCCTATAGATCTTAGCAACAGCTTTGGTTCAGGCATGTTTAAAGCACAGCCACCTGAAGCGCGTCTCGAAAAAGATGAGCAACTATGGCGGGCCCACGATTGAACCAAAGGCAAAACTAGCTGGACTGGTCGAAGGCAATCCCGTCAGCCCGAAACATTCTAACCCAGGGGGGTGTGGGAGGGTCTGGGTGAAATGGGGCAAGGGCTCCGGTTGGCTTGACTCAAAATCCGTAAGTTTCACCGGTGCAACACATCGGTTGCTTGGGAACCGCCTCTAAGCTCCAAAATCTGGGATCTTCCAACTTTTGGGAGGTCAAGTAGCTGGTGCTTGGAAGGGAGCAAAGAGGGAGCTGGGGCCTGTAGATAGCCAAGTTGCTGCTTTTTTCAGTCACTGTTGCTGGTTTTTGGGGTAAAGTGCATGGAAAACAAAAAGCAACTGGCGATCAAGGGGGGGACCTACAAGGAGTCCTTGGAGGATCGGACCTACAAGGAGTCCTTGGAGGATCTTAGCATTCCAAGCGATTTCGGATGCCCGAAAACCTTGGACTCTCCTGGGCTTTCTGAGGACAGAGGAGCAGAGTGAGCCAGTGTACCCCTTCGACCGCAGCGGGTGGGGTCGGGCCGGGGGCGAGCTGTGGAAGGGGCTACAGTGTATCACAACCAACCCTTTGTGAGGCTTTATGAGCTCGCAACTGCCCAGTGGCGCCTCCTTTTTCCTTTTTTGGGGAAGGATTCCCCTTTAAACTCAACCAACCAAGAAAGGATCCCTTTTTTCCCGTGGCCACTGGGCATCTGAGTGAGGGGCTTCTAGGGGGGACAGCCCCCTTTCTTGATCAGGGTTGATCCCCAAAGACCTTTTGGCGGCAGTCAAAATTTAGACGGTGATGGTATGGTCCCTAGGCTTAGGGAGACCTAGGCTTAGGTTGAACATCAAGTGATTGCCGGCCAAGACGAGAAGCAACCATCGCATATTGCAGCCAAGTATTGATATCGCAGACCAAGCAACCGAGCAACCAAGTAAACACAATTAAGCCAACCACATGACAACAACCGTGAAAACACAGACGTGTTGCCTTGTTTTCACCTTGTCACGAAAGCACTCCTGGAGTTGTCCTGCCAAAGCTATGCTTGGCAAATCCTGGGGTAGGGGGCGGGCCGAAACAGCTCGGGCCAAAATTGCAGCATGCATTTTTGTGGCAAATCACCATGCCAATGCTGGATTTAAGATGTGTCTTGGCACCCGCCTAGGTATCCCTTCAAATGCGGTCTTTGCCCCACAGAAAAAGCAGATCGAGAGCGTGGCCAGAATCTTCGGGAAAAACCTGCGTACATGGGGAACACATGCGCAGAATAAAGGTAAAAGGACTTGTGCCATCTATTTCACCCTGATTGGAGCGGAAAGAACCGCCCTTCCGCGTATTTCTCATGGGTGTTGGGTAGGCTCCTCTGAGAACACGCTTTGATTGTGACTATCCAAAGTGGGCATGTTTCTTCCTTGTTCGGTTGCAGCGTTTGGTGAACTGAAGCTTGGGTTGCGCTTCTCTTGGTCTGGACTCTGTGGAGGGATCTGATCTTGGGGGGTCATGTGAGTGAGGCAGAATCAATTCCTGGGTGGATGAAGGGTCGCGGGCAGCTCAACCACAACTGCAGGTGCGAAAGTCCGGTGATTGAAGTCTTTACTGTGGTTTGGGTAGAGCCTTTTAGTGGCCTGATCCGTCCTAGCCAGGCCGACAGATGAGGAGGAGGCACTTCCTGTTGCGGGGGTGGGCGAGAGGTCTTGGCCCCTGGTTCAGTGAACGTCTTGATCAGCAAGGGTTCTTGGCTCTTTGCTTCATCATCTTTCCTCTTCAGCGGCAGGAAGGGAATTGCAAGAATTTGGGGTTGTCCAAATATGCCTTCAAAGAGGGAGCCAAGGAGCTACCATGAGTCCTGTTGGACATGCCTGAATTGCCAGTTGCGATCGCTTTTTGCCATCCACTTTACTCCAATAACCAGCAACAGTGACTCAAAAAGGAAAGCTACTTGGCTATCTAGGTATGTCTTAAAATAGGTGAACCCCTTGTGGGTGGTTTGCCTGTAGAGCCCCCACTTTCAATCAATCTGCAAAAAGGGGTGCCTTTGCCAAACTTGACTGCTTCACATATAGCACACAGCTTCTTGCCTTGTGTAAAGCGACGCCAGGGAAGCGCCAAAGTCCAACTTGCCCTCCCGATCGCAGGAGGCGGCGGATTGGCCCCGATTCCGGGAGCAGACGAGGTCCAGCCCCCCCGCACGAGGTCTCGGAGGTTTTTCGGTTTCGGGTGGTCTCACTTGGTGTGTCCTTTCAAAACCAAGCGACTGATGTGGCATTTTTTTGACGGCTCCACCAAAAATCGGCAAAACAAGAACAGTTGCCTTCCACAAGATTCTCAACGGAGGAGAATTCTGATCATATCTCACTTCCCAAGTTCCGTTTCGGACCTTTAGGTCACTTTTTGGGTTTGGGGTATGTGTTTCCACGCAACGGTGAAGAATGGTACCGTCACAGCTCAGTGATGATTGCAGGATGCTGAACAAATGAGCCGGAAACAGAACCGAAGCGCCATTTGAGTGGTAAACGGGCCATCTAATTGACTTCCAACCCCAATGGCTCCCGGAGCCTCCAGGAGAGCCCCGATCGGAGCCGAAAACGGGTCCTCAACAACCCATCAGAGTTCCACTTGTTGAGCACCCCAGATTAGACCGAAACCCTTTTGGGTGGGTCATGCCCCCCAAAAGCAGAACCCCTGGGTTTAAGTCCATCTTTCGTCAAAGAGTGGAGCCCTGCACCCCCCACCTTGCCGCCCCCCCCAAAAAATTCTCGAGCCGGACCCTTACTAGCTCTCTACTGGAGGACCTAGCTTGGGGAAGTCGGTTTTTGGTCCGTCGCCGAGGCCCGGACCGGCTCCTTCTCGCGGGCCAAGCTGTCCATGCCACTTGGCAGCAGCCGGATGTTTTGGCCGGGGGGGGTGGGTTGCCCGGATTTCTTTGGTGCATTTTGCCAAGGGATGTTAGGACTTTAGCTTTTTGCCAACTAATGGGCGTTCCATTACACCACTAAAGGTTATATATATATTTTTAGCAGGGGAGCAGATTTCGCAGCCGAGATTTCCCTCCGGGCAAGCTGCTGGTGGGAAGGGAGCCGCGGGCCGCTTTCGGGAAGTCCGGTGTCCCCGGAGTGGTGAAGGAGTTCTTGACTTCAAGGGAGAGCCAGGAGGCTGGGTTAGTTTTCCAGGAGCCGCACCGGTGACTGGATCGACCTTTGATTCGGGGGAAATCTTTTTGTCACCGCCAGTGGCAAAGAGGCAGGATCCGCTGGATCGGAAGGGAGCCAACCAGCTGGTCTTGTGGCAGCGCGGGGTTTACAAAAGCTTCAGGATGGGGCCCCATGGTCCAGGCTCTGGGGATCTCGAAGCATGCTTGGGTTTCAAGCCTGAAGTTGAAGCAGAATCTGAAGATCAGGTTTTTTGGTGTCCTTGAGCAACACAGAGAAATGGTCTCGCGATCGCCCATTTTCTGTGAGGGAAGATCCGGGATAAAGTGGTCACGGTTGGTTGAATGTGACTCCTGACAACGGATTGCTTCCAACAGCGGATCCAGGGGACAAGCCCATTTTTTCGCGCCCCACCTCAAGTTTCCTCGGCGACCAGGACCCGCGCGCTCAAATTTCCGGCCTTGCATGGCCAAATCGAAAGCCGCGAAGCTTCGACGTCGGCAGGGTGTCCGAGCCATTTTGCCTTAGAGCCTCCCAAAGGAGCGATTGATTCTTCCCACGGACCGCACCCGTGAATCGATGAACCCCCCGAACCACCCCTCCCCAAACACCCCCTCCAAACACATCTCAAAAGCAGGACCCCTTAATTGGACACTCTGAGAATTGCCTTTGAGGAAAAGGGGGATGTGAGATTCTTCATGTGTCGAAATCGGCGAAGCCAACAAATGGGAGGTTTGCGGTTGGCTTCCCTCCAGGAAGTGAGAAAATGTATTTGATCAGCCTGATCCACCTTTCACTCCGCGAAGCTTTGAAGCCTCGAAGCGGGTTTCTCCTCGCGCGACGCTGTGAGCCCGGAGGTCTTTGAACCGATCGACCCCATGGACTTGATCCGCCTTTTGGGAAGTCCTAAACATGGCGCGTTGTTGGGTTTGACATGTTTCCCATTTTTGATGTTATGGTGGTTTAGTGGTTGCAATCCAACCACTTAGCTGCCAAAATTTGAGAATGTTTGCTCCCCAAACCCAACGTCAAGCAAGTTTAAGCTCCCTTCGCGACCTTTTTTTCTTCTTCTTGTTCCGAAGCTTCGAGGCCCGACAGCATGGAGATCGCCAAGATGCGGGAGGAGTTTCTGCAGCGGGAGCCGAGGCTCTTCCCCCGGAGCCGGGGGGCCTGGCTTTGCGGGGCGCTCGCCGCTCGCGGCGGGAGGGTCATCTGTTTTTTTTTGAAACGGAGCCGGGGGTGGGGAGGGGGGAGGGGGGGAGGGGGGGGAGTGAGTTGCGGTCTTACCGGTGTGTGTTTCCCTGAAAGGAGTGGAGCAAAAGAGACCAATTTTTGGGCAGCACATGGATTTAGAGCTGATCGGCCCTTTGCTCAAGGAAGAGCAAGCTGCGTTTGTCCCGGTTTTTTTTGTAGCTTTTGTTGACCTCCATTTCAAGCTCCTCGTGCCCATATCCTCCAACCGGTATTGCAATAGAACCTGCCAGAGGGTCCTTTGAGAAAGGAGGTAAGTATTGGCCATGGAAGAAGCCTTGTTTTGGAGCAAGTGCCCTCAAAAAAAACAGGTATTTGGCGTACAGGGAGCCCTCCACCCTTGGGTTCTTTTGGCCACAAACTCCCTCCGACACCTCCAACAAGGCTCCCTATACTATTATACTCTTCCGTTTTTGATGTGGTTTTAGGCATCACGTGTTGGTTGACAATTTTGCACTGTAGGTGGGGCGACGCGCTGGGAAATACAAACTGTCAGGGTCCAGACTTGCGGCTGCTGGAGGTCTGAAAGGACATGACAAGAGTTTTTACTGGGGCATCTCTTTTTTTCCTAAATAATCCACGGAGGAGTTGAACCTCCATGATTTGTGGTCAGCATCTCGATGATTTGCTTGTCAGCATGCTGCGGCAAAGACCGCGCCTCACCCGTAGGGCAACTAGATCTCTGGCAGGCAAAGGAGCAATTGGCTTGTGACCCACCCGTTTCCCGCCTGATTCCTGAAACACACAAGCAACAACCTGCCCCCATCTGCGCCCTTTTAAAAGTAAGCCAAACAAATCAACCGCAATCTGGTCTATCTAGTCTAATCTCTTCATCCATCCATCGATCTAATCTTTCCATCTGACCTCAATACTCCCCACCAAAAAGGGGACCCCCAAACAAAGAATACACAAGGAAATTCTGCTTAGTCAGGGTCCCCCCCCCAAAAAAAAGAGAGAGAAAGCAAGAAAGAAAGCAACCACAAAAAACAAACAAACATAGAAACCACCATAGCAATCAACAGCACCAACAAGCAGGGTTGATCAACCCAGGCTTTATCAACCCAGGCTTTCTCCCCCTTTTTTGGTGTGGCTCCGGTTCTACCCCCCCCCCCCCCCCAAAAAAAAAAAAAAACGCACCCCGCCGAGCCCATCCGAAGCCCATCCGCCCCGCCCTCCGAAGCCATCCCCTGGACCGAGCGATCCGAGGAGTCCAGGCCCGGAGGGTGGAGCTGTACTTCCTGCTGGAGGAGCCCGCCAGCAGCGGCCTGGCTCTGGCTCTGCCTGGCTCTGGGCACAGAGTGCCCCCAAAAGGCCCAGGAAGGACCCAGAAATACCAAGGTTGGCACCTCTTGGAACCGGAAGCTCTGCTTGAAGTGATCCCAAAATGCCCCCAGGTGTTCATCGAAAGTCATGGCGCATTCGGCGATCCCCGTCTTGGGGGCCGAGAAGGTGAAGCTTAAACAGCCACCCAATAGGGGGAAACGGATATGCCGAGATGGCCAAGTTCTTTTCTTTTTTTCACTGCTGCTGGTATTTTGGGGTAAAGTAGATGGAAAAAAGCGATCGCAACTGGCGATCCAGGCAGTTTTAATCATAAATTGACCATTCACCGTTGGAGTGCGCAATATGGGTGCATGTTTGATTTAACAACGTCATTGATTGATGCCATGCTAACTTAGCTTCCTTGGTCCGCTTTAATCTAGCCCTATCAGGTCGAGTAACAGCCATAGGGCTCACAAACTCCATCGAGTCCCTGGACTTTGTTTCTTTTCCACCAGCTCCATTGAGTCTCTATGGAGTGCCAACTTCCCAGTTCGGTGCTACCAAGTTCTTTGTCCTTTTTCTGGGTTGCGATTTTCACTGTTTCTGGGTGTTATCAAAGTCGGCCTTTAGCCCACCACTTGGGGGGCGACTTTGATAGTGGTGAAATGGGGCAAGTGTTTGATGGCTTCACCAAAAATCGGTAAGACAAGAACCGGTTGCCTTCCAAAAGGGTTCCACCTGACACTTTTTGGGTTTGGACCATTTGAGTGGCAAGTAAAAAGGATGGTTACTTGTTTTGGCCCATCCACTGGATCGGAAGTGAGGGGGTCGTCGCAGCCACAGAGAAGTTGTGGTTTCCAAACCATGTCCTGTGGACCTTCTGGATAGAAAGTACTCACTTTGGGACACCAGCATGTGTAAATGGTTGTTTCAGGTTCAGGTTCTTCATTTTTTAAAGGAAAGAAAGAAACAAGTGACATCCCTCTAAATCGCAGGTGAATATTTTTCGAAGCTCTTTTCGTGGTGTCAACCATCGCTTCTTGTTCCCCGCGAGCGCCCGCGAGTTTCGATTGGGGTGATGTTTGAAGGCGGGAGTTTGGGAACCCCGGCGAAACGGCCGGAGTCTCCGAACATGTTGTAGAGTAGGCTGATTATGAAACAGCAACTGCTTTTTGTGTACCCCAGATCTGGGCCAAGACGCGTGCTGTTGTTGTCTGGTGATAAGCTGTGGGCACGCCCATGCGTCCCAAAACTCTCCAAAGACGCTTGGAGGTGCCGAGTTGCACTCGGGGATCCATCCATAGACAGAACCCACCCCTGAAAATGCCAGGTCTCCGCTGGAAGGTCCAAACAAGAGTTGCATCGACGGTACAAGATTCGGCACCAAATGGAATAAATGAGGCCCTCATGGGAGAAACCACCTGCCAACCTGCTAGCCTGACGACGCTGGACTTTCCTATGGACAGGGCCGCCCCGCCCTCCCCCTCCCCCGCCCCCCCGCCCCAAAGTTTGGGGCCGAACAGGGTGCGTTGTAGCGGCACCTTGTTGTCCAAAAGCCTGGGGCCAGAAGTCAAAGTTTTCATGTGGTTTGTTCAGTTCAAGGGCATGGTTTTTGAAGAGCGCAGGCTCATGAAGGGTGCCCTTGAAGATAGAGACAAAAGGGCGGCCCAAGGGAAACCACGTGTTTTCCGCCTTTTTCTTTTGTTTTGGGGGTGGGGGGGGGGGGGGCAATTACAGGCTCCTCAGTGGTTCCCAGCCATCCGGTTCCTTAGCTGTTTGGCTTTTTAGTGTGTCGTGGGGATTTCCATTTCACCTGCTAAAAGTTTGAAACGCTTTTAGCGGGGGATCAGAAAACAGGCCGCCCAGAGACCACTAGAGAGAAACCACATGTTTTTTGGGGGTGGTGGGGGGGGCCAATGACGGAGAAGGACACCACTAGCAAGTTGATCAACTCAAGCCATCGGCGGCTGGCCGCACCTGAGGCTTTTGGGCCCGGTGGGTGTCCTTTTGCATGTTTGCGCCTGGGATGTGAGCGAGCGGCGAGCGGGCGGGCCTGGAACTTTATTGCTTTTATTTGTTGAAATGATCATTTTTCATTTTCCCATGTTGGTGTTAAATGGAATTTATCACTACTGGAAATAATTTTCTTTCTGGGGGTCTTGACCAAATGGCAGACTGTTCTCGCCATGGTTTGCTCGAGGCGTTCTTTGTTCTCACTGTTTGGTTCTGTCCATCTTTTCCGGGGGGGGGTGCGAAAAACGAGTTTGTGGTTGTGTGCGTGCTGCCATACAAGGAGTTGGCAAGGATTGACAGGACATGAGAAGCGAATGGGGTTTGGAATCAAAGGAAGCAGAGATAGATTCCTCGAGCGCCTAGGCTTAGTTTGAGGTACATGGTTCCAGGGGAATTCTTCTGCACCCCGCTTCCCCAAAACATATATCCACTAGTTCGAGTGTGCAAGGATGCGACTGCAGCAGGAACTGGCGGGTTTCTACCAACGACTTAGGATCCAACTAGGGACCCTGAGGCTCGCTTCGGATTCGGTGTGTTGTTCTGTCCAGCTTTACGAGATCGAACATCCATGATCCACTCTTGGTAACGGGGTCTTGGGGTTGTGTTTTCTTTGGGTACCCCTTTTTGCAGATGGATTCAAAGTGGGAAACCACAGGCAAATGACCCACAAGGGAACCCCAAAAAACCAGCAACAGTGACTGAAGAAACAAGAGCAACTTGGCTATCCAGGAACAAACCTTCTGGTTTCAGCCATGGCTTCATTTGCGGTGCTGCGTTTTTCCACGGGTTTCGCAGCCACATGGACCATCACCCTGGTTTCGGTGTCGGATTCGGACGGAGTGGGCGTTTTGGGGCTGAGGGAGGCCATCCCGTATCGGAATTCAGGACGCTGGTGCGATCGGAATAGGTCCAGACACAGATGCACGTGTTTTTGTTTGTTTCTTGTGGGGAGGGGTTCATGCGTTTTGTTTTTCGTTTTTTTCTGGGGGGGGGGGGAGGTCCAGACATTCGGATTGGGTCGGGCGGCTTCTTCTTCTTGTTTTTTTTTTTTTTGGGGGGGGGAAGGTTCAGACATTCGGATTTCTTTTTTTGCACAGGCTTAGACAGCCGGACTGAAATTGTTGTCCTCTCAGCTGTACTCGGAAGCTCCCTTAATTGGCCTTTGATGGACTGTCTTAAGGGGTTTGGGGGCCAAACCCTGAATTCAGACATTCGGACTGGGGCGGTCGGCTTCCCAATGGTGCCTCTGTTAGTCTGAGCTTCCACGTTGAATCGCATCTAGGTCCCCCAGTAGTGCCCTTTTACACTTTTTGGGGGGAGGGCACCTTAGTCTAACCTCTCTACAGGACCTAGGCATGGGTGATGCACTGTCTTAATGGGTTTTGGGCGCCAAACAAAGCATGTTGAACTTTACCCCAACAACCAGCAACAGTGGCTGAAAAGAGCGATCGCAACTTGGCTATCTAGGCATGTTGAATCGCCCGGCTCTGGCAGTTCCTAGGCTTGCATCCTCTTCTCCATTGCGCTCTTCATGTTGGAGACCATGCCGGAGCTCAAGGAAGTCCCCGCCCTTTGGCGAAGGAGTTGGAACGAGTTGAGATCGTGTTGGGGGAAGCCGATTTGGTTTGCCGGGGGAGGCTGGGGAAGCCTGGGGAACCAATGCAAACAGGGGAGAACGATGGAAAACGATGGAAAGCGTGGGAAGTCTGGGGAAAACTGGGCAACACCTTAGACCTGACCATCTTAAAGCCGCGAAAACCAGCGGCAAGCCGAACAGCAAACGGAGCAAAACCAGCGCTAAACGGAGACGAGGCTGAGCCCGGGATTTCGAGGACCCTCCAAGTCTACTGGACCCCCCATCCCATGTTTATCCAGGGTTCTAAAAAATTCAGGCTTGAACAAATAGACTGCAGCATCCGGAGACAAGTCTTATCTTCAGCACAGTTTTTTGCGCCGTTTTGCCCCCTGTTGACCTAAAAGCTCGCGTTTCAGCGGCTTGCGGGTCCCGGGGCGCGTGGAAGGGTTTTCGGACACCTCTCTTCGGACCTCCCGATGGGGAAAATCGGAGGGTTGCGCATGAGTTGCCAGGGCAACCTATTTGGGGTGTTCGCAAACTGGTTGACCCACACCCAGAGGTTTTTTCTTGAAGCTGAGCCGCAAATCTGAAAGACACTATAGCGACTGATGGGCTAACGGTTAGAATGTTAGCCGTGCCCAGAGCGACGATGGTAAAACATCTTTTGTGTTCTGTTCGTTGTTTGGCGTCGTGGTGTTGTGGTGTCTTGGTGTTGTTGTTTCGTTCGTTCGTTCGTTTGTTTGTTTGATTGATTTATTTAATTAATTGGATGGATTGGATTGGATTGGATTGGATTGGATTGGATTGGGTTGGGTTGGGTTGGATTGGATTGGATTGGGTTGGATTGGATGATTGATTGATTGATCGTCTGTCGGTCTGTCGGTCTGCTTGTTTGTTTGCTTGCTTGCTTGCTTGCTTGCTTGCTGGCTGAACACCGGGCAGCAGCCAGTGATGCGCAGCCAAGGACGAGTTCTGGTGGGGAGCTCAGCGGTTTGCGCACAGGAAAGGCTTGCTCAAGGTTCAGTTTTTGTGTGGTTCCCGGTTTGGTGGTTTTAAGCATCACTTTTTTGTTGCCACTTTAGAATGGGTTTTCTTGGGGATGATTTTCAAAGGGGAACTCTGGCGACCGGGTTTCAGGTGGACTCCGATTTGGTTTCAATATGAGGGGCTAAACAATCTCAGACCTTCTCCTATACTCATGGCTCATTTTGGTTTTAACCAGTATCCAACTCCAAGTATTTCGTTCATCACGGGGCCTGGGGAAAAAAAGGAGGGGGGGAAGGAGCCCAAAGAAGGCCTTGAGGGCTCTCGAGGGCTTAAGGGCCTTGTCGTGGTCCGGCTTTCGAACCTCCAAGCGCTTTCTCTCCGATGAGGACCGTCTCCGAGTGCTTCTTCACCGTGGTCTTTCTCCTGGAGTACATCTTCCGGCTTCTTGCACCGTGGCTATGGAGATGGTTTGGGGGGAGAGGTGTTCAATAGATTCCACACTTTTTGCAGCTCCCAGCCATCTCTTTAGCCTTTTAGCTTTTTAGTGTTTAGATGTGTCATTTAACCCACTAAAAGTCAAACTTTTAGAGGGGGATGAGAAAACGGGCAGCCCAGTTTATAGATCCCACACTTCTTGCGCATCATTTGGGCGATTCCCACGACTGGTGGTCTTTGGGTAAAACGCGAATTTCGGCCACCTGGAGGGCCTTTCAAGAGGGATGACGTGGCTGGCTGCTGACCCCCTGGCCCCCTGGCCCCTTTGGGCCTGCCTCAGGTGCCAAGCGGCTCCAAGCTACCCGCGCCCGACGGTTTCCCCTGGTCTTACAGGAAGTTCACTGGGAGTATTTTTTTTTCCTCCGGGAAACTTCAGCAAATGGAAAGTTGCCAGCTGGCGGCTGGAAGGGAGTTTGCTTTTCGCAGGAGTGAGCCTTGCGGGGCTGCCATGAGTCCTGGTTAGGGACATGGTAGTTCAGCTTCACCGTCCTTGGCGAGTTTTTGTTTGGTTCTGTTCATTGTTTGAAGGTTTTTTTTTGGTTCTGTTTATTCTTTGAAGGAGGCTACAAGGTTTTTTGCTACCATACCACGGGTTGTGAAGCAAGCAAATGGAAGTTACTGTTTTTCTCCCCTTAGGTTGCATCGCCAAAATTCGACCCTCCGGTCCCTGGAGCAAATTCTGAGCAAAACTCCTTGGGGGTCTATGGGGTCTGTGTCCAAGACTAAGCAATAGCAACGAGACGGTTTTGTGCTTTCTTTTTCCGAAGAAGGGATTTCAAAAGGAGATGTTGTCGCTCGTTTTTTGGCGCGTGGGTGCATTTGTGTTTCCATTCCTCTACTAGCACGTGAAGCGCGAGCTCACCATACTAGGGCGAAGACAGAGCCCGGGCACCATGATGAGAAGGTGTCTTCCAAAACCCTCTTCAGTGAGCCCTTGATAGGGGTCGATGAATTCCACCTTGTACTGCAAACCAACATGGAACCCAAAAGGGGGGCCCCAAAACCAGCTTCGTCTACAAATGAGGGTTTTGGGGTTCCATCTCAATCTGGGCGGCTAAGAGCACGGCGGTTTTTTTTGGCTGGAAAACTTGCGACAACTCGAGGTATGCGACGTCGCTGGCATTACGCTGTGGACGTTCATCAGGAGTGCAGAAAGCGAGGGGCCGCAGCCTCTTGTGGGTCTGCCTATCTTGCGGTGAGCTCACCAGGGGTAAAGCGTAGTGTCTTTGTGGGATCCGTCCTTTCAGAATTAGGGGAGCTCACAATGGGTTCCTCTACGCTGCCCCTAGCAGCGCAAAATTGGTGCCCTCAAATGGCATCTTTTTTTGCCACCTACCCCACCCCCGCAAGAGCCCCTCTTGCGAGTTTCTTGGAGGTAGGCAGACCACGCCACACCGCGTTTAGTTGGTTGACTCTTTGGGTTATCAAGGCAATTGAGGGCCGCTTTGGTGGACCTCACGCGCAGGCACTCACCAATTATTGTGGAGGGTGTTCCCTAGTAGCATTCATAGTAAACTTGCTTCAGGTACCCCGCACGCCAGCCAAAAAGGGTGCCACAACTCACACCCTTTGTTTGCAACCGCTTGGCCAGATTTTGATGCTTGTCGCCGATGCGGCACCGGAGGTTGAAAGAGGCTGGCTCATTGCCACGCAAATGGGTGTGGGTCCAGGACCAGTTTCGCCCAGCAAGTGGATCCCACCGACAATGTTTTGCCACGTTGTTCTTGCCTTCAAAATCCAGCGGTCCCACATGCTCCCTTCAAAAAAGCCAGCGGTCCGGCGGATTTTTGGGGAGAGGACGCCGATGAACGTGGTGGACGTGGTCGCGGTGTTGCCCTTCTTCCTCTTTCTCGCCTTGCAAAGCGTGGGGCGCGCCATAGGCGCGGCCGGGAAAAAGCAAAGCCTGGAAGCTGCAAGCATCGCGGGCTCAGAATGGTGGTTTCCCTTGGGTAGGGAATCCCAAGGGAAGCCCAAAAGGACACCAACCATTTGACTATTTAGCCTTTTGGGGCATGTCGGTGTGCCCCAACTACTTTTGAATGGGTTTCGGGTTCCATGGGATGGTTTGACCAATCCATTTCATACCAAGGACAACCCTGCAAGGGATTCCTGATGGAAAAGGGTTGGCCCTGTATTCCCCTTTTCCAGCTGCTTGGGTTCCGGGTCCGAACTGGGCAACTGAGCTATTGGTTGGCAGAAAGTTGGGATCGGATGAGGAGTTCGTTCTCGATGTCTGCCTCTTGATGTTGGCTGTGGTTGTCAAAGCCAATGGCACCATTTTGGTTGGTAGGTGAATTCACCACCCATTTTAGAGCCTATTTTAGGTGGGGCTTGGGATGTCCACTGGGGGTATGGGGTTTTGACCCAGGCCACGTTGGCTTCCATAGAATTGTAATGTTCTTAAGAGTGGGATGGGCACGGACTGATTCTTCAAATGCCCACACGTTCTAACTGTCAACCCTACCACTGACGAAGGGGGCTTGTGCAACGTTCTAAATAGGTCATGTTCCAACTTGCCAACTTTCTGTGTGGCACTTCCAAACGACCCATGTTGTGACGTTCTGCCTGTTCTAGCTGGGTCAGGCTTCATCCGTGCAGTGCGCCTGGTCCGGCTATTCCGGATCTTCAAGCACCTTGGGCATGCTTGGGCTCGACGGCTCTTGCCATCAACTTATCCTCAAGGAGGGGTGTGGGTTGGCACATCACTTTCTGAGTTGGCCAACATCCAAGGGGCGAGACTTCTATCTAAAGGGGGGATTTGAGCGGGGCCGAGCCAAGTTGGCGGCTTTTTCTACCTGGCGCACGTGGCTGCATCCCACACGGAACCCGGCTGTTGCGCACGTTACGTGGGCCAGCGTTAAATGAGCGCGTTTTTCTTTGAGGCTGTCCTCTGGGAGTGGCTTTGAACAAAAACAACTCCACAAAAGACATCGCCGGGCGCACCACAAAAACCCGATTTTGAAGACAAGCCCAACTGGACTCCAACCCGAGTGCCACAGTTCTAGGGGTTGATTCCTTGTCCATTCTTTCCAAAAATCGTTCTTTTCAAAAATCGTGCTTTTCGAAAACCGGTTGTTTCCCCCGGGGTTTTTGATGCTTTCCTGAAGAGATTCGGATCCCCGGGTTCAGAATGAGGAGGGAAGGTACCCCTAGAACAGTACCACAACTTCCCGAAACCGAGATCGCATTCAGCTCCAGATCGATTTCCGAGGCTGGGCCGGCACTCCAAGGGATTGAAGATGATGATGGTCGCGCTGAGCAGGGAAGCCAAGGTTTCCATCTTTGCCCCCCCCTTCCCCATTTGGCTTCAAAGGGAAGTGCGTGGGTTCGAATCCAAATCCAAGCCAATCCACACCCCACCGGGTTAGCTGAAGGTTCCACACCGAATCCGAAGCGACCTTTCCTTCAATGTTGTTGGCATGTGTTTTACTTTTTTGAGGGGGGGTCCGTTTATTCATAGTAGGAGGCTGCAAGAAAGAAACAGGGCATAGCTTTTTGCAAAGCCCACGCCAGGGTTGGCACCGAGGCAACAGCGGGCAAGCATTGAGTGTCCTGGTCTTCTTCCTGGGCATCGGCTGCGTGCTCTTTTCCAGCGCCTTGGTTGGGGACTTTCTCGGTGAAGGTCCTGGACGTTGCTTGGTCCAGGTCCCCCAGTAGCTCCCCTACTAAAATAGACTACGGGAAAAAGGGTACCCTTATTCTAACCTCTCTACTGGAGCACCTAGTGGTGGTTGGAAGGTCCAAATGGAGGTTTTGAGGGTGCCCTTTTGGTCGGTTTTACAGGAAAATCAATTTTCGGAGGGGGGGGTCCTCCAAAAAACAACACCCGAATTTGCCGTTAAAGAGGGAGCTAAGGAGCCACCAGGAGTTCTTCAAGTGCCCTCATGGTTTTTGGGAAGACCACTTTGGTAAAGAAAGAAGTTCCGACTTCTGTTTAGCCACAACTAAGTGGGTAGGGTGGTGGTGCATGCCATGTTCAGGTCAATTTTTGATGCGATGCCCAGCCCCAAAGTGTGAAGTTGGCGTTGCTTGGCTTCTGTGGGTGCGAGTGGCTCCTAAGGGGTTGTTTGAAGCCCTGAAATGTTTTTCTCTTTGATTATTATTATTTAAATGTCTTCAAAGCAACCCAAAAGGAGGTATCCGCTAACAAAGGACACGTCCTATCTTCGTCCATCTCCAAGGGAGTGATTTTTTTGGGCGCCGAGATGTCCAGCAGGGATCTAGCAGCCCCAAATCAGAGGCCATCAGCGGCCCGCTTTTTGTGTTTTTTTTGGGGGGCGCCAGGAGGAATCGGACTCTGGCACATCTTGCCATCTTTTCAAGGGGCCACACCTCACCCCGCAAAGACGCGAACCCTGGAAACCCCGCCCGAAACCTTGGGTGTAAAGACCTTTGGGGGCTCGTGTGGTCACTTCCTTGTAGCTTCCCAGACGAAAACAGCCCAGGTGAAATGCTCAGCCCCGGAAAGCCTGTAGAGAACCCTCCGGAACTTTCCCTGAAAGCTGCTCCGAACCACTCCGGGACCTTTCTGGGCCTGGATGGACAAAATCCTGCAGCACTTTGAGCCCATGGTTGAAGCCATTGTTGGTTACAGGGGGCTCATCTCAGCTGCCTAAGAGCCTTTGCGCGAAACCATCCCCAGCATGGACCCCGCAGATTTCAGCTGGGGAAAACCGCACTCGGGTCTCGAGAACTTTCCCCCCCCCAGCCCCCCCCCCAATCAACGGGCGGTTCGGGAGGCCTCCTGTACCACGTGGAGAAAATCTCCTGCCCTGCGCCTTGGCCTTTTGGAAAAGGGAAAACCGCGCCGCCGGAGGTTGGTTTGGTGTTTTGTTGTTGGTTGCTTCGGTCGCTCGGTCGGTTTCTTTCTTTCTTTCTTTCTTTCTTTCTTTCTTTCTTTCTTTCTTTCTTTCTTTCTTTCTTTCAGTGTGGCTGTCTGTTTGTTTTGCCAGTTTGCTTGTTTGACTGCTTGTCTGTCCGTCTGTCTGTCTTCTTTCTTTCTTCCTTCCTTTCTTTCATTGATTTGTTATATAGCTGCTGATCATCGGGGGCGAAACTGCAAACCCCTGGTGAAAAGTGATTTTCGGGGTTTCGTCGCCGGATCCTGTCAATGATCATTCACCCCCCCTCTCTCTCTCTCTCAGAACATCGCGACTTTTTATGGACTGCCTGGTGCGCAGGCATGAAACTGCCCATCCGGATCATCCAAAACGGGGCACCTCCAAGGACACACTTGCATAGGAGGACAGAGCCCCACCAATTTTCCACTACATGAAAGTAGCACCTAGGCCGGAGAAGGAATCGGTGATGGATCCATGGCTACAGATGGGCACTTGTGTTGATTGGGGCCATGTGTTTTGACAGCCCTCCTTTCACTGCATCATGTTTCCTTTTTGACGCTCGCTGGCAGCGGGAAGGGGGACCAAGGAGCTGGGGTTGTCCGAATTTGTTTTTGAAGGGGGAGCTACACGGTTGTGGTTGTGAAACATTTTACATTTTTGCTGATTGTGGTTTAGAGGGAAATCCCCACTCAACTGCTAACATTTAAATTTTTGCTCCCCTTCCAACGTCAAGCAAGGCTAAGGAGCAACCAGGGGTCCTGAAAGGACGTGGGGATGGGGACATCATGTCCGTACACTTGCGACTCCCGCGGGGGTGTTGCATGTTAGGTTTCCACCCAAAGGATCCCAGGAAACCTGTCCGATGATAGGGGGCCCCAGTTTCCGACTTGGAGAATCCTTTGGTGCATTTTGCCAAGGGATGTTAGGACTTTAACTCTTTGCCAACGAATTTGGGCTTTCCGTACTAAGCCACTAAAAGTTAAACACTTTTAGCAGGGCTTCGCAGATTTCGCAACCGAGACTCCCCAGTTTCCCCCTCGAAGAATGACCCCAGTTCACTCGTCCGAGAACTGATCGACGATCGAGGATCGGCAGTCTTTCAACAGCACGACCCTGGAGATCTACTTGTCGGAGCGATCCGACATGTCGGTTCCACCAATTGAGGAAGAGCGAAAACCCATGTAGGTCCTTCATCTAGGGATCCCTTTTTCAGGCGGAATTATTCGGAAGTGTCGAACATAATTTGCAGCTGGGTTTGGCTAAGTTCGAACTTGACTTTTTCCCTGATGAGCGGCCTCCTTTGCGTAGTGCATGTTTGAAAGATAAAACTTTTTTGGGTTTGCTTTCTTTTTCTCACAATTGTTTTATGTTGTTTAGGGTGGACTGGCAGCCTGCGCCAAGGGTCTCGGAACCAAGCTTAAGGGAAATGAAACCCACCGCTCACTTGGAGAAGTCGCGATTCCCAAGCGTCTCAAGAGCCAAATACGCGGAAGGTTTTTGCTGGGAGCGCTGTCGGCCGCCCCCCTCCTTTCTCACCACGGAAGGCTTCGTTTTGTTTATTTTTTTTCATTTTTCTTTCCATTTTTTCCCCTGTTGGTTTTAAAGGGAAACAATCACTGCTGGAAATATGTTTATTTTTTTCCCAGGGGGCGAAAACGCAAATGGAAGGTTGCCTTGCAGGTTTTGTCTGTGGACTCTTTTTGAGGCCCCAAGCCACGGAACGGTGTTGGGGATTGCGGGTGTGGGGGCCGAAGCCGACGGTTAACCCCAAACCAAACGGCAACTATCGGCCACAGAAAAGCCGCCAAAGGGCTGATCTTTTGGCCTTGGCTAGATGCTTGGCTAGATGCTTGGGAGCAGCCTCAAGCTTCCCCCGAAAGCGCAAAGTGGGGCTCCCTCCCTCCCTGCCTCCCTCCCTGCCTGCCTGCCTGCCTGCCTTCCTTCCTCCCTCTCTCCCATCCTTCCATCCATCCATCCATCCATCCATCCATCCATCCATCCTTCCTTCCTTCCTTCCTTCCTTCCTTCCTTCCTTCCTTCCTTCCTTCCTTCCTTCTTTCCTTGCGCAAGGAGTTGTCAGACCAAGAATTCCGCGACCGGGTTTTTCCGGAAGCTGGGGATTCGACCAACACATCAGCTTTCTTTTTTTTTGGGGGGGGATTTTCAGAAGCTAGGGCCAACAAGGGAAGGAAGCGATGCCACCCTTTTGGTACGCCGGGATCCCCCCCTTCCCCCACAAAAAATAAACAAAAAAAACAAAAACAGAGAAACAAAACAAACAAAACAACGCAAGGAGTTGTCCTCCCCCTCCCCCCCCACCCCCAAAAAAAAACAAACAAACAACAAAACCGCAAGGAGTGGTCAGACCCAGGCTTCCGGGGACCGGAATTTCTCAGACTTCTCCGACTTCTCGGGGGAACTCCGCAGCTTCACATCCGCGCCAGGAGTGCAGCACCAAGCTCCAGCGCACCAGCCAGTTCGGGCTCTGCTGCACCGAGTCCGGGGCCTCCATGGAGTTCCCCTCCATCTCGCGCGGGGCCCAAAGCCTAACGAGGGAGCTAACGAGGGGCGGCCAGGCGGCGCGGCCGGGGGAGGGCAGGGAAGTTGGTGATTGGGAAGCATTTCACATTTTTGGTTCTTGTGGTGTAGTGGGAAATCCGACCACGGAACTGCTGAGACTTCATTTTTTGCTTCCAACGTCAACCAAGAAAGGGCGACCCGCGAATGACCCGGGAGAGATGGGAGAGCTGGATGGTTTGGAGGTACAAGAGGTGGGAGGGTGGGTGGGGGTGGGGGTGGTCAGGGGCTCCTTGTCCCGCACATTTTCGCACCATGTTGAGTATTTAGATTCTTCCGGCCGGTGTTTGTTGAGGACTTCTCAGGTCACCTTTTGGGCCCGTTTTGTCATCTCGTGCGGCTTCACGAGGGTGATGTCCACAACCATGCAGCTGGTTGACAGGGCAACGCCATTGGTTGGACTTCTCGGACTTGCTTGCGTGCGCTTGTGCTTTGCAAACATCCTGTGGGTTGTCACACCCCGCCCGCCCCAAAGGGAATTGCTCAAGAAAAGGCGCCGAAAAGGTAGGGTTCTAAGAGGCGCTGTTGGTCGCTATTACTAGCCCCCATTGGGATTTGGGGATGGGCACATCCCCCCAGAGCTTGACAAAATAATTTCACATGTCTCAAGCCTCCGATATGAAAAATATATCTTGATAACCTTAAGGTTGACTTACTCACTTGCTCAAAGCGAATCGACCTTTCGCCCTTGTTTAGTTTCCTTGGTTTGGCACATTTTTAGTCAAGGTTCCAGAAGGTCAACCTTTTATGGGCCCGAACTGGGCAACTCCACGGATGTAATTTTGATGTACCCTGGGTCTGGGGTGCGCTCAGCGGACATCGGCGTGGCGGGGGGAACCTCGCAAGCTCTGCACCTTGTTGGCCTCAACGACTCCATTGTCAAAGGAAGGGTCTGCATCCATGGCGCCCCCCTTGTACCTCACTTGAAGCGAATCGACCCTTTTTGGCCTTTGGATTTCCCAAGCTTGGTCCAAATTTTCAGGTCCCAACAGGTGATGACCTCTTATTCCCAGGTCCCTAAGGGTCAATCAAGTTACACTACATTCCAATACGTTTCCTTTTGGCCAAGGGAAGCTCATGCATACCAAGAAGGAGCAAAGTGCGAAGCTTGATGGTTTCCAACTAGGGGTGTGGAGTTTGGCGGCCTTCGATATCCAGGCGGCCTATGCTTTCAAGGGCGCCCCCCCCTTGGCATGTCTCAAGCCGTTTTGGTTGATGGCGATTCCTGGTGGTTTATTCCTATGGCCATCTGTTTCGGCCCTGGTTTGCCTGGCGGTTTTCTACCCTGGTGGTTTACCTAGTTGTACCATCTGTTTCCAAAACCAAAGAGGACACCAAAAGGTCTGTAGCCGAGACGCAGCTTGAGGTCGGCATTCTGGTGGCCCCTTGGCTTGAGAAGTTTGGGCCTCCGGTTTGGCGTTTGGCCTGCGAACCGAGCCTGCGAGGTGGCTTTGAACCAGGTGCCCCAGCTGGGTGCCCTTTCTTGAACCCTTTTTTTGGTTGGGAGAGAAACCCCCTACTAAAATGGACGACAGAAAACAGTTGGTACCCTTATTCTAACCCATCTACTGGAGGACCTAGACTCTATCCGATGTCCGCCAAAATTTGTTGGCTCGCACAAGAAAAGCTATGGTTGCGACTAGTTGCTCCAATGTTAGCCGCTTTTTGGTTTCAACTTCAGTTGTTTGATCCGGTGTTTGAAACTGCAGTTTCCGAAACCGACTGTAGAGTATTATGAAAACATTGAGTCAAGGCCCCGATCCAGTGATCTCGCCTATATCGCTCGCCATTTCCCCCGGTCTTTTGCTTGCACGAGCTACAACTGGCACATGTCCCTCTTCCAAAGTGACAGGCATGCGCTGCACACATTTGGGGGGGGGGCCAAGGGAGGATTGAGATCTTTACCAAAATCAAAGCAAGTGGTTCCGCCCATAGCATGAGGGGCTATTTTTTACTACTTGGTCTACCCCTCGAACACATCTGTTTTGCACCACCTAGATAGCCAAGTTGCTGCTTTTTTCAGTCATTGTTCGGTAACGTGGACGCAACAAAGCAGCAACTGGCGATCCAGGCACGTTCAGAAGCCCTGGTTTCTGATTCGATTCCCCTCACGCAAATATCCAAACATGATGGCGAGTGGCCGGGGCCAATCCCACGAGCCAGTCGACTGCTTGCAGCGCTTGCATCCCTATGCTCAACATGGACAAAAAGCTGTGGGAGATGTCGGTGACAAAGTAGGGGACAATTTGAAGCCAAGTTCGAGTTTTTTTTTTTTTTTTTTTGGTTGGTTTCCCCTGAAATCGACCTGCAAAAGGTACCCTCAACAAAAGCGCGCCCCAACATGCGCATGTTTTCCGCCGGCTTCTGACCTTTTGTTCTGTGGCTTTCTCGCCCAGGCACCCAGGATTGCTTTGGTGAACCCATTGCAGGTTACAAACATGGCTACAACCCAGTGGCCCCTAAGCAGGTTCCATTCATGCGCGTAGCATCGCGTCGAACCTATTCTGGTTACACCATGGCTGGAATATCCCAGCTGGGAAGCCATTGGATCCGAAAGCTGGTAGGAGTTGATTCCTCCTGCCCCTCGGAAATGTCAATCTTCCCCATATTGCTTTATTCCGTGGCTGCCAATTTTTCTCCCAGGTTTTTTGGCCAGCTTTATCGGGTTGTCTGCTCGGTGTCCCTGAATTTTGCCTTGTTCTAGGGGTACCTTCCCCATTCTTTCCAGGGATCCTTCTTCTCAGGAAGCCATCAAGAACCCAGGGGAAACAGATCCGGTTTGTGAAAAGAACGATGGTTGAAAAGAATGGACAAGGAATCCACCCCTAGAATCTTCCTCCTAGCATGCCAGACCCCCCTACCCCCCCGACCCCCCTACCCCCCCCGACTCCCCCCTTCCTGGACTTGTCCGTTTTTTTCTGCGGGGATCCGGATCTCTGACTTCAACCCGCCGGCTCCCGCGTCCCGATGGCTACGACTTCGAAGTCTTCGACGGAGCGAGGTCTGCGGTGACCATGGCTACGACGGGCTACGGGGACTCCCGGCCGCACACCGAAGCGGGCAAGCTCGCAGGCCGACTGCCTGCCGCGTGCAACTTCCTGGGTGGACCCCCTTTTTGGTTGGGCTTAAAGGGAAACCACAAGGGAAACCACCCTTTTGTAAGGGTCCCCCCAAGAAAAAGACGCGCCCTCTTGTTCGTTTTTTGGAGCGGGGGTTAGTGGGCAAATCCATTTGTTCAACTTAATTTGTGGAGGTAAACGGGGGACACCCCTGATCAAAGGCCAGTGGATTATTAATCAAGACTCCTCGTTCAAAAGTGTATGAAAAGCAATGGCTGGACTCCTACCGTGGCTGGTTGCGGAATCCATGTAGCACCACCGCTCAGAAACCCCCAAGGAATGATTCGATGCCCCGTGTAAATACCGACAAACCTCGGTTGCTTTCTGCTCCCGGTTTAATGGAAAACCCATTAGTTGGCAAAAAGTTAAAGTCCTAACATCCAAGCACAATGCACCAAAGAAACAACGGTTGCAACCATGGTTTCTCAGGTGGTGCGAAATGGACTTCGTCAGGTGGCAGCTCAGTTCGCACCACCTAAGAAACCCTGGAATCATTGGATTCCCCAACGTAACCACCAACAAACGTTATGGTTTCAACCATGGTTCCATTTCGTGGTGTGACAATCGGATCTCGAACCATCCATAGTATGGCCACAGCAGGGGCGAAACCAAACAAGTCCCACACCGCTTGCCTTTGTCCGCAACCATCGCGTCACGAAACCCGATGCTATGGCCACAGTAGGAGCGAACTAAAAGGCCGCTCGAACCCTGCATCTTTGAAGTGTGTCCAAGCGGCCCGAGTGTCCCAAGCATCCCCAAGTGCCCCAAGTGCCCCAAGTGTTCCAAGTGTGAAGTGTTCCACGTGTGTTCCCAAATGTTGATATTTATCTTCTATGTGCTTAAGATTTTTCCCCCCTTGGTTTTGAAGGGAATCTGTCACTGGAAATTACTACTCCTTGACTGCTATTGGGCAACGGATCTTTAGACTTTGAGTTTTTGGTTGAAATCAAGTTGGGTTGTCCACTACCCCCCCAAAACAAAAAAGGTTCGAACCACTTCTTTGCGGGGCTCCTTAAAAGAAACACATTTTGCCACCCTTTGAGACAGGTTGCTTTTTCCACCAGGCCGTCCAGTTTTTCCAGGGTCGTTGCATGGGGTCGTTGCATGGGCTCGCTTGGGGAAATGTTGGATCCAAGCCCGGGGCTTCTGAAGGGTGAAGTTTTCCGCGAGCGGAAACGGATTTCGGAGTTCGGAGTTCGGAAAGCCGCCCACGGCATTCCATTCCATGGTTGGCGTTGGGATTGACAATTTTCCCATTTTTGCGTGTGGTTTAGTGGTTGGAATCCAAATCCACTCAACTGCTAAGATGTTCGGGGGGGGAGCTTCTACTGCTTGATTCCTTGTCCATTCTTTTCCAGCATCGTGCTTTCCAAAAATCGGAGCCGTTTTGCCTGGGTTTATGGAGAATTTCCAGAATGATCCGGATCCCTGGGTTCAGAATTCAGAACAAAAATGGAAGGTAGCCCTGGCTTCTTTTTTCTTTTTCTGCAGGCAGCGTCACCATGTGCAGCGGCATCCTGCTCTTCGCGCTGCCCATCGCGCTCATCGGCGCGCGCTTCCAGGAGGCCTACAACATGGCCGTGTCCAGGCGGAACCGACCGGGTTCCGACCGACCGCGGAACCGAGAGATGCGAAGATCAGGCCAGGGCTCCCTGCGAAAAAATGTATCCTAGGTCCAGGGATCGGTGCCCTTTTACAACATTTTTGTTTTGGTTGGGAGGGGAACCCCCTAAAATAGACGAAAAAGGGAAAGGTTGGTAGACCATTTTCCTGAAAAAAACTGAAAGGGACCGGGTCCTTGTCAGGTTCCATGTTAATTGGTGGGAGGATAAATGAAAGCCGTTCGGTGACCATGTTTTGGCCAATCCACTCGACCGAAGTTGCGCCTCAGTGGTTGGGATGTGTGGTTTGGATTTGGATTTGCACGGGTCCCTGGCTCTTGTGGCGAATGGGGTGCTCCATTCCGGAGCACTTCCAACCGCCAGGCTCAGATTTGCATTTGGAGGGAGCCTGCTAGGGCACAGCCAAAAGGGTAACTCAGAGTACACGACTCGGATCTTTCTCCGCTTGAAAGCTGAAAGGGCCATGTACATGACTGGACATGGACATGGACCTCTTCTTCTCTTTTCTTTTCTTCTCCGCTTGAAAAATGGCCATGGGCACCAAAAGTCTTCGCTTCGTGGTGGTCTCCTCAGCCTCCGTTTGGATGGGCCCCGAAGCTTGGGACACCTCGCCAGTGGCCCGCCGCCAATTTTCGCAAGGCCAGGGCAGGTCGGTCAAAGGGCTCCAGCTGGATGGAGCCAAACGTCAATGGCATTGTTCTATATCAACTTGTTGGATGAGGATTGAGATATATATATATATATATATAGATTACTGGGAGGGGAGGGAGGGATACCAACTAAGGCCTTAGTAATATTTGGGCTCTCTTCCCCTCCCCTCTCCAACAGTGAAGGATTTTCTCCTGAACATTGCGGCGCCCTCTAATGTAGACCCCATGTTAATCAACCCCAGTTTATTGATAGGAGGGTGTTCCCCTCCAAAAGTGGTCTGATTCCCCGCAAACTCACCCAGGGAGAAGCACCCCCCTAGTATTAAACTGGGGAGAAGAATATGGGGGCAACATCACCAGCCAAGCAGGGAGGGTTCTCATTCTGAGCCATCGCTTCACCTGCCTGTTGCCAGGGGCAGTCCATCGCAGCAGCCGCTTGGCCGACGCAAAAGGGGAAGTCAGGGATTTCGCCCAAATGGGGCGCGTCAATGTGTCGAGGATGCTTAGTTGTTTTTTTCGGGCTCATGTGGTGAAGGGAGAAGTGGGCAGCCGTTCACTTTGTGAGTTGGTTGCTGGCTGGTGGTTTGGAAGGGGGCCAAGGAGCTGGGGGTGTCCAAATTGCCTTCAAAGAGGGAGCTAAGGATGGCAATGCGTTTCACCAGGATGGTGTTGGGCCAATAAATTTCTTAAACAGCTCCAATGTCATAATGTGGTGTGATCACCTCATGCAAACCTCGGCTGAGGGTTCGCAAGAGGACGAAGGACCCCGCGGGCGGCGGGAATGGGTTCGCCTGGCTCCGTCGCAGAGAGAGAGAGAGGCTCTTGGGCATAGGTGTGCTTTTCGGGCTGGTTTGGTTGGCACTCATTCCATTTGCCAGGGCCATTTACTCTTCCCTCCCGTTCAGATGGATGGCTGGAGGGGGGAAGATCTTTTTCCTGTGCTTCAAGTTGCGGTGCCCGTTGCTGGCTCTTTTTGGCAGGTCCACTCGGACTTAGTGGCAATTTTGGGGGCCATTGCCTGCAAGTGGCTGATTTCGCACTCCAGCCCTGCAAGTCAAGGACATTTCCCAGCAGTTGCGAACCTGAGGTCCAAACAGTTCTTGGCTTGTGCAACTCGTCCCCTTGAGTGCGTGACATGCAAGTAGAGACCATCAGACCTCCTTGGATCGGTGAAAACACATCACCCACCATGGCTGCCGCGGTTTTACACCGAGTTTGGTCTCAAAAATCTACGGCACTCCCAAATGACCCTCCCACCAGTCAACATGCAACCTGGCAGGGACCCGGTCCCTTCAAAAGGCGTAAAAGGAGTATGATCTTCCAGGAACCCATCCTCAAACAGTCACTTCAAAACGTGACCCCAAAACCCAACACCCCTTGTCAGGTTATTTTTTGTGAAAAGGGTGGGAGGGTAGGATAAATCGATTTTCTGCGTCCCAAACATCGCCATCCTCACAGCGGGAGGTTCCGTCCAGCTCGGCTCCAAGCTGGGCTGTTCAAAATGGAGGGTTGGCCAATCCTAATCATTAATCCATAATCCCTATAGAAAAGCCACTACAAATAAAAGACCCCTTGCGTAACCCCAGGAAAGGATTAAGGATTACCTTTGAACAGCCCCAGCTAAGGGTTCCTCGCGGTGTCCGGTTGGTCCGCGCGCGCAGGACCGCGAGGACCCGCCCTCCAAAGTCATGAGCACCCGGCTGCGGCTCGGCGCGACGAGCTCGGGATTGCGGTCCCGGAGCGGGAGGGATGGATCGGCGTGGATGGCCAAAAAATAGGCCTGTCTTTTGAGGAGTAAACGGGGCCTGTGCATTTGGAGGGTGAATTGGTTCTGTGATGTTTGCGTTTCTTTTCCTTTTTTTCATGAGTTTAAAGGGAAGCCAGAAGGCAAAGTGCATTTTTCAGGCCCCCCCCCCGTTGTGACACAAACCGATCCGCATGCCACTGCAAATGGTTGCACCGAAAGAGGGGTAAAGCGAGCGAGCGTTCGTCTGTTTTGAGGCTCGGTGCCCAGGTATCCGAGCCGATCGGAGTCCTGTAAGGACATGGCAGCATTTGTGTGGCTTGAAAGGGAAACCAAAAGGAAATGGGAGGTCCAATTTCTGGACTGCAATGCAAGGAAAGAAGGGACGCCCAGTCAACTTACATCCTGGAAATGATTGACCTGCGACATGTTGGGAATCAACAGTAGGGTGCACCAGGCTTTGCTTTGCTTCCCAACGGGCCATTGTTTACTGTTTTGGGATGTTGGGAACCTGGACCGGGGGGGCCGGTGAGTTGCAAGGGAATTAGAAAACGACAAGCAATCGCATGTGGGTATTAGACTAGGTCTTTCAGTAGTGCCCTTTTGCCGTTTGTTTTTTTGGGGAGGGTTCCCCTAATAAAATAGACTACCGAAAAAAAGGGTACCCTTATTCTAACCTCTCTACTGGAGGACTTAGTAGATGTTTATTTGCATTGTGTTGCTGGGCATTGCAAGAACCAACTTCAGTCGTGTGACTGAAGAGTGTAGGCCGGGATTGTGGGAATGAGGGAGTTCCACGTGTAGTGCGATTTGGGCAGCACCCAAAACCCCCATTGGGCCGTTTTAAGGGGTGGTGCAGGTTTTGCGTCCATCCAAAGTACCTCCAATCAACATACTGTGGATGGACGAAGTTCTGCACCACTTTGAAACCACGGGAATCTTTGTTTGCTTGGCATTTACAAGGGAATCATCAATCCAGGGTTTCTTAGGTATAGTGCGAAATGGATTCGCAACCATCGTTTTCCCTTCCGTTCTCAACTTGGCCGAGGCGCCTCTTGAGGTTTTCCAACTCTTCCATGACGCGGCTGACCAAAGAACTGGCCAAGGACTCTTGGCGAAGAAGCGGCCAAACGCCGGGTTTTGGGATCCAGGTGCCCTGTGAGAAGCAAATAACCCGTTTTTTTTTTGTTTGTTTTTGTTTTGTTTTGGGAGGAGACCACAACACGTGGTTGGGGTGTTCCTTTTGGTTTCTCGTCAACGCCATCCAAGAAAGGGTACCCTCGAAGAAAAAAACAAAAAACACGAAAAGGAAACCAAGGACGAGCCATTTATACAAGGGGATCTACTGCCCCTTGCGTAGTGACGCCTGACATCCTGGAGGTGATTTGTTGCCCCTTGGGTGTGCCCATGTAGTACCTGTGGATGCGCGAATCCCGCACCACCTCAGAATTCCTGGAAGGATGATCCCCCTGTAAGCGCCAACAATCCACATGCAGAGTGTTCGTATTTTTTTTCCTCCTGTACCGTTTCCCCAGACATGGTTCAATGAGTTCACTCAGTGCGAGGGTCATTTTGTTTTGCATTGCGGATTCCCCCCCACTCGCTAGGAGCTGGAAGAGGCGAGCACCATGCAGGAGGACATCCGCATGCCCTTCGGCACGCGGGGAAGGAGTCCGCGGTGGAAACATGCCCAAGGGGGTCCGTGTACTTCCACGAACTTCTGATGTTTATTTTTGGTGACAGAGATATACCATGGGCAATTCTTAACACGGCATCCATAGGTGCCCCTCCAAGATCCTGGTTTTACATCTTCAGATCTTTCCGAGTCTTTGCTGTTCGCGTGTTCGCGGCGAGTGGGAATCAACCCAAAGATCAGGTTCCGCCCGGCAAACTGTGGTGGGGGAGTCTCCTGCGCCCATTAGCAAAGTCGTGCCCAAAGAGGTAGCTCAGAAATGATAGGGACAGCCCAGTTACTGATAACCACCGCAGAAAGTCATTAACCCAGTTGGATCCTGGGCAGTGACACCGGTGTTGACCCGTTTTTTCCTCAGAGGGGAGCATATGGACGTAGTGGAGCTCCCTGTGCAAAAGGGAGATAAGCATACCTAGGTGGTGGTTGGAAGGGCTGGACTCGGAGCATGCGGGAGCCTTTCGGAGCTCCCGATGGGAGTTCTGGCTACGGACATGGTTGGGCGTGAACTTTGCCGGGGACCCTGACGGCATTCATGTCCACCACAAAAGGAGGTGAGCCTTAATCAAACCCCGGGTAGATGAAGGTTAGTAAGGGACAATTTTAACCAATGGCTGCGGAATTCCGCCTTCTTAATTCTTGAAGCATGGTTCTGGGTCGACCATGTGAATACCGGGTTTTGAGCAAGTGACTCAGGTGGCTCCCTATTTGAAATTCATAGCATACGTCACATCTGTCGGTCGGGGGTCCGGATCAGCTTCCTTTCAACTGGCGGTTTGGAGCCGAATCGGCGTGGTGAAGGGAGATGGCCCCCTACCCTCGACAAGAACCAGGGATGCATTTCCAAATCCAACCCACCAAACTATCAGTTTTCGGGGATACCTGAGCGGGTAATTACCCTCGCGTTTTTGTTCTCTTTTTTTTTCTTTGTTTTTTCTCCGTTGGTCCCCGTGCTTGCAAATCTGATATCCGTTGTCCTGATTTCCAGGCGGGCGTGCTTTTTGCTAGTTCTCGGAAGCCACCCACTTTGAGGATCCCCCCCGTTTGTTTGGGTTGGCACTGATTCTTGCCTCTTCTCGGGCTTTGTTTCAGTCCTCTGCAGGCTTGCACAAAGCACCACCGTTTGCTAAAATGACAAGCGGGCGAAGACTTGGTTTCAACCAAACAAGTCCCACGCCGTTCTCGGGGGAGAGTGCTTGCAGCGGAAAGTTTCAGTCGTCTGCGTGAAGCTTTAGCGCATAGGTGTCCTTTTTGGTGGTTTTGGCGGGGCTTGCCGGGCACAAACGGGCTCCGACCGGGAGCCGAGGTTTGAGAAGGCAGAGCGGGAGTCGCAGAAGAACGTGCTGAAGCAGGGCATCGTCATCGTGCAGAGCCGCTGGGGTTGCAGAGGTCCTGAGACTGGTTCCTTTACTTGGGGTTTACAAGGATGGTCACGCACCTGGTAAGGATCCCTAAGACATGGTTGTTGTTGGGAAACATTTCATATTTTTGCTGATTGTGGTTTAGAAGGAAAATCCCCACTTAACTGCTTAATTTTTTTTGCCCCCCTTCCAACGTCAAGCAAGTAAGGATCCCTAAGAATTGTAGGGAACCATGACCATAGGCCATATGGGTTGCAGTGCTTAATTCATTTATGGCGAGCTCCGGGACCCGGTAGAGCGAGGGAAAGCCATGGTAAAGATCCTGGTTCCTTTAATCTTTAAGAAACATTGTAGGGAACCATGACTGTAGGCCATCTAAGGAGCCTTGACCATGGCACTTTAGATTTTGGGGTAGGCTAAATATGGCACAGAGTCAGAGCATGTATTTTTTCGGTGTACCCCAGATGTGGGCCAAGATATGGGTCTACCCGCCTTGGGGTGGTTCTAAGGGGAATATTTTTTTTAGTGCGGGGGGAAGTGGAAACCGTGTCAATTTGGTTTGTTTGGGGTTTGGTGACTGAAGTTATGTTTGGATTTTGACTCAGGGGACCGTTTACAGGGTCTGGGTTCAGGTCGCTCGAAGCCTGTTGTTACAACCAGCTTGGGTCCTGCAAGTGATGCGAGCTCACCGATAGAGTAATTGGGTGGGGGGCAATACCCGGCGAAGAGTAGAAGCTTACCAGTTACTGTGAACCAACCCCCTTCAAAACTTTCTCAACACATGTCGATTTCTGGGCAAGTTGATGCGAGCTCACCCCCTGATGAGTGCAAACTCACTCCCTGAGTTCATGAACTTTCAACAGTGTTTGGGGTTTGACAATTTTAGTGGCAAACACCTTTTTTGTCTTGGGGGGGGAGGAGGGGGGGCTGAGGGGGGGCCACTCAAGTCAAAATCAATGGCGGATGGTCAACACTAGTCCCGAGAAGCCCAAATGGGGAGAAGTAATCCAAATGCCCATGTACCCACAAGAACCAGGGGTTCAAATCCCCAAACCACCAACCACCAACTAAGGGGTCCCTTTTAGCGGTTGGATTCCTTTCTTCCAAAAGATCAGGGTAGTTTCCCAATTTAACCGCAAGAACCAGAGCCAGCTAAAATCCACCTGGCTCCACCCAGCTGACGGGTTGCCTGACCATACTGTGGGTGGACGAATTCCGTTCGCACCAAGTTGAAACCATGGCTGACGCCATATCGTTTGTTGGCACTTGTAGGGGAATCGCATCATTCCAGGCGTTCTGAATGGTGGTGCGAGACTTGGTGGCTCCCAGCCATTCCCTGAGCTTTTTGGATCCTTTTAGTGTTTAGTGGTTGGATTTGCATTCCACCCACTACAAGTTAGTCACTTTTCGCGGGGGATCCGAGGATAGCCCATGAGTACTGTGGGTGGACGAACTCCTGCATCTTTATTGCCATGGGACACCATGGTTCGTTGGTATTTACAGGGGAATCGACTCATTCCAGGGCTTCTGAACAATGGCGCGAGAGGCGGATTTCTCGAAACCATCCACAGTAGTTGACCCAGGGTTTTTCGCCTCCCCAAAATCCCGCGGTCCCTATGCCAATTCCTTTGTACTTGGCGGGTTTTCCCCGCACCAAACTCCCGCGGTCCGGCGGCTCGCTCGAGCCGAGGCTTGCAGCGCTTCAGCGACATCGCCTTGGAGAACCGGCGGTCCCGGGAGGCGCGGGAGGCCGAGGACGCGCGGCGCGCGTCCAAGGGCTCCATCAGCGAAGGCGGGGGCTGGGGGGGGGAGGGGTGGGGTTTCCTGGGGTGGGAGGGAGGGGTTTGGGGTGGTGGGGGACGGGTTTGGGGTGGTTTTGGGGTGGGGGTTTTTGGGGTTGGGGGGGGTGCGGAAATTGGTGGGGGGGGGGGGAGTTTTTGGAAGGCTCATTTTTGGCAACGAAACAGGTGAGCAAACTTGTGTTTCCCAGGGCTTCGGGTGAGTTGCATTTGGCTATCGCACTCTTACCTCAGATGTTGATATGTATTCGGTTGGGGGGGTGGCATTTTCGGCAAAGAGAGAGGGGCAGGGGAAAAGCACAGAAAGCACAGAGAAAAGGTGGGTTGGGATGATTTTCTTGGGGTAGGGCAAAAGAGCTGACAACGGTCTCGCGTCAGGACAGTCAGCAAAAAAGGAAGCCCCTGTCTGGGTTGACAGATGTTTTTGTTGTCCCCTTGAAGCCAATTTGGATTACCCCCCCTCTAAGTAACATAGGACCAGACATGGGGCTTTTTGAAGAGGAAACCAATCTTCCAGGTACCCTCTCCAAAGGTGCCCTTTCCCTCCAACTTACATGGCACCTGACACCCATTCAAGAGGAAACGCATCTTCCAGGTAGCTTCCCACAGAAGAGGAATGGCTTAGTTCGGTTACTCATTCCCTGCCCCTTGGGCCGCACCTCGACGCAGGCTCAGAGGTGCCCGTGGTGCCAGCGGTGATTCTCCCGAATCAGCGGGGGCCCCAAACGTTCGCGACCTACGGAGAAAAAAAAAGGTACCCTTATTCTAACCTCTCTACTGGACCTTGGTGGGGTTTGACGACTTGGGACGTGAGCCCAATGCCACTGGGAGGAGGTGGCAACCCAACTTACCGAGCGACCAAACCCTTTTTCTCAGTCCCAGCGGGGGGGGGGGGGGGGGATGCAAGAGCGCAGGTGTGGCACGACCTTTTGGGACCCAGCAACATGCACACTGGCTTTAGCTTGTCTAGAGCAGTGCCGTTTCAAGGAGGTGATTGCTAAATTCTTCACCTTACAGGAATTTCAGACAGGTCCCAAGGTGGCCCTGAACTTTTTCAATCGCTCCGGCGAGTCTTTTTTCTCGTAGATGGTCCCCCAAAAATAGCTTGAGTCCTGCACCCTCCGTTTTGCATGGTTTGAAGTGGAGACCAAGCAGCAACGGGGGCCCGAACTTACTCCCTGAGTTCATGGACTTGAAAGTTTCTGGAAGGACCGTTCGTGCTCAGTCCAAAGTGAATCGACCTGAAGTGACATTTTTCCGTTTTCCCTTGGGTTTCGTCATAGTCCCAACCAGTTGCTCGCCTTTTTCTAGGAATCTGGGGTTCCTAGGTAATCAGGAACCCACGTTTGGACAAATCCACAGTCTTTTCTGGTTCCTGTGGGTTCCGAGATGCATTCCCAAAAAATTGGGGGCCAAACATGGAAGTTGCTCAAAACATGGTTGTTGTTGGGAAGCATGTTAGACTTTTGCTGATTGTGGTTTAGTGGTTGAAATCCAGCCGCTTGACTGCTACAATTTGAGAATTTTTGCTCCCCAAACCCAACATCAAGCAAGAAAACCCACGAGCTAGCTGAAGCTTTGCCACCGGAGCCGCCGAAATCCACGAAATCCGCGGGCGCTCTGAGGCCGGACCCGGTTCCGCCGCCACAGGCGGCGGGGGGATTTGTTGCGGTGCCGCAGGGCGAAGCTTGAGGCTAAGTCACCCCCTTTGGTGGGGCTTAAAAGGGGAAGCCAACAGGAAAGCCACAATTTTGGGGGTCCGACACTGCAAAAACGTGGTGGGTCGAACCATTCCGTTGGAAGTACCCACAAAGAACTGGGCGGTTGCTCACTCGAGTTCATGGACTTTAAACCTTTTGGGAAGGCAATTCTTGGCGCGTCCCAGCCATCCCCTTAGCTTTTTGGATCCTTGTAGTGTTTAGTGGTTGGATTTGCATTTAATCCACTAAAAGTGAAACTTTTAGCAGGGGATCTGAGGGCAGCCCAGAATCTAAGTGGCAAGCAACAAGTTCCTGAACTTTTGTGTCGCCCAGTCCACTCGATCGGAGGTGAGGAGTTGCGACTTCTTGCGTCGATTTTGGGGGAACGACCTGCTCCAAGAAGTCTGCGGACTTCCCACGTGGGTCTGTCTTTGAGACCCTGGGGGTTCTTGGAAGGCATGGTCCCCGGGCTTCAAACGGTCAAAGGGGGTTAATACAACCACCGTTGTAGCGTCACCCAGATGGGGTCAGCCATTCTTTTCATGGTAGAGCCCTAGGCTGGCTCTTTTGCTGCTAGTTGGTGAAACATATTTGTCATTCTCCCCTGGTTTTTGAAGGGAACCTATCACTACTGGACACATTTGCACATTTTTTCCAGGGACGTAGTCGCAAGTGGAGCTCTACAGGCCCGCAGATTCGGATCGACACTTTTTTCTTTGGCTTCTGGACTTTGCGGGTCCAGACATTGGCAAATGTTGATCCCATATTAACCAACCCCAGTTTATCCATAGGGGGCGGGGAAAAGCCCCTCCAAAAGTGATTGCCTACTAAACCCAAAAAACACCCCCCTATCTAACAAACTCGGGTTGGTTACTATGGGGTCAACGTTACCCATCCGCCTCTCCAGGGCCGGCCCAAGTGGCGCAACACGGTGTCCTTCTCAGAGCCCGACGCATCCTGCGAGGCCAGAGGGGCGAAGTTCAACAAAAACGGTCGTGACACCCCTTTATGGGCCACTCCTTGCCCCCTATTGTGCAAGGTATCCAAAGAACCGTGTCATTTAAGAAGTGGTGACCTACCCAACTTAGATGACCTTTGGTCCAACAGTTAGGGTGGTCAGCTTTGCCTCCAATGTCGGCCACACAAGCAGCACAGCTCGGAAAGGCCTCAAACGACAGGAGAAACAAAACCGGGCCCCAAGTTAGACGTTAAAAAAAATAAAATAAAAAAATAAAAATCCGGGGCCCAACAAGTTGTGCGTTTCCTTTTGGTTTCCCTTTCGAGCCAACCAGACAAGTGCACCCTCAAAACATGAGACACCCATCTGCAGATTGGCTTTTGGTTTGGGACGTTGTTGGCCCCCTCCATTCCGAACCCCCCAGTGGCAGTGCTTTCAATGGTGTGGTTGCCGCATTGAAGGTGCTAATTCCAATGCATTCCGCTCTTGTAGAAAATGCTGACGTATTTCATGGGCAAACGTCGAGCAGCTTGTAAACACACTCAACACATTCCATGCGGGACGCTTGGGTGTTCGGCCGTGCCAAGTTGGCAACCCTAGTGTTGGCAGGTTATAGCCCAGGTGGCTTAGCCACTCCCATTGTTGTGAGGCCCCCCCCTCCCCACAAAGAGGGGGGTCGACAAAAGAAAAGCAGAAGCCCGTGGCCGCCGTGGCCTACGGTAATGTTGACCCAGGATTAATAAACCCGTCCCATTATTAGGGGGGTGTTCCCTCCAAAAGTGGTCTGAATCACCACTAGAAGGAATTGGACACCCCCCAATCAAAAGCAACCAGGGCATCACATGATTGCTCGGAAGCCGCGGGCTCGCTCGGCTCGCTCTGTCAGGATTTCTGAGCTGAGAAGCAGCTGCTTCTACGCTGATGGCGTGCGGGCGCAGGTCCGGACTCGGAGCTGCGGTATCCAAGCTTGCCGTGAAAGAGGGAGGCGACCACAAGGTCCCCCAGCGATCGGTGCCCTGTCTTGAACCCTTTTTTGGTTGGGAGGGTTCCCCTACTAACTAGACTACAGAAAAAAGTTGGTACTCTAATTCTAAGCTCTCTATTGGAGGACCTAGGACCAGGAGTCCGACAAGGACATGGTAGAAACATGGTTACCATTGATCAACCAGAGGTTTGTTGATCCTTCGCTCGGCTTAAACCATCCTATCTCATCGCCATTCTAAACTATCCGAAGCGTTTCCTTTCACTCGCTTGCCCAAGGCGAATCGAGCTTTTGACCTGCTGGTTTCCTCTGTTCGGCAGCCATTGTTGTCTTTTGGTTCCAACAGGTGAAGACCCTTTTGTTTCCAGGTCTACACTGGGCAAGTGAGCTTGTGTGTTGGCTTCGGGCAGCCAAAAGGAAGCTAGCCTTAGGGTCCCAAAGTAGGGCAAGTGAGTGAAGGAAGTTGTGCACGGGCCATGCCAAGGCCCAACTTTGGCACCTTCGGCCCTGGCTCTTTTTGTAGGAAGGCAGGTAGGCCGCTTCAAGCGGGCTACCAATACCAGGTCCCCCGGTAGTGCCCTTTTTTGGTTCGGAAGGCTCCCCTACTAAAATACACTACGGAAAAAAAGGCACCCTTAGTCTAACATCTCTACTGGAGGACCTGGAATACGACTCGAGACTCGAGGTGTGCTTTGCTTTTTGCCGCGGCGTTTTCCCACCCGCCGGAGTTGCGGATGAGGAGCTCCGCGTTTAGGCGGCTGCGTTGGGTCTGAGCGCTTGAGATTGCCAGATCAAAAAGGTTGGACCTCCACAAGCGGCCTTTTTCACCAGCAACCTCAGTTGCAACTTTTGAAGGGAACATTTTCCTTGGCGGCTCCCAGCCATCCCCTTGGCCTTTTAGCGCCTTTTAGCCTTTTAGTGGCAGTTTCCATTTACCCCCCTAAAAGTTAGACTCTAGCGGGTGATCAGAAAACGGATCGGCAGCCCAGTTTCAGTGACCCCTCTCAAAGGCTTATCTTTCTAGGGTTGTGTCCTTGCCCATTCTTTTCACCCATCCTTCTCTTCAACACACCGATCGCCATTTCCCCAGATTTGGTTTTTTGGCGATCGGTTTTCTGGAAAGATCCGGATCCTTGGGTTCGGAATGGAAATGGAAGGTACCCTAGAATCTTTTGAAGGTCCCACCACCGGGGCCGTAAGGACCAAGAGGTGCCTCGTGCAACTCGCCGGCAAATCGGTGTGAACCTAGGGGGCAAAGCTACACGCACATATATAATATATATATATATATATATATATAAATACATACACATACACACACACATATATATATATATATGTATTTGGATCATGACGGAGTTTGGTTTTCGCGTACCCCGCGGCCCATTCTAGTCTTTTAGACCCGAGGTTTCCGCTTACCACGCGGCGATAGTCGGATCAGAAACAGCAGGCCGGCCAAGAAGGTCGCCTGGAGGCTTCCAAGAAGCGCTGAGAAAGGGCGGCCATGGCGGCCCCGTTGATCGATCTTGACTCACGGGGGAGGGGGGGGTAGATCGATCGATCATTCTTGGGGGAAGCCTGAAGAAAATGGCCTCGTCTGGTTTCTCGAAACCACCGAAAGAGGGGTACCGAGCCTCAAAAAGAAGACGAGCCATCCAGGTGTACTTCAGTTCGGTTGGAAGAGAAGGGTTCCAGTGGTTGGTTCGAGTCCTTGTGGCCTCTTTTTCCCCTCCTCTAGCTGGTGGTTGGAAGGGGGCCAAGGAGCTGGTATCCAAATTTGCCTTCGAAGAGGGAGCTAAGGAGCTAGCAAAAGCTCGGTACGTAGGTAACCCTTATATGGGTCTGGCCTTTTTGCGGGCACCCTTTGGCTTAAAAGGGAGACCAAAGGAACACCGAAAGCATATTGGGGGGGTCCAATTCCTAAAAAAGACACCTATAAAGCTGGTGTCTTGGATTGGAGGTTTGGATTTGGATTTGAACGGGTCCCCTGGACACACGGGGAAGTTCCAATGTCATAGTGGGACACCATGAACATTGCCCATGGCCCAAGTATCCTTTACCCTGACTTGTTTGCCAAAAGCGGCTTTCTTTTTTTGGTCAGTAACGGGTCCTTTTGTTTGATTCTGCCCAAACATAGCTGTGTCCAGAAGAGGAACCCCTTGCCGGGGGTTCCATGGGTTCCATGCAGGTACTCCGCGGAAGGTGGCCTCAGATGCGGGTAAGCATCCGGAGCTTGGTTTGTTTGTTTTCGGTTTTTTTGGTCGAAAAATCGACGGCCCTGGTTTACCTGGTGGTTTAATCATCTACCAGGGAAACCCATCGATTTCCCCTGAAAGGACACCTGTGATCCGGAGGTTTCGAAGAACTCTGAGATGTGCATCTTCTCCGCGGGTGTGCGTGTTCATGGCTCCAGCAATCCCTCTCCGAGAGGCAGATCGGGTGACCGGGCAGGGGCCGGACTTTTTTTTGACATGAGAACACGGCGCACGAGGCTTTAAGCGTGTGACCATTGAGCTTTTGAGCTGGACAACTGGTAACTTGAAGATCCGGACTCGCCAGTGGTTAGGGAAGCCGGACTCCCAAGGCTCAGCATCCAAGTTTCGGCTTACAGAGGCTCCCCTAGTCCAGCCATCTTGGGCGAACCAACATGCTCGACGATATATTTTTTGGGCCCCGCGGTTCCTTGCCATGTAGCTCTCCTTGTTTTCAATTAGCTTGCGCGGATGACGCTGCTTGCCAACGGTTACCCGGCCTTACCTCCAAACTCCAGTGATCAGGAAATTGTCTAACTCGCAGTTTGGTGGCTTGGGGATTTGAACAGCTGGTTTACCACCAAATCACCCATCCAAACCAACCACCAACTAGGGGGGAGCTGAACCAATATGAAATAGACAATGCCCGTGTCAGATTTGGGGACACGTTCCGTGCATTCTACTTTCCCAAACATTTCGGAGACGGGCAAGTAGCCTAAGTAGCCCCTGCCCCTTTTCTCGTGCCGAAAAAATCCTATGGCCTCTGACGACGAGCATCTGGGGGAGGAGGACGACTACTTCCCCGAGCAGGAGGACGAGGCCCGGGACTGGCCTCAGCGTTTTCTGGAGCTTCTGGTGCTGAAGAACTTTGACTAGGTCCCCCAGCTAGGTGTCAACCTTTACCACCTTTTTATTTTGGGGGGGGGCACCCCCTACTAAAATAGACAAAAAAGAACAAAGTGGGTAGCAACTTATTCTCACCTCTCAAATCCGGAGGACCTAGGATTCCCGGCGAAGATGGGCCCTACCGAGTTTCTGTTGAGCGGGTATGGGCACAAATGCATCCCCATGCCGTGCAAGACTTGACCTGGAGGATCCCCAACCGACAAGGGGTTGTTTCGAGGCCGAACAGGAGGCCTTGCTCAGGGACTGGGGGCCCTGGACCGGAATTCGGACATTGGATGTCAAGTGGGTGAACCCACACAGGCCCAGGGCTTTGGTGTGTCGCAAGTCCTCTTTTTAAGGCCTGAGGCACTGGGTTTCTTTTTCGGCAAGATGACTGGTTCTTGTCTTTGTTGGGCAGTTTGTTCGGTTCCGATGATGTTTGAATTGTCCTCGGGGTTCCTAGGGGTTCCTTGCGGTTCCTTGGAGTTGCTTGGAAATTGGTCGATTGGTCCCGATGATGTTTGAGTTCTCCCCTGGAAATTTGTCCCAAGCCATCTGCTCAGCCCCGCGCCTCGCACGAGCCAAGTGCCCCGTTGCTTCCATTTGCTGAAGAGTTTTTTTTGTTTTGTTTTATAGTTTTTTTTTTGCCCTGTTGGCGTTAAAGGGAATCTATGACTACTGGATTTATTTTTATTTATTTTTCTCCAGGGGGCTTAAGCAAATGGAAGGTTGCCATCCCAAACTGTTCTGGGCAGCTTCCGCGAAGCGCGAAGTGTGTGTGGCAGCGGGCATGGTTGATTACCCGTGCCCTGTGGGTACCGAGGGGGAAATTAACCAAGTACCAAAGCACAAAATACAAAGGACAAATAATGGCGAATAGCCTGTTTATCCCAGATACAGACACACACACACAAACACACCTTACACAAGGTTGCAAATGGCCGAAATGGGCTCTCCCGTATTCCACGTCCATGGTCATTTGGGTCCCTCAATTTACGCGATTGTCACATGTCAAGCACGTAAACAAGCAGGGTGTCTGTGTTTGTTTGCGGGTCTCTGTGTGTCACTTTGTGTCTCTCTGTGTCTCTGCAAGCGTGTGTGTGTGTGTGTGTCTCCATGTGTCTCCGTGTCTCCGAGTGCGGCACTCGCTGACTCGCCGGGAGGAGTGGGATGAGCTGGAGGCGAAGGCTGCCGCCTGGCAGGCGAGAAAGCCGTTTTCGGTGGTGTTTGAAGGGGCACCAAAAGGGCAACCGCCATCTTGGAGGGCTCCCCCACAAAAAACCAACACCCAAACGAAACGCGAAATTCGCCCATCAAATAGGCGCTCGGACAAGAAGTTTATGCCATGATCGGCTTGAAGAACAAATTGGGGGTTCATTTCAGGGGCCCAGTTCATACCAATTCATAAATTCAGCCAGAGGTTCTCCTCCTCCCCCCCCGTTTTCTGCCAGGAGCAGTTCACCTCAGCCATCCACAGCGGCAACTCCCTGAACGGTCTGCCAAGGGGTCTGCGCTTACGGAGCGCGGAGGCGGCGAAGGAGAAGGAAGACCAGGACGAGGACTGCGGCTTTATGGCTAGGTCCCCCAGTAGTGCCCTTCTCTCCCCTTTTTTTTGGGGAGGGTTTTCCTATTAAAATAGACTACAGCAAAAAGTTGTTACCCTTATTCTAACCTCTCAAATCTGGAGGACCTAGATGGCGATTTGGTCCGTCGAGCTTACCTGAGCCCAGTTTTTTTCCCCAACAGCTGAAAGCTAAGGGGTCTCAGCCCAGATAGGCTCCGGGTGGTCCGGGGCGGCCCTGAGGTAAGGTTCCACCAGGGTTTTACCAGGGTTCCACCAGGGTTCCACCAGGGTTCCACGAGGTTCTGCAAGGGCTGCGGGGTGGTCCAGGGCGGGTTCCACCAGGGTTCCACCAGGGTTCCACCGGGGTTCCACCAGGGTTCCACGAAGTTCTGCAAGGGCTGTGGGGTGGTCCGGGGCGGGTTCCACCAAGGTTTCACCAGGGTTCCACGAAGCTCTGCAAGGGCTGCGGCGGTGGCCCGGGGCAGTCCTGAAGTAAGGTTCCACCAGAATTCCACCAGGGTTCCACCACAGTTCCACGAAGTTCTGCAAGGGCTGCGGCGGTGGCCCGGGGCAGTCCTGAAGTAAGGTTCCACGAGTTCCACCAGGGTTCCACGAGGTTCTGCAACCGGGGCGGGTTCCACCAGGGTTCACCAGGGTTTCACCAACGGCTGGGGCAGTCCTGAAGCAAGGTTCCACCAGGGTTCCACCAAGGGTTCCACCAGGGTTCCACAAAGTTCTGCAAGGGCTGCGGGCCGGGTTCCAGCACAGTTTTATCAAGGGTTCCACCAGAGTGGCGGAACACTAAGCAAAACCGAAAGTCACAGAGTGGTTTGAGCACACTTTCACTGTACACCAGAGTTTTAGCAGGGTTCCACCAGGGTTCCACCAGGGTTCCACCAGGGTTCCACCAGGGTTCCACCAGGGTTCCACGAAGTTCCACAGGTTTCCACCAAGGGTTCCACCAGAGTTCCACCCGGCTTCCACCAACCAGGGTTCCATTAGGTTCTGCAAGGGCTGGTCCGGGGCGGGGTTGAGGTAAGGTTCCACGACAGTTCAACTAGGGTTCTATCAGGGTTTCACGAGGGTTTGCTCATGGGCGGAACAGTAAGCAAAACCTAAAATCAATGGTTTTCTGCACACTTTCACTGCATACACTTGCCCACAAAACAGTTCCACAAGACGGACTTCACAAGATTTCCACAGAGCAGTCCTGAGGTAAGGTTCCACAAGCGTTCTCCACGGGTTCCACGAGCAGCGTTTGGAGATTCCCAGCTCTTGGTCAGGCCCCGATTGGGCCGGCGCCGTCCCCCGATCGTGGGCGATCGGGGCCCGATGTGCCTCAACAGCTAAAGCGACACCCTAAGCAAGACCGGCTGTGCGCTGCCCAGGCCCCGGTCGGGCCCGGAGGGCCGTCAGGCCCCGATCGGGGCCCGACGGCGCAATCGGGCCCCAATCGGGGACGATCGGGGCCCGATGGCTGCATGTGCCTTAACAGCTAAAGCAACATCCTAAGCAAAGCTGTGCGCTATGATTGGCGGCTTGACGGCTGTAAAGCAGCATCTAAAGCAAAACCGGCGGCGCGCTGTGACTGGTGGCTTGGATTGGTGGTTTGCTCCCCGGCAGCGTCGGGCGCCATCGGGCCCCGATCGGGGCCCGACGGCGCAATCGGGCCCCGATCGGGGCGACGGCCGTACCTGTAGCAGCTAAAGCAGCATCCAAAGCAAAAGGCTGTGCGCTATGATTGGTGGCTTGCATTGGTGGTTTGCTCCCTGCCCCGGCCGGGCCGATTGGGCCGTCGGGCCCTGATTGCTTAGCCTGCTGGCGAATGTTGACCAGGTTATAAATGTTTAGTGTCTCGGCTAAGTTGGGTTATAAGGCTGCCAAACTCCTTGGCAAACGAGATAAGCTGGTCAAACCTAAATAAGGTTTATAAGTCGTTTCTAAGGCTTACCAGAATCTATCTTCGGATTATAGGAGATATGACACGCTTTATAACCCCCTCCCGGGCCCCGGTCGAACACCGATTGCAGCGTGGTGTAAAGCAGCGTCTCAAGCAAAACGGCGGCGCGCTGTGACTGGTGGCTTGGATTGGTGGCTTGCTCCCGTGGTTTGCTCCCCGAGGCTTGGTCGGGCCCCGATTGCACCGTCGGGCCCCGTCGAGCCCCGATCGGGGCCTGATGGCGCTGTCAGGCCCCGATCGGGGCCCGTCGGCTTGCACCTTTTTTCAGTTAAGGCGGCGTCCCAAGCAAAAGCGGCAGCGCGCTATGATTGGTGGCTTGGATTTGTGGCTTGTCTGAAGCTCTTCACTGTCAAGTCTTTCGCTAGTCTCGAACCTCAAGAACAGAAGCATTTAACCGCAGTCTTTCTTTCAACGAGGTGTCCAGAGAATAGCTTCGGAAGCGCGTGAAAAGCAGCTTGTTGGACACCTATTTCAGGACATGTTTCCATGGCCCTTCGCTGTGCCGGAAGAGTCTCCAGTTCATGCGGCGACTGCTTTTCCCCAACAGCTGACAGCGATGGGGTCTCTGCCCAGGTGGGCTCCGGGGTGGTCTGGGGCGGCTCTGAGGAAGTTTCCACAAGAATTCTGCGAGAGTTCGGTGCAAGGTTCATAGGGCGGTTCCAAGGAGGGTTTCAGGAGGGTTGTGCGAGGGTTCTGGAGGGTGTGGCGCTGTTGGGGATATCGCCAGAGCTTATTTTTTTGGGGGGGTGGGACGGCCAGAAAATTTAATGTTGCTGGGATGTTCGATTTGCCAAGTTAGTAAAGGATAGCCACTTGGAGTTTTCACCCCCCCAATAACAAGACTGGGGTTATAAGTGGGTTGTGACCTAGGTTGCCAACAACTTTCTATCTTGGCCGACCGCCCAAGTACCGGATCTTTGGACTTGAGCTGACTTTGACATGTGTTGGTGGACTTAACATGGTTGTTGTTGGGAAGCATTTTTCCAATTTTTGCTGTGTGTGGTTTGGTTGAAATCCAACCACTTAACTGCGAAAATTTAAATTTTGCTCCCCTTCCAACGTCAAGCGAGACTTAAGTCCACGACTTTTTTTGCAGGGTCTTCAGACCTATTGGAAGCAAAGGGCGTGGTTTCTTTTCCATTGAAGCATCTTCCAGGGCTCCTAATAAGAGAAACTCATTTTGCAACCATTTGAGTTACATGTTGCTTTTCCAACACCAAAATCAAATTGGACACCACCATTTACCAGTTGCAATGCTCATGTGCATAATGTAAGGATCCCTGCTACTGAAGAGTTGGCCCTTTTGCTCTGCGGGATCTGGGGGGGGGGGGGGGGGTGAGTAGAACAACCCAGAAAATATGTTCCCTGAAGACATTTTTTTTGTTTTTAAGGGTTCCTGCGGGTTGCTGCGGGAGCCTTACAACCCCCCCCCCCCGGAGGTAGAAGAAAACCACTGCTTCCATTTGCTCAAGCCCCCTGGAAAAATATCCAGTAGTGACGGATTGACAAATGGAATATTCGTTTTTCGAATGGAAGACTACAAAGAGCCTACTCCTGAAGGATTTTGCGGATTACCTTTCAACAGCCCAAGGGTCTTTATATTCCCTGGTTTTAGATCATCAGTGATATTCCCGAGGGAACCCTAGGTAGGGCTCTGAACTACCCATCCCCCCTTTGACCTACCCCTGTTAGGGATGCCATACATTTTGGGGTTGGGCTTAGCCATCCATTTGGAACAGCTCAGCTCACATGTTTGCGAACTCGCCAAGATTTTCCCCATTCGACTGTGAACCAGATTCTGAACAAATATTCTGTGTGCACTCCAGATGTACAGACGTAGGCAACGATGTTGGTCATGTCCCCTGTGACTCGTTGCTTTCCACGTGGTGGCCCTTTGAAACAACCCCCGCGGTGAGAGAAGCGGCGTCGCTCCTTCGAGGAGTCGACCCCTGCTGAGCACCTGAAACCCTCGCCGGTGCCGCGGTTCGTGGCGAGGAGCTGGGAGATGGGTCTGCTGGTGGTGGTCTGCCCCTCGCTTCTGAATACCTCTTGACTTGTTTTGGCCGCCATCCCCCCTCCCATGGTCAGCCTCTCACTATTTGGTTTGGATTGGTGGTTCCTCATGTACCTTCTGCCACAACAGGGTTTATTTTCTAGTGGTAGCTTCCATTTCCATTCTTTCCAGGGATCTTTTTTTCCAGAAAACCACCAAAAGCCCAGGGGAAACAGCAGAATGATGGTTGAAAAGAATTGGGAATCTAGATATTTGGTGGTTTCAAATCCCCGCACCACCAATTCGTGGTTACCTGATGTGAAGAACAGCTCCCCTTCCTTTGTTCCCTGCTTGCAATATTTCAGAAACTCACTGCCTGAGGTCCTGGACTTCACACTTTTTTAGGGGTTGAACCATTTTGGTGGTATATAACAAGTTCCTGAACTGTTGTTGGCCAATCCACTCGATGGGAAGTGAGGTTTCGGGGGCCAAGTTTGCCGCGAAACGAGACTACTAGGTCCCCCAGCAGCCCTTGTTACCCTTTTTTGGGGGAGGGTTCCCCAACTAAAATAGATTGCAGCAAAAAGTTGGTACCCTTGTTCGAACCTCTCCACTGGAGGACGTAAGAAGAGGTGGTGTACCGCTAGGGCAGGGTTCGCTGATTGCCCCCCCCCCCTTTTGTTGGTTCAGAGTAAGCGTGTGAGCCATCTACTGGAGGACCTAGCAATATTCAGACAGGGGGCCTATGCTTGCACGTGAGGCCTGCTGAGCCTCTTTGCCACGCTCCACTTTGTCTACGACAACCTCCTGCCGCAGAGGCGGGGGCTGAGCACGGGGAGGTTCAAGCAGGGAGGTTCACAAGCAGCTGCGTGTTTCTTGTGGGGGTCGCGGACCCCGGCTTTTTGGTGGGTTCTAAAGGGCACTTCAAAGAAACCCAATTTGCTGGGTGTGTTTTTTTCAGGGGTGGAAAAAGAAAACCAGGAGATGAAAGACACGCGAGAAAGGTTTTCCCAGCGAAGCTTCACCCAAACATACAAAATTATGTGGAGGTCCCTCCAAATAAGGAAGGTGCCCCCTGTCCAAACCACCAATCCAAATCCTTCCATTTTCTGAAATCAATATTCGTGTCTTTCCCCCTGTTGGTCTTAAAGGGAACCTTTCACTACTGGAAATGACTTTTTTACAGGGAACTTAAGCAAATGGAGATACCAACTGCACAAGTTGCCCCCTTTCCAAACCACCTAACAAAAGAACTAGGGTAAGGTGATCAAACGAATCCCGGTGGTTTATGGCTCGCGACCCGCCTGTACCCGGGAGGTGTGACCACTCAGAGGCTTCACAAATTGCCTTCCACATGGTCTTGCATTTCTCCTGTGAGTTTTGGAGGGAATCGATTGTATTGCTGGAATTACTTTCCGATTTGATCCAGGGGGCGAAAGGATGTTTGCATTCGGCTTCCCTTGAGCCATGTTTTTTTTTTGTTTGGACAACCATAGTCGCGCGATTACCCACAAGCATGGCCTGATAGCCTACTTACTGCGACGACCATGCATGCCATGCAAGTAGTGAACCCCTCGGTGAACCCCTCAAGGCGATAAAACTCGATCTAAAACCTCCAAGAACCATCGAAATCAGAACTTCCCGGGCGCCCTGACTCCCTGTACCCTTGGAGTCAGGGCATCTTCAGCCTCAGCATTTGCTTCTTTTTGCACAGTTTTCCCGACAAGATTGCAGGCCGCCCTCTTGGCAAAAGGGAGTGGCTCCCTTACTTTGTTTTGTGGCTTTCCCTGTTTCAGCTTTCCGCCTCGTTTTCTTTTTGGAGACCCCGGGCCACGTTTTTTTCTTCTCCCCCCTCCGCCATAGGGACGACTCCAAGAGCTGCACGCAGTGCCAGCCGGAGTGGTGGCAGGAGACATCGAAATCGATTTCGAAACGGGTCTGAGGTTCGTCCAGGTGAGATGCGTTTGCTGAAGTCAGTGTTTGTTATTTCCCCTGTCGGTTTTAAAGGGAATAGATATCTACATGTATTTCGTCTCTTCAAGGCGGCTTAGGCAAATGGGCGATGAATTCTAATGTCGACCCGTGACTAATAACCCCCAATTTATCAGCAACAAACCTGTTTTTTCTGTAAGAAAGTCCATTTGCTCAAGAATATGTCCTATTTTCCAACGATTTTTGGTCCCGGCGCAAAAGCTTACATGGAGGCAGCTGAGCCACGGCCAGCCTATTTTCTTTCAGGGGGACTCGGTCCTGGAAGAGGAAAGGCATCCCACTGAACAGGGACCCCCCTTTCAGGGAATGCTTTGGTTTGAAGCCCGGTGGCTTGGATTTGGGTTTTTTATGCCTTGGTTCAGGGCAAATGGGACACCAACGGACCAAAAAGCGAAACCACCGGGCTTTGGGGAAGAAGAAAAGAACGAGGTCAACTCGGTTGCGTGGTCTCATGGGTGACGTGCCTGCGCCGGCGAGTTCGGGGAACTCTTGCCCAGCAGATGGGGAAATCTTCCAAGACGCGCTCCTGTACAGCCAGGACCTTCAGCACATGGCTGTTTTGCGCTTGCACTTGTGCCAGAGAGCCGCTCACGCAAGAGGTCCTCTCGCCGCACCAGAATAAAAAGTTCAGCTGGCCCCGGTTTACCGCTTGCCCAGCCCACAAGTCTGGCAAGCGCTGGGCACCTGGCAGCGCCAATTTGCTCGCAGCCGTGATGCGATGCGCTTAACACTGGACTTTAGCTAGGCAAGGTTTACTGCATATTTGTTCGATTGTTTTGGACGGGGTTTCATTTGAAATCAAGTGATTACCCTAAGGGTCCGATCGGGGCTTGGTATGCAGAACGCGGGGGTCCCCGTACCACCCCCCAAGTTGCTGAAACGGGGAGTGGGAAGGGCAAAATTTGAGGCCCCAAGTTCCATCTGGACCCTGTTCCGGATCTTGTCTCCCATGGCCGCTGGGGGGTTTGGGCTAGGCTTCCAACAAATCTAGGCGGTACCTTCATTCTTTCCAAGCATCCTTCTTTCTACAAAACCAGCCAAAACCCTGCGGGAAACAGCTGGTTTTTGAAAAGAACTCTGTCGGTTCGCGTTTATTCGGGGATGGTCCTGTACCCAAACTTCATTCGCTTGGCAGCTTATGCCAAGCCCTTGCCAAGCGCATTCGTCTAGAAAACAGTTTGGATGTGGCTTCTGTGGATCCCAGGACAACATGAAAAGAGTGCGAAAAGACTACTAGCAAAGGACCAACAGGTGGAAGAACACGTGAAATCCACCCAAACCGGTTTTAAGAGTTATGCACGGTGAGGGCTTCTTTTTGGCCCCGAGTTGGGAGAACATCTTCTCAAGCAAACGGCCTTTCTTTCCGTGGCTGATTTACCTGCATAGCTTTTATGCCTGGACAACGGCCTAGTTCCAGCAGTGGAATCGGCTCCCTTAATCAACAATTACCAGGGGACCATGTGGTTTGCTGGCGCGGACCGGATCTGAGGGGGCTTGGTTTCGATGTGTAGGTGGTCACCCCTTTTGTTTCCAGGCGCTCTGGGGCCGAGGAGTTGCGCATGAGCGGATAGCAGATCATTTCGGCATCTGCTTGCTTGGCTATTTGGTACGGATCTTCGGGCCGAAGAAACTTGGGAACTTTTTGGGTTTTTCAACAGCTCGGGGTGTCCGAAGTGAACCTAAGCGGGTAACCCGAGTGGTGAGTGGTCAAGAGCTCTTCCAAGCTTGGCGGTGCTCGAAGCGGGGCGCCTCTGCAGGCGGATGGTATTGATCCTGATCTCCCGAGCCAAAGAATCAATGAGCCCAAAGAGGTCGGTGGCCTTTTCCCCCGTTTAAAGCTTCCCCTAAAAAGAGGTTTCCTGTTTCCCCGTCAAGCTCAAAGGGTTTCCTTTGCAGACCCCAAAAAGGGTTCCCAACAAAACAAGAGACGCCAATTAACTTGCTGGTGCGATAGGTAGGGAACGACAAGGAGTCCGGTGGACGAAATCCTGCACCACTTTGAAACCATAGGAAGCCATTGTTGGTTGGGTTTTACAAGGGAATCGACTGATTCCAGGGTTTCTCAGGTGGTGCCTAAGAGGATTTCGCAACCATCCACAGTAGGGGTTGGTTTTTCTTTCGGGGTCATTCTGTTTCTCATCCCCTTCCTAGAGAACCAGCAAGATAGATCCGGTCCGAACAAAATGTTCAGCTCAGATTGAGGTCGACTCAGCTGAGGGAGCTTGGCTTTGGGCCGCGCCCCAAGTTTTCACCCACGGAGGGACACCAATCCCATCTCTTTCTGCATCTTGGCAGCTGGGAAAGGCTGCCACATGCTTGCTATCTTCTTAAGCCGTTGCCTTTGGTGTTGTTTGATCTTCCGGGGTCAATTTTCTAAGACCAGTTTTCCAGGATTTAATTTGACCCCTCAGGGCCATACGGGTGCCTCTTGCCTTTTCGGTATTAGTTTTGCCTCAGCAAAGAGTTCATATTTGCCAAAGTCAAACAAACATGTTTCCCTGGCCAAACTTCCCGTTTTCCATGAATCATGGAAGTGGCCTTTTCAAGGTTCCAAAAGGCGACCCTGGTATTGTGAGGCCTCCACTGGGAGAAGCGAGCCACAGTCGCGAAGCCGCGAAGCCGCGACGCCGGCAGAGAGGACTTCTGGAAGTGGCGGCTGCAGGGCCCCAGCGACGACGATCCACCCGAGGGCATGCAGTGGGAGTGGGGGGATTCGGCCGGGAGCCCCGGTTAGCCCCGGTCCGGTCCCGCGCGCGATCAGTTCCCCGGATTCCGGAGTCGGAACTCTCGAAAGCGGATCCTTTGGGCTTTTCGTCTTCTCCGCTCGCATTTTTCGTCTCTGGTCCCAGGAGGCGATCACCTGGCAGCGTCTTGAAATGGGCCCCGAGCCGCGAAGAACGACACAGCCTTCACCATCCACTCATCCCCCTTGGGGCACACGCAAACCAAAAAGGGAACATCAATGGGAGAATCAAGAACTCACTTGCCCAAGTTCAAGGTCTTTTCTGGGGTAGGCTTGGGAGTTACTCTTTTTACATTTTACGAGTGACTCCAAGGGAGGCAAACAATAGAATATACATTTTATAACTGGGCCTAAGTCTAGTCATGTTTTAACCTCTTGGTTTTTCGATTTTGGTATGTTTAGCCAAGGTCCCAAAAGGTGATTATCTTTTATTTCCGGGTTCTGTGGGCAAGTGAGTTGTACTTGAGGGCAATGTTGACCCCGCATCCAAGCAAACCCCGTCCTATTCATAGGGGGGTGAAGGCCCCTCCAAGATTGGTCGAAATCCCGAGTCACATTTTGGGTTTGGGCCACTTCAGTGGCAAACAGATGCAAAAAGTGTGGTTTTCGACTTTTGTGGTTGCCAGTCCTGACATGGGAAGTGAGTTGCAAAGGCGGGAAGGAAGGACGCCTCGCCTTTGGATCCTCGGTTTTCCAGGTGGGTATGGATCAAAATTAAGCCACCAGGGGACCACAGGTTTTAGTCATTGTTTACATTTACCAGGGTGCCATTTTGGGGTTACCCAGTTTTTGACCCACAGCCATTTGCCTTCTTTGCCAGTCCCGGTCGGAAAGCTACGCCCCTCGATCCTCGGCTTCCTCAGGTGAACGACACCGACTGGTACCAGGCCAGCGCCCGCTTCGTGGACTTCCTAAGGCCCTTCGCCGACCCTTCGCTGGGCCCGGTGCTGCGACTCGGTGCACGCGAACGCGAGCGCGTGTTCGGATCCACAAGGGCCCCCCTTTTTTTTGGGTTGAGCCCTGTCTTTCTTTCCTCTTGGTTGGCTTGCTTTGGGGGTGTTTTTTTTTTGGGGGGGGGTTCGCGAGGCTCTGTTTTTGGGTTGAGTTGTTTGGTTGCGAGTTGTCCTTGATTTTGGCTTTTACTGGGGAATCAGTAGGGGTTGTGCGAATGAACCTGACAAAATTATCTAGGAAACCACTGACATGGGATAAACAGTTCTTTGCCCCCAGGGATGAGTCGGGTCTCCTCAGTTTGCTGGTATAAAATAATGTATCTTAAGGTTGACTAAGTTTGAGGTTCCGATATGTCGCCATGTCCTTACAGGACTCCTGGTAGCTCCTTGGCTTTTATTTTGAAGGCAAATTTGGAGACCCCCAGCTCCGAGTCCGGCTCCCTGCCAAGCACCAGCTGTGTCAGGGTTCCATGTTCATGAGTTTGCTGGTGGCCATCCCATGTCGCAAGTGGGCCTCGCGGGCATTTTGAGGTGGGTTGTGTGGAGGTGAACAATACTACTCATATAGGGTAGGGGGGGTTGCGGCCGTTTCCCTGCCGCTGGGATTCCATCGCCACTTCCAGTAGAGGCACAGATTTGGAGACATGGAAAAACACACCTCACAGACCATGCCCTTAGTTTCACCCCTACTGTTGATGGACAAAATCCTGCACCGAATTGAACCCAGGGGAAACCATTCTTTGTTGGCATTTACAGTGGAATCGAATCATTTTTGAATTTCTCTTAGGTGGTGCCTAAGAGGATTTCGCACCCACCCACAGTATTTCCACGGTTGCGGTATGTTTGCAAGTCTAGTCCAACCTGCTGACGGAAGCCGAGGTGATTTTGCGTCTAGCCGCGGCAAGAATCAGTGGGTTCATTGAGGGTCCAATGTGTGGGTCTTGATTCCCGACCAATGCCGAGCAAACCCTCCCAGGTGACATAGGTGTCCTTTTGATCGGTTAGTTTGGTTAGACATAGATAGGTTCCACTGGTTTAGATTGGTTTTATGCCATCCATTTACCAGGGAAACAACTATCCATGTTGCCAAAAGGTCTTAAGGGCAAGAGCGACAACCCCAATTTTTTTGGGGGGATGACGCTTAAAAGACGAGTCTATTTCTCCAATTCTCCTCCCCCCACTCTCGGCCCGACTCCACCTTTCCAACCACCAAGGCCATCTATGTTACAACAAAACCGCCTCCTCCAGCCCCTCGCCCGCATTTCCCCCCTTGCCCAGGTCTCTCTAGGCCCCCCCCCCCCCTCCCCGCCCCTCCCCCCCCCATTTCCACCCCTCTCCCCCCCCACCCCTCCCCCACACCACCCCCCAACCATCCCCAGACGCCGGCCGACCGGTCCAAGGTCCATCGGCTGCGGGGACGCCCCGGTGCCCGAGCTGCTGCACGGCGCGGGCTTCGAGGCCTCGCTGCACCTGGACGTGGCGCCGCCGCTCGGCCGGGAAGCGCCGTGAAGCGCCGTGACACGCCTCACGAAGCGTCTCATGAGGAGGTCTCGGTGGGTGGGTTCCCCTACTAAAATCGACAACAGAAAAGCAAGGTACACTTATTCTAACCTCTCTACTGGAGGACCTGGGCCAAGTTGTTGGGACACCTTTTTCTAATTTTTGCTGATTGTGGTTTAGTGGCTGAAATCCGACCACTGAACTGCTAAAATTTGAGTTATTTTGCTCCCCTTCCAACGTCATTGTGGTCTCATCAGCCATTCGCCAAGCCACCGGTGAAAAAGCACCTGAGCCCGAAGCTTCTTTGTTCCCCGCTTCCATTTGCACAAAAATCACAGAAAAACAGACACACACACACACACACACACACACACACACACACACACACACACACACACACACACACACACACACACACACACACCCACACACACACACACACACCGCACACGCACACACACCGCACACGCACACACACCGCACACGCACACGCACACGCACACGCACACGCACACGCACACGCACACGCACACACACACACACACACACACACACACACACACACACACACACACACACACACGCTCACGCACACGCACACGCACACGCAC